ACCCAGTCAACTTTATTCGATAGGTCACAAATGGAAAACTTTTTTAATCTGGATAAATGGCATGGTTGCCTGTAAGAAAATATGAATGATCATGTGAAGATAATTTGATATACTGTACTGTATTATGGTCAAAATGCCTCTGTGAAAAACAATGGAGAACATTAAGTGATGAGAAAAGACATGCTCCATGCTCAAGATCTCACAAAGTGCAAATACCGAAAATAGAGTACAGTACTTACAATAATTAACTACTGTACCTCCAAAGCTTGTACATCATTATACTGTTTGATTAATAAGTTATCAATATATTTAAAACATTGAAATCTATATCAAAGCTACAGGACTGCAGATGTGATTAATAGGTATAGCCATGTTTGTACCTATTTCACCACAGTTTGAGGAAAAATTTGCTATTTCCCAGGTGGCCCGTTATATTTTTACAATGGCTCATACTTGGCGACTTCTTATTCTCTAAACTTTTGTGGATATTGGACAAATAATCCTTCCTGATCACTGCATTAACAACAATGTGATAAACAGCCGTATGTGAGGATACATTACAGGTGGACTTGTGGATGTTCAGCTGCATACATTTAAAGGAACAAGAAGTCTACAATGCGGGTAGGGAGGAATAAGCTACAAGCCTGAATCGCATTTGAATCATGCCTCTACTGAGTTTGAAGGGACGCAGGAGATAAATAATAACTACAGCTTATCTGCATATATCTATATATGGACCTCATCAAATATCATCTCCTGAGGCTTCTTCCACCTCATGGTAGTCCATTTCTAAGGCAGCAGTGTCCTCCCTGGCTTCTGCAAATTCTCCTAGAGGGAAATGGGAAGCATACAGTGGCACCAAGAAAATGAAGGACAAGGAACAACAGGAAGAGAGAATAGGTGAAGCATTCCATCAGTGGTGAACAGAATTAATTTTAAAATTATACAATTAATGAAAATATGCAAAGTGAAACACCATGAAAAATAGAAGCATCAACTATAACTTGCATAGATAATGATAAAAATATATATATATATACTGTATATATAAATACAAGATACAAGTCCAGCATTAAATGTAATGAAATGCTTCTTTCTGGGTGAGCCCTGGTTCCCTTGCTGAAATGACTTCCAACTACAAGGTCACATTAGTGGCAAAGTTCTGTCTTGCCTACCAAGGACCAGAGCCAGAACCTGACTACCTCTCACAGAGGTACAGTACTGAAAGCAGGTGACACACTGCCACCCTACCCGGAAAGCATTCAGAAAGTCGGCAAACAATACTGATCACTACTTGGTTCAAAAGAACCGAAGCCTTGGAAATGCCAAGCAAATTCCCCAAGCAATGTAAACAAAAAACTGAATCTCTTGAAAATAATGCGAGCTCGTTAGCCCTAACCCCTGCGAATAAGGGGGAACCCAGAGCACAAGCTCATCATTAACCCACTGCCAATAACGGGGGACTTAGAGCTCCAAGTCTCCCCCAGCCTTCTAAGCCAGTTCAGGAGCAGACATGAAAAGCACAAACACCAAATGACAAACCTGGAAGGGAGAGGGAAAATCAGGGAGCCACTGGGGCTCATCCAGAAATAAGAGTGTCATTATATTCAATGCTGGTTTTCTAAGGAAGCCCCTTGTGGCTCCCTGAAGCTAACTACCCATGGAGAAGAAAGACAGGGGATCTACCAGGAAGGAGAGACTGCAGGTAATGGAGACGAAGAAAAGATAAGGTCAAGAGAGATATCCAAAGACAACACAGGCATGATGAGGCCCTGGGAACAATGACTAAATACGGGGCTGCCAAGACCCTGTTAGACCACCAAAACCCCCGCAACCAAAATTGCTCAGGACACGTTAGCAAAGACTGCTACGAGAGAAGAAGAATTACGAACATCACAAGCATTAGGGAAGGCTGCAGGTTGGCTGAGCTTTATGACACTCTGGACGACCTGAGAAACACGAGCCTTAATGGAAAGTAAGGAAGAAGGATCAACCCACAAAGCTTCCATTGAGGCAGAATCTGTGGCATGAAGATTCTGGCTCTGGTCCTTGGTAGGCCTAATGGAAGTTCAGAGCAGATGTGACTTCTTACAGTAGTTGGGAGCCATCTCAACAAGATGGCTTCAGGGAATCACAAGGAGCTCTCCCAGAAAATATGCAAGTACAAAGACGTTAATGGGATATACACTAATCAAGTGAAAAACAACAAAGAAGAAAAACCACACAAAAAAGTGCACAGAAACAGGACCATTGCATGACTGGAATTTGATGATGAATAATGAAAGACATGTAGAGAAAGATGACAAGAATCATTATCACAGTAGAATTATGTAGTGGTGAATAGGAATGACACCCAAACCAGTAATATATAGACTGTCAGAAAGGATGCCATTTCCATTTGTGAATGGAAATGACACTCAAACTAATTAATTATGAATAAATAAATAAATAATATATATATTATATATATTATATATATATATATATATATATATATATATATATATATATATATATATATATATATATATATATATATATATATATATATATATATATATATATATATATATATATATGTCGTACCTAGTAGCCAGAACTCACTTCTCAGCCTACTATGCAAGGCCCGATTTGCCTAATAAGCCTAGTTTTACTGAATTAATATATTTTCTCTAATTTTTGTCTTATGAAATGATAAAGCTACCCATTTCATTATGTATGAGGTCCATTTTTTTTTATTGGAGTTAAAATTAACGTAGATATATGACCGAACCTAACCAACCCTACCTAACCTAACCTAACCTATCTTTATAGGTTAGGTTAGGCAACCGAAAAAGTTAGGTTAGGTTAGGTTAGGTAGGTTAGGTAGTCGAAAAACAATTAATTCATGAAAACTTGGCTTATTAGGCAAATCAGGCCTTGCATAGTAGGCTGAGAAGTGCGTTCTGGCTACTAGGTACGACATATATATACAGTATATATATATATATATATATATATATATATATATATATATATGTCGTACCTAATAGCCAGAACGCACTTCTCAGCCAACTATGCATGTCCCAATTTGCTTAATAAGCCAAGTTTTCATGAATTAATGTTTTTTCGACTACCTAACCTACCTAACCTAACCTAACCTAACTTTTTTTGCTACCTAACCTAACCTAACCGATAGAGATAGGTTAGGTTAGGTTAGGTAGGGTTGGTTAGGTTCGGTCATATATCTACGTTAATTTTAACTCCAATAAAAAAAATTGACCTCATACATAATGAAATGGGTAGCTTTATCATTTCATAAGAAAAAAATTAGAAAAAATATATTAAATCAGGAAAACATGGCTTATTAGGCAAATCGGGCCTTGCATAGTAGGCTGAGAAGTGGGTTCTGGCTATTAGGTACGACATATATATATATATATATATATATATATATATATATATATATATATAATATATATATATATATGCTGTATATATAAAAAATATGAGAAAGGATCCAGTGGTGAAGGAGAATGAGAAACACACCAGTGATATGCAAATATGCAATTATGCGAGTATGTGAGTGTGGTGTTGGGGTGTCAGCACAATGGGTTGCCTCGAGTCCGCGTCAGTGGCTGAATGAGGCGATTCTTAACAACACTAGGCTTTCTGCGTTGCTTGCAAGAAAAGATTTTTTGTTTTGATTTGTTGTATTAGTTTTTTGTATGTATACAGTATTAGGTCCGGGGGTCTTCTGGCAGGTCGCTCAGGATCTGTGTTGTCTCTGGAAGTCCTAGTCGTGGATGTACCTGATCACTTTATGCTGGAGTGTGATTCTTCTGGTACTATGTGGAGGCTCTTGGAGCTCGTAATTGCTGGCTGTTGACAGTTTCTTGGGGCTTCTCACAATCCAAGATGAAGAGATGCTTCATACGGTACGGTTGTTTTCTTAGCAAGTAACCGAGTCTGATGTTCATTGGCATCATTTTCAGGATTGTGAATCTGGTTGGTTCTTACTCTGTCAGCCAGAGAAAGATTCACAGTAAAGCAGAGCGCTTTGTTTTGAATGTGCTGGATTTTCAGTTTGTTGGTGTTGGTAGGTGGGTCAGGGGTCAGGTAAGGTTTAGTCTCCACACACTACAGGGTGAAACTCCACTGGTTCTAATGAACTGCTCTGGCAGTTTCATAATATTTGTGGGTTGGTAATGTAACTTAGTTGGATATTTACTTTATTATTTTTTTGTCCGATTCAATGAGTTAGGTGAGTTCATGTTTTATTTCTTGTCATTACTATTTTACATGTGCAAGACATATGTATTGCAGGTGTTAAAGTTTTGCATTTGTTTAATTAAATTAACATTTGTTTTAATTTTGGGGTTTCTACTTTAATCCTGTTTATCCATAATCACTAACTTAAATGTGGAATTTTGTTTTTTATGTTGTATTGAGCAGTCTATGAGCTGGGTATAACCGCAGTACAGTACCTTAATTGACGTAACGAAATATATACGTACAGTATAAACTTCATTATGGTTTTAAGTTTCCAATTCATTTATATTTAACTAGAGTCCATTCACATTCCAAATGACTGTTTAAATTATGGCATGCCACCAACCTTACACTTTGCCATCAAACTTATTACAGTATATACTGTACTCCTCTTCAACCTTGCTAATTTACTTAAGTTTAACCACCTACTTTCCATTGCAGCACTTACTTGTAGTCATAATGACGATCTCGACAAACTACATTTTGTGTGTAACAGTTTCACTCCATAGCCGTTTACCTCTAATGGCTACACTAGATGCCAAGCTTAACTACGTATGGTCTCGACATTTACATTTACCTTACTCTTCAGTTTTGCTATCACATATTCTCCATTTAAAAGATCAACTTTTACTCTAAAGGGCTTACTTTATAATTTTTTAAGAGTGAAATACTTCTCTTATACAGTAATTAGACTCTGGGCAAACTCCTTACAGCAAGACAATTGTATAGCGGGTGCTCTCAAGACTTACCCTCTTCCATGCCTTCTCCAACATACCAATGTACAAAGGCTCTCTTAGAGTACATTAAGTCAAACTTATGGTCTAGGCGTTCCCATGCATCTTTGATTGCAGTTGTGTTTGAAAGGGCACAAACAGCTCTGTCAACTTTGGCCAAGTCAGCACCAGGCACTACAGTTGGTGGCTGGTAGTTGATTCCCACCTGAAGTACATAAAATCACATTATTTATGTTCTGATAATATAAATTTTTCATTATGGTACTACTGCAGGTATTATGGTGCAACTGCTGTGTCTATACAATTGATTAAAGGTATTCCTTTTTGTATATAGTATATATTATGACCCTTTTATTTCCAGTAAGGTACTCCTATACCCAGTCCAGTACTCTCCCAGTTTTTCCAGCTAGCTTCAATATGGTGGAGGTGGGTTAAGACCTCATTAGGAAAACTAAAGACACAAGAGCGGCCAGTTTCCTGTTCCAGCACCTCAGTGTCGTGATCCAGAGGGAAAATGCGTGCTGTATCTTGGGCATACACCCAACCTCCAAAAAGCTGGACGAGGTCTCTGAACACTTTTTTTTTATTTATTTATATATACACATTTAATTTTTATATTTAATTATAATATAATTAATATATATTAATATAAATATAATATATATTAATTATATTATATTAATATATATTATAATTAAATATAATATAATTAAATATAATATATTATATTAATATATATTTATATTATATTCAAATATAATATACAATGGGGCCTCGACTTACGATGCTAATCCGTTCCCAGAGACGGATCGTAAGTCGAAATATCGTAAGTCGAAGTGATTTTTCCCATAAGAAATAAAGGGAATTGAATTAATCTGTTCCCCACCCTCCAAAATATTAACTAACATACAAATACATTTTATACTGAATACAATGTTTTTTTCTAACTACAATACAGTACCAAAGTTTCTCTTACCTTTATGGAGGGCTCTTGATGGCATATGGAAGATGGTGATGAGGGGGGGAGGAGGAGAGTTGTTACTGTTTGGGAGTCCCCTTCCATTATCACATCAGGCAGTGATGTTTTCTCTGGGGTACTCTTTCTCCTACGTTTTGCCTGAATACCACTAGGACCTGGGTGTGGTTCAGTGCTTGTTTGTCTCACTACAAATTTGTCAAGAGACATTTGTTTTTCCCTTCGTTTTAACATTTGTCTGTAATGATGCATCACAGTGTCATTGAATAGGTTAAGGCAACGACCTACTGCAGCTTGATTTGGGCAAGTCGTTTCAGCAAAGGTTTGTAATTCTTCCTATGCTGCACACATTTTCTTAATTGTTGAGGAAGACACATTCTGTACTCTTGTTTCTGCACTATGGTCATCCTTACACGGGTTTTCATATGTTGAGCCTTACCACTGACTTTCCTGGGACTCATGGCGTGACATATAATAATTACTTTAATGTTCAAATTGCAAAAAATCACCACAAAAGCGGAATTTCTTATAGGCGCGATCGTCACTAAGCGGGCAGCTGTAGTAAACTGAGGCAGGTCGGCCGCGTGACCGGGGACCACGCGCTCGGTCGACCCGAACGTGTACCAACAAATATAGGAAGTCGAAGACACCATCGGATGTTGAGTCGCATTTTTCGATGAAATTTACATCGTAACTCGAAATTATCGTAAGTAGGGGCAATCGTATGTCGAGATGCCACTGTAATTAAATAATATAATTAAATATATTAAATTTATAATATATTTATACATTAAATATAATATAATTAATTATATTTAATTATATTAAATATAATTAATTATATTATATTTAATATATAAATATTATAAATATTATAAATATATATAAATATATTATAAATATAATATATTTAATTATATTATTTGAATATAATATAAATATATATTAATGTATTATATTTAATTATATTATATATAATGATAATATAATTAAATATAATATATTTAATTATAATATACATTAATATATAATATATATTAATATAATATAATTAAATATAATTAAATATATTATATTTAATTATATTTAATATTTAAATATATTATATTTAATTATATTTAAATATATTTAAAATATTAGTATATATTAATATATTATAATTAAATATAATATAATATATAATATAATATAATGCATTTTGATGATGTACCTTAAAGCCAGTTGGGCACCAGTCAACAAAAGTGATGCTCTTCTTAGTGCGTGTCTCTGCAATGGCTGCACTTACGTCCTTGGGAACAACATCACCACGGAACAAGAGACAACATGCCATGTATTTTCCTTTTTTGGGGTCACACTTTACCTGTAATAAAAGAAATCTTCAGTACTGGATACAGTATCTTATATCCAAACAGTGCACGGGTAATTTTGCCAGTGAATACAAATGATCAAAAATATGTAGTTTATGTATCAGGAAAGAGATTTAACTCTAATAGGCAAACAAGTAATGAAAAGAAAAATTACCCTGCTAATAATTGGGTGTGCTGAACTGAATTTCAAGTTCATAGAGTGGCTTACTTTCACCGCAATACACCCTAAATGTGTCCCTCAAAGATAATGTTTGTATAGTGCTGTAACAAACTAGCTGTTGTAGGTATGATCCAGAATGTTCTATGAACCACGGGTAGGGACCTGACCCAAGCACATGGCTTTGAACTGACCTCTAAGTCAGTAATGCATTTATCAAGTAATGCATTTTGGTGTCTCTAGGAACCATAAACAGGGGTGGATGCTGATCCCGTGATCTCAAAGACAGTGTTCCTCTAGTCACTTGATGACAATTAAGCATGGGAGGTGAACTAAGCTCTACAATAGATGTGTTCCAATGTGCATCTATATTATTGACAATTTTAGCAAGTACCATTAACTAGGTACTATTTGGTCAGTACCCTCTTAAGAACTCCAGCATGGGAGACCCTGCCTGGAGCAAGCTCTGCTGGCATTGGTCTCTAACCCATACCAGTGACATGTACATACAATATAAATTTACTATCTAATTTACTAGGATATTTTGTAGAAAAGCAATTTTAGTATCTTTCATCATAAATATATTTACATAAAATGATCTTCAGGTGGTTTTGTAGGGAAAACATGACGTTGCACAAATAAATACAACGTACATTCAGATGTTGATGGACCAAAAACATGCGTCTTATCCACCAGAAAATACGGTACTTTTTTAAACGAAGTCTAGAAAAGTTTTGAATAAATCATCCAATAAGGTACATTTACCAATGATCCTACAATAGAAGTGTACCCTAGAATGTGCAGTTGCCAAGAATTAATTACTATACATCAGGTCAGACTACAAGCATGAGGCCAATAGAGGAACTGTAAGTAAACATGAAAAATCACTGGGTTAACTTCTTACCATTTGATGGGATGTATCAAAGCACTTGGCAGTTATGGATCGAACATCAAAATTTTCATGGAAGGCATTTTCAGCTGATACTACTGGTGCATATGTAGCCTGGAGAAATGACAGGTAATTTCAGTTTCAATGACAGCAATTTGAGTCTTTAAGAAGTAAGTGACATATAACATTCATCAAATAAAGAACAATATATGACAGTACTTTTAGTAATGATTAATTGGACATGTATAGCATATAAAAAAACAAGGATTGTAAAAATAAAGATGCTTACATTAAGTTAAATCAATAATTAAAACATTATACAAAATATCTAATTAAATGTAATTAACAAAAGAAAATACAAAAATTTAAATATTATAGGTTTAGTTATAAATAAAATTGGGAAATTCAAAAATGTACTCATCTACTTGTGCCTTGTGCTATCTAACTGCTAACCTAACTGCTCTCATGTAGTTGTGTGTTAAATGATTAAGCTACTAGACCTTGCCTCCTATTAGACTTATACAGGTCTACTTGTACATTTGCTTGCAACAATACAAATTTGTATTATATTACAGATTTATAATAAATGTTGTAAGCATGGAATCACTATTCAAAGCTGTATTTTAAATTTCCATTGATATGTATTTTAGCTCTCATAAGAACAGTACTTTAACTTCTTATAGAAGTCTCTTGTAAGCCTGACTTGCCATGCAAGGTAGTATGGGACAAATAACCCTTATGTTCTACTCTTTCTAAATGTATGCAAAATTTCAGTGTCACTAACTACCACATTCATTGTCTCACCTACTGAAGCCTTTTCATGCACAAGATAGTGGCAAGATTGAGACATACCAGTGGAAAATGTATCCTAGGGTATGGCACTAAGTTTGTTTGGAATTCGGTCAAATCAACATTTAATGCGCCATCAAACCTCAGTGAAGCGGTAATGCTGAAAAATAAAAATGTACTTCATTAAGTTATATAAACATTGACTGGTAAGAACAAGGCTACAAGTGCTTTATTTCCTAAGCGATACATGAAACACTCAAAATTCTCAGCTTTTAATTATACAGCACTGTATTAGTACTCTGTCAAACATGTACAGTATTTTTGCATGTGTTAATACTAATATCATAGTTGTCTCATTATTTTCAAAGTTTTCAAATATCCATGTACAGTCCTGTATAAGCTTTGTATAAGCTTACATGGGTATTTCTGTAACTTTAACCCAAAACAAGACAAAAATATAATTGTCTAATTCAATATGCCATAATGCCAAATTATTAAAATACTGCTACCAAATCTTTCAATCATGTGACTGCATTCTCATTTTAATGGAAAAAAGGCACAATTTTTAAATGTGATAATTTTGTATGATGTGCAAAAAACTAGAAACATCATATCTAGTTGCTATACTAAAAACAACCTTGTACACCATACTATTCATAAAGTTGCGGTACTCGAGATTTTCACATTGCCATTTAAGAGTTCAGCTAGTTATCATATCTGGTGATAAACTGGGTGTTACTGTATATGGGAAAACTATCTGGAAGTCACACTTAGGAATTAAGTTAACATACCAAGAACACTAATTTGCTACAGCAAGAATTTCTTTGCCCTACCTGGAGACGACTTGGCCAATCATGCGGTTAAGGTTAGTGTAAGTGGGTCGGGTGATGTGCAGCTCTTTCTGACAAAGGTCATAGATGGCTTCATTATCAACCATGAATGTCACGTCAGCATGTTCCAGCGTTGTGTGGGTGAACAAGATGGAATTGTACGGTTCAACCACTGCAGTTGAGACCTGTAAAATTTGAAGAGCCACTTCTGTATTTCAGAACTGTACTTCTATTCATGTTTATAATACAGAGCTGGTGTCTTTTAGTAATGGTAGATTTTCAGCAGACAATTATCCTATTAATACTTAAACTAATATTTGTCTTTTCAATAACATGTAAGGAATGTCTATTTGCTTACATGGGAGTGCTGACTATTAATGTATGTTTACTCTAATGAACATCTTCACCTGTTATCCATCAGAAAAATAATCACAATTGATAGTGAAAGCTAAACAAAGATCTTATTATGAGTAAGTGCAAAATGGTAAACAAAAGCAGAGAAGACAGGCTTGAAAAACTGGAAGAATACAGTAAAGAAGTCAATGGTTGATAGAGACCACCCAGATTTGTGACAATGCAGAAGTAATACTTGTACACTATTTGGTTGGCTCAATATAATTTTTTAATATCATTAAACATCAATATAAAATCTATAGTATTTTATGGATACCCCACATTATGTTTTGTATTATCGACCATTAACAATATATCATTACATTAGAACTGCATAATTGAGGAAAGTGGCTTTAAGAGCCTGTAATCTTAACATGCATTTATAAATAGCCACTCACTGATGCAGTAAAATTTTAGATACTGAAGGTGTACACAAGAGTCAAGGTATACAATTTGACAACATAATACTTGTGAGGCAAGTATAGTATGCAATACCTGTGGTGCAGGGTAGATGGAAAAGCAGAGTTTTGACTTTTTCCCATATTCAAGGGACAAGTATTCCATCAGGAGGGAGCCAAAGCCCGAGCCAGTGCCTCCGCCAAAAGAATGGAAGACAAGAAAGCCCTGAAGCCCTGAGCACATGTCAGCTTGTTTTCTAATACTTTCCCGAACAACATCCAGCTGCTCCTTACCTACAGAAATTTTATAATGTATAATTATTTTAATTACCTAATACCGAGCCATTACATTTTTAGTGCTAGATAACATGTGATATTTAGAGGCATTTAATCTAGTAATCAATATATTTTGTCCCTTGTTCTCTCAAAAATTCTTATCCAGATATTTTTCTTTAAATTTTAATAGCATTCAAGTGTTAAAATTAAATGAAGCACTAGATACTGAACTCCACATTTTGGTTGATCTAGAAGCTAGAGCTCAGTTTGCATAAATGTAATCAAATACAGTATGTACAATATTTACCGACAGTGTAGTGGCCACGGGCATAGTTGTTAGCAGCATCTTCTTTACCAGTGTGGAGTGTGTTTGGTGAGAATAGTGCCTTGTAGGTGCCTGTCTTAATCTCATCTGTAGACAACATTAAATAATCAGATTGGTAATTAAAAAGTCACATATAATACTATTCAATATACAAGAGAAAGCACAGTACAGTATTTCAGCTGGACAGTGGATGGATTATTTAACATCTAATAATCTGACAGAGAAGGCAAGGTGAGAGGAAGGTAGATTATGGGGAAGGCAGGGCAGGGGAAAAAAGACAGAGCAAGAGGGTGTAGGGTGAAAGGATGGCAGAGCAAGGAGAAAGGCTTGGTGAGGGGGGAAAGGCTGGATGAGATGACATCAGGTGAGAAGACTTTTTCTTCTTGATGGTACAGTATATGCAGTTTGCATGAAGGTTCTCTCATCCCGATGGCTGCACGAGTGGTAATGTTGTAAGATGCATCACAGTGGCATGTCAAAATTTAATTGGCAAGGATTGAAAGTAGTTGTAGTTTATTATTGTTGTTGTTGCTGTCGATTTAGGGGTGATGACAATCGAGTGATTGGATGCACCCCGTCTGCCCAATACTAGGAAATTGCAAAGAGGGATGGGATTCCTACAGCCTCTTCAGTCAACAGATGTGTCCAATAAAGGAAAAGTTTTGCTAAAGGATGTCATAACAAACATCCTAATCTTCCCGATGCCTGCTTTAATTGTGAGGCAAGGAATATGCAACCTAGAGAGAGCACTTTGTAACTGTGGACAGTGTAGACATAGATGTTCCACAATATCCTCCTGGTTTGGACATCACTAGCAGTAAGGCGAATCCACCAACTGAAGATGGAGATGTGCAGCCAGACAGGTGTGCTCAATCCGAAGCAAAGTGAGGGCTGTGTCAAGAAGATGTGAAGTAGTTTTTATTGTTGCCAGTTGATGGAAGGGTGACAAAAAAAAACAGACAGGTTTTAGAGTTGTACCTGAAGCACTTTGCAGTGAAGGCTGGATGTTGTGTTTATGGAATCAGCTGATCACTGTTGTTCTTTATTGCTAGGTTTATGCTTTCTATGTATTTTCTACCTATGATTGTTACAGTTGTTTTATGAATTTTATGAATAATTCATGAATGGCAATGTGGCATAATTTTTTGCTTGACTAGAGATATTTAGCCAATGTTTGGCTATTTGTCATTTTATATGTAATGAGAGTTCACCTCCTCCCTAATACATCCAGTAGTACAGTCAGGTTCATTCTTGAAGCACAATCCAGAATTCGGGGTTCAAATCCTGGGCGGAACAGAAATGGTTTTGTGCATTTTCTTTCACCTAATGCCTCTGTTCACCTAGCAGCAAGTAGGTACTCAGGAGTTAGTCAGCTAACTCCTGAGTACCTAGGATGCAACCCCCCCCCCCTACTTGTGGGGGTTGCATCCTAGGCAGGGTCAGTAATTTGACCCAGGGAGGGGAGGGGAGGGATTTCGATAAAAGCCTAATGTGTATGAATACACTTTAGTTTCCTGTCCCCCAACACTGTGAATTATATACTAAATATTAAAAAGCCCTTTGAGGAGGTAAGTATTTATTTTTAATTAATTCTGGCACTATTATGTCTGAAACAGTGAAGGAGGTAATGCTCAATTGTCTCAAACATGGCAGTAGCAGTCCATTTATTTCTGTCATGTATTTAAAGTTGTGTGCTGCTGGTGTGGTGTCTCAGCCCTAGTCTGGTCATTGTTAAATCTATTTTTCAGTTTTTATGCCTGGAGTGTTTCCAAGTTTTTCCAGGTCTTTTTAATGGTTCCATAGTATATTGAAGAACATCATGTTTTCCCATTTCGATCCAAATTCTTGGGTGACGGTGTATTTTTGGGTTCTTTTTCATGCATTGTGTGAAATTGGATACGAGGTGTGAGGTGAAAGCAGGGAGAGATGAATGCAGGGTGAGAGAAACAAATAGGCAAACACACCCATCACCTTAGCAACAAATAAACACATACTTGGACTCCTGGTTCAACCTTGACAAGACGAAGATGTCTAGACACCTGCTCTGCCCGAGGGCTGCTAGCTCATGTTCTGTTACACGGTTTTACCCAAAGGGTTTTGATACTGTCGTCTGGCATTCTTACTCGATGGTCCGAATTGTTGCGTGCATGGTGCACAAATGATCACGGGAAAGTCGATAGATTCTGAATGTTTTCTGGCTAGTTTTTCGAGCGGGTAGATGGTGTCCACCACCGGCCAGAGGTGCCAAGAGTTGGAAGGTCTTGGTGGGTTCCTGGTATACCCTCAGGGTGTGGTAGGTGATTGGCTTCTGCTCTGCCAGGGGGAACTAGAATATTTGCATTTTAACCCATATGGGTAAGAGTTTAGGAGGGGCCATATTTTCGCTTTCTTTCCCCAACCCACACAGTGTTCTCTGAGTGGGTTGGGGCCCGGTGCTAGCCTCCGAGGGACTCCTTTTTCATAGTAGGTGCAGTTTGCATGAAGAGGGACTCCTGGAGCTCCCCAATCATCCGCCCATTAGTGTTTATCACCGTAAGGCACATTCGTTTCCGCCGACGAGCGACGTTCATTTAACCATACGGCTTTATGATTTACCCTTCAAGGGGACCCCGGAGCACATAGTGCACAGAAGGCGCCACTAAACCAACAACTATATAAACATACACTAAGTGAGTACATCCTTAGCTTGTCGACAAAAATATTGACCACCAAAGGGCAACACCAATTGCACAGGCTATACATTTTAACAAAATAACATCAAAGCATCTTATAAATTGTATGCATAAAAATATAACAAAATGTAGGTACATTATTATAAATACTAACATTACATTGTGTATCCAAATTTAATAAATTTAATTATATATAAAAAATCGACATTATTCAGCGCAAACCGAAAATGGATCGCCATTTTTAATAAATCAATAGAGTCAGGCAGAGTGCCAGAGTTTTGGAAAGTTGCTAATGTGATACCAGTTTTTAAGAAAGGAGATAGATCAATTGCGTCTAACTATCGACCAATTAGCCTAACGTCTATTGTGGGAAAGTTACTCGAATCTATAATAGCAAATAAAATTCGTCTTCATCTTGAAAAACATAAATTAATAATTGAGTCGCAACATGGTTTTATAAATGGCCGTTCATGTTTAACAAATTTGTTATCTTTTTATTCTAGCATTGTTGAGGCAGTTGATAGTGGTAAGGATTGCGATGTTGTATACCTTGACTTTAGCAAAGCTTTTGATACAGTGCCACATGAAAGACTGATTAAAAAAATAGAGTCTCATGGTATTGGGGGTGCTATATTAAGCTGGATTAGGGCATGGCTATACCAAAGGAAACAGAGAGTTAGTATAAATGGAATCAAGTCAGAGTGGGAAAATGTTGTAAGTGGAGTGCCTCAAGGCTCTGTCCTGGGACCTCTGTTGTTTATAATATATATAAATGATTTAGATTCAGGTTTGAGTAGCAACATTTGCAAATTTGCCGATGATACGAAAATCGGTAGGGAAATTAATTCGGAGGAGGACTCACTATCACTTCAAGTTGATCTAGATAGGGTTTTGAAATGGTCAAAGGATTGGCAGATGCAGTTTAATGCTGATAAATGTAAAGTTCTGAGGTTAGGTAATGATGATAGAGTTACAAGATACGAGCTAGATGGTGTTGTGATTGCGAAGTCGGATTGCGAAAGGGATCTGGGAGTTATGATTAGTAAGAATTTAAAACAAAAGGATCAATGCATAAATGTTCGTAATAAGGCAAATCGGACACTTGGATTTATTAATCGCAGCGTTAGTAACAAGACACCTGGTGTGGTTCTCAAGCTATATCTTGCTCTAGTTAGGCCCCATTTAGATTATGCAGTTCAGTTTTGGTCGCCATATTATAGAATGGATATAAATTCACTTGAACGTGTCCAGCGTAGGATGACTAAGTTAATTCCCCAAATTAGAAATCTTTCATATGAAGAAAGATTAACAAAGCTTAAGTTGCATTCACTGGAAAGGCGAAGAGTTAGGGGTGACATGATAGAGGTTTACAAGTGGATGAATGGACATAACCGGGGAAATATTAATAGGGTATTAAAAGTATCAACACAGGACAGAACACGAAACAATGGATATAAATTGGATAAGTTTAGATTTAGGAAAGACTTGGGTAAATACTGGTTCGGTAACAGGGTTGTTGATTTGTGGAACCAATTGCCGCGTAACATTGTGGAGGTGGGGTCCCTCGATTGTTTCAAGCACGGGTTGGACAAGTATATGAGTGGGATTGGGTGGTTATAGAATAGGAGCTGCCTCGTATGGGCCAATAGGCCTTCTGCAGTTACCTTTGTTCTTATGTTCTTATGTTCTTATAGTCAAACTCCCCTTAGGCTAAAGGGGCGGCCGTCCGCCGCTTGAACGTGTGCACACGTGTGTGTACGTCACACGTGTGCACACACACACGCAGTGATGTGGTGGAGGCTGACTCTATACACAGTTTCAAATGTAGATATGATAGAGCCCAGTAGGCTCAGGAATCTGTACATCAGTTGATTGAAGGTTGAGAGGCGGGACCAAAGAGCCAGAGCTCAACCCCCGCAAGCACAACTAGGTGAGTACACACACACACACGGGCCGATGGCTGAGTTTTCAGCACACTGGACACGTAATCCTGTGGTCCGGGTTCGATTCCCGGCGCCGGCGAGAAACAATGGGCAGAGTTTCTTCCACTCTGATGCCCCTGTTGTCTAGCAGTATATAGGCACATGGGAGTTAGACAACTGTTTTCGGCTGCTTCCTGTGTGTGTGTAAAAAACACAGTAGATAGTAACAGTTGATTGATAGACAGTTGAGAGGCGGGCCGAAAGAGCAGAGCTCAACCCCCGCAAGCACAACTAAGTGAAAACAAGTAGGTGAATACACACACACACGCCCCCCCCCCCTTGCCAACCAGCTCAGTAATCAATGTTCCCTTGGTGAACTACTATCCACTTTCCTTAATTATTCAACCTTGTTGCACTCTTCTCCCCTTAACACCATAATACCTCCCTTAAATTATCCTAAATTTGTTTTAGTCAACCTCAGCTCCCTTATATTGATCTCTATATACCCACAATTAACGCCCACAATCTGGCGGGTCGTATTCCGGGGAACATAGGATCAAGGACTTGCTTAATACACCCACCCATATATTGTCACCCTCTACCCACAAGTCCTTTAACCCTTAAATCACTCTACACGTAACTCCTTTAAATCATCCTTAGCTCCATAAATTCATCATCAACTCCCTTAAATCCCCCCTCTCATCAGTGAATGTCTAGATAGCTTCCACACTTGCCCTCTTCAATTTATATATACTGTGAATATTTCTATTTTTTTTAGCCATTTTCATGTCAGTATTATGTCTCCTTGTCTCTCTCTCCTCTATTCTAGCGTGTGTATCATGTGTGCGGTGACGTGTGTGTGTGTGTGTGTGTGTGTGTGTGTGTGTATCATATGTGCGGTGACATGTTTATGTATCTAATTACTAGGCCAATTATACTGCCCATCTCCAGGATGCAGCTCACAACAGCTGTCTAATTCTTACATAACTGTTTACTACTAAGTGAACAGTGCATCAGATGAAAGAAACTGCCCATTTGTTTTTGCCACGACCGGGAATTGAACCCGGGCCCTTAGGACTACGACCCCGAGCGCTGTCCACTCAGGCCTGTGCGTGTACTCACCTAGATGTGCTTGCAGGGTCGTGCTAGGCTCATAGCCCCGCCCTACGAACGTTCTTACATTATTGCAATGATTCATTTCTCACGTTTTTATCAGCGTGGTGCAGTGGTAAGACACTCCTCGCGCTTCGCAAGCGATTTGGCCTGGGTTTGTATTCACGGCCGGGAAGGATTGACTAGGCGCCAGTCCTTAACTGTACGCCTCTGTTCACCCAAAAGTGAATGGGTATTTAAACAATTTGGCGGGTCGTATTCCAGGGAAAATTAAGATTGAGGACCTGCCCGAAACGCTGTGCGTGTTTGTGGCTTTACAAGAACGCTTGTATATAAAATAAATAAATAACATTTTGAATCGATTTAGCTTTAACGACTACTAAGTCTAACTTATTTCGTTAATGACAGCTCCAACAATGAAAAATTCTTTCTGTTTTCTACATAATTCATATGTGTTTCTAATATCCATCTATGACCCCTCGTCTGGTGTACTCACCTAGTTGTGCTTGCGGGGGTTGAGCTCTGCCTCTTTGGTCCCGCCTCTCAACTGTCAATCAATCAACTGTTATTAACTACTAACTTTTTTCACCCCCCCCCCCAAGGAAGCAGCCCGTAACAGCTGGGCTAACTTCCAGGTACCTATTTACTGCTAGGTAACACGGGCATCAGAGTGAAAGAAACTCTGCCCATTTTTGTTTCTCGCCGGTGCCAGGAATCGAACCCGGGCCACAGGATTACGTGTCCAACGTGCTATCCACACAGCCACCGGCGCCCTGTGTGTGCGTGTGTGGTTTAAATAACAGATAAACATTAGAATTTGGCTCTTGTTTTATTTTGTATTTATATGAGCTAGCAAATACTCCAACTTTGCCTAGTCTACAGATATTCCAAGCACTGTCCCGTATCCCAGATGTTATTACAAATTATCCTGGAAATAATTCAAATTTTTCAATTATAATTATAATTCCTTAAATGTATGATGACCGCCTTCTAATTGTCAGATGTTTCTAAAAATAATCCGAAGTCATAGAACCCATCTCAGATTTCCCAGCACCACTCCTGAATTCCAGGCACTATCCAGAATTCCAGATTCCATCCCTGAATAATTCCAGTATTGATTCGGTAATTCTAGGAATAATGCCAGGCACCGTCCTAAATTCCCGTGAAATCATTCCAAGATACCTCCCAAAAACGTGAACTAATCCCTTTCATAGAAAAATGCCCAATCAAAATGCCATCAACATTAGATTATCCACCTGTCTAATGTTATATAAAGTTATCTTCCGCACGGTCCAGTAATAGAAAAGCTTGGCATTCAGTTATCGACCAGAGCACTGACTAACATTCCACGCCCTTACTAGTCTCCCCGCCACAGCTACTAGGAACTGCTACCGGATCCTGCTACCTGCTGCAAGAGTAACTAGCCTGACTCACCTGCTTCCAAGAAAAGCTTGGTCATGAATGTTCTCAGAATCCATCTTTTAGCTACTCAAAGTGATTTACGAGGATTCCGGGTTAGTTTTGAAAGATATTAAGGGGTTTCCTGAGTTGATTCAAGGTCACCAGGATTAGAGAATGGTTTAATCGACGTTACCTTGATTAGGACAGAGTTTCTGAGTTGCTTAGAGTAGGTTTTCTCAGTCAACATAGCTATAGTCACCTGGATAAAATGTTAGTGGATTTCTGACGTAAAGGAGATCTACCCACCTACCTTGTGGAGCTTCCGGGGATCAACAGCCCCGTCGCCCGGTCATCTGGTCAACCAGGCTGTTGGAGGCGGCGAGCGCATGAATCACAGTCTGGGTGATCAGGTATTCTTTGAAGATCTAGGCTGAGGTTATGGACTAGGCATAAATTTTCTGAAATAAACTCTGGTGACTAGTAGGATAGTCTATGGGCTCCTAAATTATACTTGGGGTTTCTTGATTAGGCCCAGGTAGCAAGAGAAGAACCCAGCGCTATGTACTCACCTAATTGTGCTTGCGGGGGTTGAGCTCTCCAGGTAGCAAGAGAAGAACCCAGCGCTATGTACTCACCTAATTGTGCTTGCGGGGGTTGAGCTCTGGCTCTTTGGTCCCGCCTCTCAACCGTCAATCAACAGGTGTACAGGTTCCTGAGCCTACTGGGCTCAGGAACCTGTACATATATAGAACCCAGCGCTATATATATATATATATATATATATATATATATATATATATATATATATATATATATATATATATATATATATATATATATTCTCTCACATTGACAGTGGCTTGACGAAAAATGCAGACTGACCCCTCACTCATCTGGTGCCTTCGGGAGGTGGAGATGTTTGAGATATATATCTCGAACTATCTACTTCTTTTGTAAGGTCTGATGGCGTAGTGGGTTAAAGCATACTAGTTATGCCAGCTACTGGAAGGTAGTTGTGCTTTCTGGGTTCGAGTCCCACTAGTGGGTGTTGTCCAAAGATTGTTAATCTTCACTTGTGGTTTATGCAAGTATAGGCTTATATATATATATATATATATATATATATATATATATATATATATATATATATATATATATATATATTTATTTATATATAAATATATATTATATATATATTTATATATATTATGTATATATTATATATATATATACACTGGTTTCTCCCCCCCCCCCCAAGTCGAACTACTAACCCTCCCTAGGATGCAATTCCACAACAGTTGACTAACTTCTGGGTACAATTTACTGCTAGGTGAAAAGGGGTATTAGGTGAAAGAAAATATGCGCAACAATTTCTTCATGTAATAAATATCTAGCATATAAGATAGAAGAAAAATAGGTTGGGAGTCAGTACATTAGACAACCGACGGTTAGACAGACAGGGACCAAGAGCTAATAGCTCGACTCGACAGTCCCAAATAGCAAATACAAAAGGTAAAATACACGCACGGGTTCGCGCCCCACGAGGAAGTCTGAACAGGAGTGAACTTGAGCCAATCAATAACCATAAAATTCACCTCTTCACTACATACATGAGCAGTGATTCTCCTCGATCATGGCCATCTATTGCTTCCCAGCCCTCGTCCCAGCCCTCCCTCCCAGCCCCTCCCTCTCTCCCAGCCCCTCCTTCTCTCCCAGCCCCTCCTTCTCTCCCAGCCCCTCCTTCTCTCCCAGCCCCTCCTTCTCTCCCAGCCCCTCCTTCTCTCCCAGCCCCTCCTTCTCTCCCAGCCCCTCCCTCTCTCCCAGCCCCTCCTTCTCTCCCAGCCCCTCCTTCTCTCCCAGCCCCTCCTTCTCTCCCAGCCCCTCCTTCTCTCCCAGCCCCTCCTTCTCTCCCAGCCCCTCCCTCTCTCTCCCAGCCCCTCCCTCTCTCCCAGCCCCTCCCTCTCTCCCAGCCCCTCCTCTCTCCCAGCCCTTCCCTCTCTCCCAGGTACAAGGCTAGTAGACGGGGTATAAAGAGCGCCCCCGTAGACGCCGATAGGTAAGTACTGATAGGTAAATAAAGAATAACAGTAATAATTAATGAGACGACAGATTACCTTCATCACTACGGATAACTCTACTGAGAAAGTGCAGCTCTAGTTTGTGTACCACAAACTAAACAATACTATATATGGTCACGTTTCATAATCTGTACCCATATACCCGAGGTCACAGCTCATACCCGAGGTCACAGAACATACCCAAGGTCACAGCTTATACCCAAGGTATACCCTCAGCTCATACAAGCTCATACCCTCAGAGATTAAAATTCCTTATTTTCTTTTTTTTTAACTGGAGGGCTCTTACTAGGCGTGTACATATATATAACTTTATTTTCAGAAAATATTTAGAAAATTATGGTTACAAATAGCGTCGTAGATGTATAAGTTGCCGGGCTACATAATATATGTAGGTTAGGTAAACACGTGAGTTGGTGCAGTAAGGTGTGAGACAGGAGCTGTATCTCAATGACCATTAAGACTTCACCATTCTCACTATCACAAAGAAATTACAATTAAGAAACGGAACATTAGATCCAAACTATGGTGTTCTACTCACCAATAACGGTGGGTTCCAGATCTATGAAGACGGCCCTCGGGACGTGCTTGCCCGTCCTCGTCTCGCTGAAGAAGGTGTTGTAGGAGTCGTCTGCCTCGTACCCAACAGACTCGTCCGCTAACATAGTGCCGTCGGTCTGGATGCCGTGCTCCAGGCAGTACAGCTCCCAGCAGGCGTTGCCCATCTGGGTCCCGGCCTGACCCACGTGGATGCTGATGCATTCTCGCTGTACAAACAATAATACCATCACCATATAGCCCACTTATGGAATGTTTGGGTGCATAGTTATTTACCTGAATTTACCTGAGGGGGTCACAAACTCTCTAGTGACCACGACGAAGACAGGAAGCCGGAGGCTTGTCAAAGGTTCCCCCATTTGTCTTGATGATTTTATCGAGCTGGGTTTTGAAAATCAGCAGTATTGAGATTTGCGGGTTCTGTGGGTAGGCGGTTCCACGGGTGTATAACCCTATGGATGAAAAGGCATTTCCTGTTTTCTGTCCTATATTGTGGCTTGTTGGGTTTCGAACCATTGCTCCGTGTTTATGTTACATATGACCTTTTGAAGGTCTGTAACAATATCCTTCAAATCGTTCAGTATTTTAAAAATTTCCATATCAACACTGTCATGCCTGGATTGCAATGTTGTTAGCTCTGTGGCCCTCAACCATACCCGGTATGACAGTCTACTTACTTTTGAAATAATTTTTGTTGCCCGGTGTTGAACTTTCAATAAAGCAGCTATGTCTTTCTGAAGGTGAGGTCTCCATGCTGAGACACAATAATCCAACTGGGGGCGCGCCACAGATTTATACAGTTGAATAACAATCTTCTTTTCCCAGGTCATTTGAATATTCCGAGGGTTTGGTTAGTTTTTTTTTTTTTTTTTTTTTTTTTTTTTGCTACTTGTCAACTTTCAGTGAATGGTGGATTCTGACTCCAATGTCCTTTTTCTTCATCAATGTGCTGCAAGGTAATGTTGTTGATTTGGTAGTTGTGACGTGGATTGTTATGCCCCACATGCAGGGTCTTATATTTTTTTTATATTAACAAGTATTTGCTCGTTTTCCGACCATTTGTGGAGTTAATGTACATCTCGCTGTAACGCCTTAATAATATCCAATCAATGTAATAAATGTAATATAATATTTTTCCTATGAGTATTCATTATCCATTCATTTTATAATATATAAGATTATCCGTAGAAAATGAACAAATTAGTACCGAGAGTCTGACATAAATTGTGAACATAAAAACACAGTGAAAATATTTGGGTCAGCCCTCAGCGGTATGCATAGGGGCCCGTAGTCAAGACAGCACGATGTAAACAATGCTCCAGCCGGTCGGTTGTAACTAGAATCCCAAGCTTTATTCTCTGGAACATTAAACTCATCATCTGAGTAGAGTATGGAAATGATACATGTTGAATGCTTATTATGCCAGTAGAAATGTACCTAATCGACTTTAGTTGCTCGTTCACGTGGCTTGTAGTCACTTGTAGGCTTGCATCATTTGGTAGTTACTATGCGACCTCGCTGGATCAATTATGATCGACATGCACTTTAGCCTCTATAATACCTTTATTACCACATAAGTTAACCAAGTAAAACACTGCATTGATAGAGTAATCTATTAATCCATCATTAATGTATTGACCTCTGTTTAATCTATTTGATTTCTCATTAATCAGCAGGTCATTAATCTATAATTAATTTATTGATTTCATTAATCTATTGATCTGCTATTATTCTATTGACCCCTATTGGTCCCTCATTCATCTATTTATCCCTAATTATTCTATTGATCTCATTAATTTATTGAGCCATCATTCCTCATAAATGTTTTGATCCCTCATTATATAATGATCCTCGTTATTAATCTATCCATCACTTATTAATCTATCGATTACTTATTAATCTATAGATCCCTCATTAATCTATTGACCATTCATTAATCTACTGAGTGATTGATTAAACCACCCTAAAGGTGGCACGGGCATGAATGGTCCGTAAGTGGAACCTCTTTGGGACCATTACCAGTACCAATAGCTGATACTGGAGATCTCTGGATGGATGGGGTCGTTCATCGGTAGTTTGGGACCATCAGGATCGTCGTCCTTTTCCAGGAATTGCCATTGTCAGTCTGGGAATTTGCGGTGGAATTCTGAGTCGCGGTATTCTTTCTTCGGTATGGTGAGGTCAGTGTAGGAGTTCATAGCGTTAGCGTGGAAATACACGGTGCTGGCGTGGACATACACGGTGCTGGCGTGGACATACACGGTGCTGGCGTGGACATACACGGTGCTGGCGTGGACATACACGGTGCTGGCGTGGACATACACGGTGCTGGCGTGGACATACACGGTGCTGGCGTGGACATACACGGTGCTGGCGTGGACATACACGGTGCTGGCGTGGACATACACGGTGCTGGCGTGGACATACACGGTGCTGGCGTGGACATACACGGTGCTGCCGTGGACATACACGGTGCTGCCGTGGACATACACGGTGCTGGCGTGGACATACACGGTGCTGGCGTGGACATACACGGTGCTGGCGTGGACATACACGGTGCTGGCGTGGACATACACGGTGCTGGCGTGGACATACACGGTGCTGGCGTGGACATACACGGTGCTGGCGTGGACATACACGGGGTGCGGGTATTTGTTCTGGCTGATTATCTTGTTGTGTTTGTGGGCCAGTTGTCGTCTGGTGTTTACATTGTCATTGAACTTGCTGACCGGAATGAAGAACGCATAGCGAGTACTTTTGTCTTTGTCGTTGGTCACAAGGCCATTCTCGTCGACGTCGGTGTTAATCTATTGATCCCTCACGAATCAACTGATCTCTCATTAATCAATTGATGGAATAATCATTTGATCTCATTAATATATTGACCTCTAGTTAAACTATTGATCATTAATCTATTGCTTCCTCATTGCTTAACTGAAGACGGTGTTCGAGATGACTGATCTTGAAGTCAGTGTTCTAGGAGCGGGACCAGGGATTTATTTAAAGCTGGAATTTAAATTATAGCACAAATATTAGATAGTCACCGAGACAAATTTTAACAGGTTTGGGTCCTGTGTACCCAAACTAGGTGGGTCCTGATACAGGACCCACCTAGTGTCCAGCCCGTCCTCCTAAGGCTTCCCAACGTCAAGAAAGCGTCATAAAGTGCCCTTATCCTAACCTACCAGAGGACCCAAAACAGAAAACGGGACAATATGTGAATTTCGCGAGCCGTTACCATTTTCGGCCTTAGGTAGAGAATACGTCCAATGCGACGCTCTATTAGGAGGAGGGGAGCCAGCAGTGAGAGGGAAGGAGTGGATATAAACAGGACCCACCTAGTAGAGGCCAATAGAGGGGGTGAATTTAAACTATACCCACCTAATCTGGGTCAACAGCCCCGGTGCTTCGTAATTATGTTGCTGTGTAAAGAGTGCCTTCGGGCCAGCACGCCCAAATCAAAGACATTCAAAGCAACACTTGTCTTCGACAAAGGTGACGTTAATCATATTTTAAGATGGAACGGGTTACTTGGGAGAGTTATAGAAGAGTATAGCTGGCTTATTGCTGCTTAAAATGCTTAAAAACTACCTATCATAGCCTGCAGACTGAACCGGGCTTGGAGGCGTTTACTGAGTTTACCGTCCTCTCCTGGATATGTACACTGAGTGGTGTACCTCGCTTCTCGGTGGATATACACCGACAACACCACCAGGTGTGTTCAACAGTGAATGACAATATTCAAAGTACTGTTAGCTGTTCATCCGGTCACCCAACCAGTTCTTGGCCAGACCCATACATAACATTGGATGGGCACTCACCCCCCCCACTCCCATCTGAGCCTAGCCATTTACTGGAGTAATTCTTCAAGCTGGGCGTCTTCAACTGACCTAAATATTATTGCAACCGGAAGATCGTCGACTTTTGAAACTCGCTGATAAATTTTTTGACTCCTGTTACGACTGAAATGATACCATACTTTCAATTGTTCATAAACACACATATATATATATATTTATGAGCAATTAGAACATTTCTCCTTATTATTAGTACAGGTTTCCGCCTCGAGTGCGGTTGCCTAGTGATGTGTATCATAACACTACGATGCCTCAACCCGTTTTACTTACGCCTCCGCTGACCATCTTGCTGGTGGAGGGTTTTCCTTGTAAGCTTCACCAACCACGAAAGATCCACTAAGAAACGCGTCTCCTATTTTAAAACTACGGTCAAAATTCAGGAACTAGTTGCTGGTGTGCACTTGTTGATGGTTGAGCACACCATTGACTTGTGAGTGTGTGTCGCTCCGCCGACCTCCCCTCGCTAGGCTCTCTACCCCCCAGCCAATAGCAGATCTCGACTGTGCACTAACCAATCAGAAAACACGGTCAAGTCCATTTATTAACCAATCACAAACCGCGGTCAAGAAATGGGCGGGGCTAATGACGGGAATTTCTGCGTTCCTGTGTTAGTTTCTTTATAATTATAAAAGTTACTCTTGTTTATTGATCTCTGGCGTGGCTGATCAGCTGTGAGGTCTCCAACTGACCAATAGGATTATATTTATAACAACAATGCGGTATAATCATACAGTACATTTTTATGTTTTGTTAAATGATATATTCTTATCTAATACACTTTTCAGTTTGTAAGATGTTGAAGATGAGGGTTAAAAGGTGTTATTTTAAGTGGTGTAGCACTTACCTTACAGTGCTTACCTATCAGTGTCTACGAGGCGGGGGGGTGGAAGGGAAGGGAATTATGAGGGGAAAGGGCCAAGTTATTATGACTATATAGCACTTGGAACGGGTCAGGCTAAGGATTTAATTTTCCGCCTACTAGCCCTGCTGTACCTGTTGCATTACCGTTCAACTATTATGACGTTCAAATTCTGTATCGAATCTGTCCTTAAGGTTGTGAATGGAGATGGCTTCCACAACTTCCTTCGTGCATTCCACGTCTTGACTACCCTTACTGGGTACGAGTATTTTCTTACATTCTTTCGGCTCATTTGTGCTTCCAACTTCCGCCTGTCTTTTTTGTCCTACTGTCTCTCAGTTTGAAGAGGCTAACCTTGTCCACCTTATACTTATCCTCATCAGTACCTTGTGATCCTTGTCTCCATCAGAACCTTATACATAGTGATTATATCTTCTATGTTTCTTCTATCCTTTTGTGTTGTGAAATTTAGGTCCACTAGGCTATCCTCGTAGCTTAACCCTTAAGCACTGATGGTTAGCACCTTGCCTTAAATATTTTTATTTTTTAAATTTTTATTGTATGCTTCCTAAGGTGTGAATTTAGGTTTCAAAACGATGTCCTTATATTTGCCAGCGTTTAATATACTGCCGATGTTATCCTGTTTATGTGTGCCTCTAGTGTTAGTGCTATAATAATAATATTTATTCAATTTGTCGGGGGACAGGTAGGAGACCTATCCCCCGCAAACCACAACAGTTGACTAAAAATTATATCCACTCCCAAATCTTTCTTTCTGAGCTCTGTAGCTATCTTCCCCGTATGGTGTAGATGACTTCTCCCTCTTTCCCAGCTTCATTACCTTACACTTGTTGGGACTGAATTCCAGCAACTATTGGTTTGACCACTCCCAGTGTTTGTCAAGGTCCTAGTGTAACTTCCTGCAGTACTTCTCTGATTCTAATTCCTCGTCAGCTTTGCATCACCAGCAAACATGTTTGAGTTCATTCCCTCGGGCAGGTCGTTCTCATACATTAGAAACAGCAGTGGTCCCAGGACAGAGCCTTGTGGGACCCCACTTGTTACATTCCTCCACCTTGAAGCCGCCTCTCTGACTGTAACTCTTTGATTTATGTCCTTCAAGTACGTCCTTACATAGTGGTGGTGTAGTATAGTGATGGTGGTGTAGTATAGTGATGGTGGTGGTGTAATGACGATGGGGCTCCAACACAGGTGGTCACTCAAAAATTTGGAAACTCACTCGAGAGCTCAATTTAGAATCACCATTCAAGGAAGAAGAAATGAAAGGAAACAATATACAGGAGTTCAACTATAAACAGGTTAAAACCCGAGATGGAGCCCAAGAGACGGAATTCAACCGCCTTACAAACATAGAAGAGTACACTAGGTGGTACTACACACCGGGGATTGGGGGGGGTGTCACCAAGGTGTGACGTCATAACTGATATTTATTCCCTACACGTCACTACACACACGCTCCTCCTTTGTTTTTTTGCCACGGTAGTTTAATGTGTTGCTCATTACCAGTGAGTATGTTGACAGGAGTAATGGATTGGCTCACACTCCTGTGTATTTACTATTTGTATCTGCAGACTTGGACCCCGCCTTTCTAACCAATTTTTTTGTTTTCCTCTATTATGTCTAGTATATATATTTCTCTCTAACACACACCCACACACATACACACACACACACACACATACACATACACATACACACACACATACACATACACACCCACACACACACACACACACACACACACACACACACACACACACACACACACACACACACACACACTCACACATACACACCCACCTACATTACACTCCTCACAATCGTCACAGCGATAACACCTGGATATTAACCAGATGTACCGTATGAGGTAAATATGGTCACTTGCCGCGCCACAACTCACACTACAACACTAACATATCAGGACCTGGGGATCGTCTGGTGAAATCGATTCCGTTTGCATTATAGAGTACGCCGCTGCTACTCGGCCTCTGGGGGAACTACACTCTGGGGAACTTGTCAGGGGAAAGCACCAAGCCATTACGACTATATAGCACTTGGAACAAAAAGTTCCAAGTAGCACGGGCTACGGTGAGCCGGTAACTTACCTGGCACAGGAGCTGGGCAAGAAGCACGGGCTATGGTTAGCCTCGTGAGCCTATGTGAATGGAATGTTTATATCCACGGAAGTGGATGACAATTTTACATTTATCTCTGAAATTCTATCCCCAATAATCTGTAAGTTCAATTTCATCCTCATTATCTCAGTCCCTGGCATGATCTAAGCACCTCTTGGGTGTCTTAATCTTCATCAATCAATCCCAAGATTATTCTCATGGCTTCATTTTGTACCTTCTCCAACTTTAGTCTACCTTTACCAAAACAACAAATGACGGGTGCAGCATATTCAATAAATCTCAAGGTGGGAGTATACCTAGGTCATAAAAGTATTTGTGTACGTCTGATACCATATTACTTGTGTAAAGGAGGAAATGTAGATGTTTATCTCTCAGAATGTTTGGTAATATGTTTATTGTTTGTGATGTGTTTATATGTATGTATTAACACGATGTACTGAACGGGGTGAGAATAGCTTGAGCTACCTCATCCCTTTGTGTGTATTTTACCTCAATAAACTTATTAAATTTCAATTTCAAGGTATACCCTGTGATTACTACTGGAATGTGAAATGTAAAATATGATTAATATTTGTATATAGTGTGAATTTGTGAGCCCTTAAGGGACCTTAAGTAGACGAGGGTAGAAATAGCCTAGGTTACTCTATACTTTTGAGATGTATTTTATTATCTCAATAAACTTACTTGAACTTGAACTTATATTTTAGTGCTACACTCCTGTGGTAAAGTGCTTGTACCTCCTAATAATCATCTCTATCATTTCATTATCACACATCCAAACAATTTGATGTGGTACACTACTGATGTCTTTATTTCTATAGTTATCAAGAAGTTGACACTCTAATACATAGTGATCTAAAGTGTGGGCGTGCGGCATGCTACATAATTTACCCTCCTTATCTTTTTTCCGTATTGCCAGAAATATTTGTATCCTGCTCTTAATCTCACGTAAATTGACTCCTTCCAAATAGACTTTCCTCTACCATAATTGAAGGACGAATTTGAGTTTATTATTGCGTTATGCTTAAGTGTGTTACTGCTGTCCACCTACCGTTCTCTTAACTTTTTCTTCATCCACTTGGATCATCTTGTCTTTATTTGTTTCAAAGTTTTTGACATACAACATCGATAAAGTTTTTTTTTTCCTTGGCTCTCTTCGCTATCTCACTAACTGCCTCATTCAACAATATTCCCACGTAAATCTTAGGGACTCAGAAGCCCAAGGTGTGGATGGAATCCAATGCAAAGTCACAAAGGAACTGGCAGAAGAACTATGCGTACCGCTGAAATTATTTATCACAAAATCTCTCGGGTAACTTCAGACTGGGGATTGCTTCGAGGGAAGTTTAGACACATGTATATGAATGATTCATCACAACACAAACATCGTTAGGCCTAGATATATCTTCCCTTATCAGATTATTTGTTCTTTCCCATCAGTTGATAGTGGAAAAGATTGTGACATCATATCCCTTAACTTTATCAAGGTCTTTGGTAGAGGAAAGGATGGTGAAGTACTGGATTTCAGCATAGCGTTTGATACCGTACCTTACGCAAAACTGATTAGAAAGATATAGAGGTTCGCGGTACTTGGGGAAGCTATTAAGTCTGGTTGTGAAACCGTTCAGATGGAATGCCCTATATAGGGTCTGTCTTTGTATATATATATATATATATATATATATATATATATATATATATATATATATATATATATATATATGCATTAACACAAGACAGAACACTAGAGGATATTAATAGGGTATTAAAAGTATCAACACAAGACAGAACAGAAACAATGGGTATTGAATAGAAGTGTTTGTAGAGAGCCTATTGGTCCATATTTCTTGATGCTTCTATATTGGAGCGGAGTCTTGAGGTGGGTAGAATATAGTTGTGCAATAATTGGCTGTTGATTGCTGGTGTTGACTTCTTGATGTGTAGTGCCTCGCAAACGTCAAGCCGCCTGCTATCGCTGTATCTATCGATGATTTCTGTGTTGTTTACTAGGATTTCTATATATATATATATATATATATATATATATATATATATATATATATATATGTATATATATATATATATATATATATATATATCATATATGATATATATATATATATATATATATATATATATCTGAGCAGTAATATAAACGATTAGATACAAAATAGAGTTACGGGCTTTTCATGCCCGTGCCACCTCTTGGGTGGCTTAATCTTCATCAATCAATCATCAGAACTGAGCAGTAATATTTGCAAATTTTCAGAGAATACGAAAATTGGGCGGGAAATAAATTATGAATAAGCCTTTGGATGTGGAAATCTTAGGGATAGGTTATGTGGAATTAAGAGGCTAATCTAATTATCTGCACTGAAACTTCTAAGAATTTGGAACAATTATATTACCCAATATAATTGCTGCAGCTCAAAATCGCTTGAAGGCGATCTAGATAAACTTTTGAAATGGATGAAAGCTTGGCAGATGCAGATGAATCCTGAAAAATGCAAGGTTTTATGTCTAAATAATGAAGATAGAGTTAGAAGATAACAGCTGGAAAGTGTTGACATTTCGAAGTCTGAATGCGACGAAATTCTGGGGGTCATGGCCAGAATTTAAAGACAAAAAATCAATGCATAATTGTTTTAATAACGCTAATAGGATACTGGGATGTATTTCTAGAAGCATTAGTAATAAAATATTTAAATACTCTTAAATGAATTTGGGTGGATATAAAAAGAGCTGCCGCGTATGGATTAATAGGCTTTCTTCAGTTTCTTAATTCTAATGTTCTTATATACTTAAAGATGAAAGTTCCTTACTAACCAGTTTTATTCGGAATCAACATTGGTATCAAATTATTTGCTGGGCATTATTTTTTCTGAATTTGATGACAGTTTCAGATTCATTTGGTGGAACCCTTCCACGTAAAATGGAACGACCGTTGTCCACCAGCTAATGGGTACATAAGAACATAAGAGTTAAGGAAACTGTAGGAGGCCTATTGGCCCATACGAGGCAGCTCCCATTATATACACTCAAACTCATTCATATATATGTCTAACCTGCGCTGGAAACAATCACGTGATCCAACATCTATTATAATACCCAGTAAATAGGGTTCTAATTATTGGCGACGCTCGAGTGTGCAAAGCCAGTGTTCGAAACTTTTACAAACTTTCTGAACGCACGTCAGATGCCGCCAGTGTGTAAGGCATTATAGACCTATAATGGCTGCATATTAATAAAATAAATGTTATATAAATTATTGCATATACGTCTATATGTATTTATAAACATTAGCTGATAATGGCTCAGGAGGGACCGGAGTGTCATAAATACGATAGTCTCAGTTTATCCTACATTACAGAGAACACTTAATTCGTGTGCTTGATCTAGATAATTTTAAATTACTTGTGGTGTAATGAATATGTAATTTCCTTCCAAATGAAATTGACATTGACACACGTAATGTTTTCTTTAACCGTCAGTGATGAGTGGTGATGCGCTCGTCATCAAGGAGGAACCAGGTGAGGTGAACAACCATCGAGACACTAGAGCCTGGGTCAGACGGCGGCGTGCCCACTCTATAAGAGCCCAGTCGACCGTCAAGACTGCTGTGTTCCAGTCCACATCTGGATCAGAAGATACACTACACATCAGGACTCTCCTAGCCCTTCCATTCTCCAGTTGCGCAGTGTATGGTAATCCGGGCTACATGACTGATGCAGTAAGCCTTGGGGACGTACCCCTTGTTAAGTCCATGGAGGTGGTGGCGTCCATGGGGACCGTGGCAGTGACTGTAGCAGCGGTGGCGGCCATAACACTCCTTCTCCTCGCTGGTATTATCTACTGTTGCTGCAAAAGTCTTCGGGTAAGATATTGTTGGTTTTGTGTAAATTATTGGTTGAACTGGCCCTCCCTTGTCAGGTGAAATTGGTTCACAACGCCCTCGAGTGCTGTACCGTTGTTAGTGTCATGTAGGGACTCTCCCTCCACTTTTTCTGTGGTTTATTCCGCTATTGTACTATTAGACCAGTTCGTTATAATACAGAACTTTCTATCCATTCCGTCCTTAATGTCGCTGGGTAAACTATAAATACCCCGTAGAGCTTGGTTTGTAATGTATCGTTCAAGCTATGGCCACTCCCAAAGGCGCAGTCGTAAATTATTCCTGTAGTTAATCAAACTTTCTCAAATTAAAATTCTTGTGCATTTGATGGCTTGTATAGTTAAACGTAGTTAAAGCGTTTAACTATAGTCCGTGGTTTAAAAACGGTCCGTTGGCTGTTTTTATACCACCCCATCCTCTATCATGTATAAAATGCAGACTTTCAGAGATTATAATATCGGTATTTTAATTACTCGTCAGACGCAAGTCTATTACGGTATTTATTCTCTACTATATTGTGTAGCGGGGGTTTATGCTTAGTCTGGTTTAGCGTTTTGAGGCGGTCGTATTCCGTAGGTAAAGGTATAGACATCCTTCAGATGTAGGAAGTGATAAAGTATAGACATTACAGCCGACCGTGGTCACTCGTGGCCAGTGTTTAGAGAATAGGCGGGTATTGAAAGTGTTACTTTGTTTTTTGACGTTGTAACTGTGTAACCACGTAGTGTTTAATGGTCAGTGAGCATGGCGTTCCCTTCAAACTGCACGAGAACCCGAACTTATTAGTAATATAATGTACCATCTTTAATAAAAAAAAAAAAAGTAAAGAGTATAATAGTGAACTTAGGGCTGGGATATGCAAGGTATTAGTTATTTTGACAATTACTTGTATTTGTAGTACGTGAATTAATAATTAGGTTGGAATACAAGCGATCATGTTAAAATGTCATACGTGAAGGTTTGAATTTAAATTATGTAAATATACAAATGTACGAGTAGTGACGCTCTCGCCTCGTTCAATAGTGTTCACATTTACACGAAACAATCGACATTAATTATAATTAACATTATTTTAAATTTATTATTTTCCATGGGTGATATACTAAACTTGCTTATAACGAGAAATAGATTAATACATAGGCTGCAAATACTGTACATGCAAACCAACCGATACTTATGCGTTCAGTGAAAATTGTCAAAAAAATATTTAAATTTTCATTGACGCATCTAGGTTGTGTTCATGGAAAAATTTACTTATTTTCTGACTTCTGTTTCGTATTCCTAATATTTGTAATAAAGGCACATGTGTAATCAGAATAATTTAATTTTTTCTTAGTGGAAATCTAGATTTGAACTTGTTCGTGTAGCGATGCTTCCAAACCAATACCGTAGTGCAGTCTTTAATCTTCAGAGGCACACAAGCATTCCTAGGGAAGAGTTCACCTAAACTACTAATTGAATTTGTAGTATTCAGATAAATGGTATTCCCTGAGGTTATTAACCAATCCCCCTGGTGTAATGTGTTAACTGGAAATTCGTCAACCCGTCCTCGGTCTATTCATTCCATCCACCGGTCGACCCAAACACGCATTCATAAAATTTAACATGCTGTTCATTCAACATTGGAATTTTTTCAAATATAAACATTGGTATAGATTAATATATTGTGCATATCTGGGCATTGGTTAGGCGTTTAAGCTGGCGATTATTTGTAATTGTAGTACGTGGGTGAAGCAGTTACAGCGTTATAGTTCTAACAAAATTAGTCGGTGAAGCACTTGTTCCGGAAGTGTTCGAACGAAATCAGTAGTCTTGTGTAAACCGGTTTTTCATTCATAAACAGGGTTTGGCGGGTGTTGGAATCACTTTTGGGTCTTTGGAGGACGGGCTGTTGACTTGGTCCACTTGTTAGTAGCCAACTCTAAGTGCTTCGTTCACTTTCAGCTTATATTGTAAACACTGTCCAAACCAACGTAAACCTAGCATATTTAACTCTACCCTCATTTTGGGTTTAGTTAATGTTTATTGTAGCTTGAAAGATTGTCAGCTAATTAGAATTAGATCATTAAAACTGGTAAGTATTTTTCTTGGCCTGGAAAATGTTGGTTAACTTTGCCACACCATACAAGGCTGTTCCTTGGCCTTGACACTCATTTCATCTCACTGCGGTCTTTTTTGTTTAGAGTAATTTGTAGTGTGGTATGATCGATGCATTTAATTTATAAATTTTATCATTCTTCCTTGGCCAGGGAGGCGATACTAGTTGTGCAGATGGAAGCTTGTTTTTTGAACGTCGGGAGAGGTACCCGTTGTTGCAAAACAGATCTGCCAAGGACCATAACGGGGATGACCACACTAAAACCCTGGGCTCCAGCGGTATGAGCAGAAAGTGGGACTTTAACAAAAGGCGTCGCTTAGACAGCGACAACATTCCCAGCAATTGGGACGTGACAAAGATGTACGGCCCCAGTAAGTACCCACCACCACCCATTCCTCTTCCAGCCACCAACACTTCTCTTATGGCTACATCAGTCACCGCCACTGCTGTTGCCGCTTCCGCCGTCGCCAACACCACCACCACTGTCGCCACCATCACTGCCGCTGCCACCACCGTCGACTCTACCTCAGTCGCTGCCGTCACACCTGTAGACTTGTTCTCTTTCAGACCCCGTCCCGCCCCAATTATCTATGACTCGTGCGATTCGTCCTATGGAACAATTAAGCTTCCACGGGATTCGTATATTACGCAGAGTACAAGCACACCCTCATCTCCGGACGCCCCATTCGTGTACATCCCACCCCTCCCCGATGATATCAAGAAGTTGACAATGTCGTTCCCTAAGAAGTTGCACAAGGCCGATGACAGACGACCCTTATCTGCTCCCCCAGTTGTTACGCGTCAGCTGGAAGAATCTCCGAAAAAGACTCTTGGGAACGTTGCCAGCCCTGTCCAGCGTTGGTTCTTCCTCATGAAAAAGTCTGCGGCGGTTAACGCTAATGTTGATAGTGTAGACTCTGAACGAAGGAAGTCTTCAGCGGCCGACTTGGGCACCAATGATGTAGACCTGAAGCCCGTATCTTCGCCCCAGACAGTGGCAAGTTGTGGTATAGAAGACATGAAGGCTAGGCTTGATAAACTTAACAGACAAATGGTGAACGCCTCGAAGCCACAAAAACGGAAGTACATCTACCCAGACCCCAATGACCTCAGAAATCACATTACCCGTTAACTAACTTATTGTGATCTTGTATATAGACGATGCATTGGGAATGAATTTTAAGTTTGATGGGAATAATCCTCTGATTCTAGAGTTAGCTGGGTTTATTCATTGCTTTAGTTTTGCCATTGACTTTAGCCTGCCAAAAATTCTCAATGCGTCGTGCTTTTACAACTTTCCCCATAGAGACTAAGGCTTGTCTGCACGAATATTTTAAGCATGGTATCCATACCATCGACTTTATTTTCCATTACAGGAATGTTTTAAAAATTTTAATTGCTACCTCGGTTTTTTAAATAACTTATTTTTCTTTGAACGAGGATATAAATGGTATGCATTCAAAATCATGAAAGGCTCCAACCAAGGAAATTTGAGAATTATGCTCCTAACTTATTAAAGTAATTTAAAAATGTGATAGTTGGGTAATAAGAGTGAACCAGCCCGAATGCATATAGATTGCACGGGTGGGTTTTGATTTTATAAGTTGTAGCGATTTGGTGAGACCTGCACCTCTTAAATTCGTTAAATTAATGAAACATGAAATCTGCGATTTAGCAATACTTTAAGCAAACTGTTCATATTAGTTTCATTTCTTAGAGATCGCAATAATATTGAAATTAAAGTTGCTTTAGAAGCTTTCATTTAGGCTAGAGCAGGAAATGAATAATATTTAATAGAATGATTCCCAGGGATGACTTAAGATTAAGTTAAATTTGACTCGCCAATAAAGCAAGTCGTCCCTTATCGCCTGCTAGCTCATAACTGGTCCCCGTGTTGTTGACTGTCAGGTACGGTCAGCTTCCTCGGTTAATTTTTTTAAAATTAGTATAGTTTGCTTTCATTGTCTGGTATCCAAAGAGCTTGGATTATCTGTTGCACTGTTACAAATTAATTTACCAATGTATGTATTTGTATACGTAATAAAGATGTTTAGGCAATTTGTGAGTTTTGTTTAAAACCAACTTTCTAAGCCCCCTTTTGAATCTCTGGTACCTTGAACTTTTAGAACTCTCCGCATAGATAGATCCGTTGCCTTCCGCCTCCGGAGCAAGTTAAAGTTCAAGTTCAAGTATATTTATAGAGACCAGAAAAAAATACATCTCAAAGGGATAGAGTAACTTCGGCTATTTCTACCCCCCCCCCCCCACTACTTCCGGAGCCATCCCTGCGTCTCTGCCCATTTCAGTGGTGGCGTCGCCTGTTCCAGCTATACAAATTACCTTGGCCGTTAATATTCTCTAGCATGCTGCCCTTGATAAGATGGTTACACACTTGAAACAGATTTAGATGTTGCAACTGAATTTAATAGCTTCTTTTAATCAATTGGTGCTAATCTTGCCAGAAAAATAGCAGACCCCAGACACATTTCACAGGCAGCTATTCTAACACTACTTTTACCAGTCAGCCCAACAGACGTTATACCCATAATTCAAGTTGGGAACATTAATATCATCCGAGTGCTGACCCTGCTCTTGCACTAACCCTAGCTCTCCTATTCGACAAATCTCTAGTGTCGTACTTTCCTGATATCCTTAAATCAAGAGTGTCGCCAGTTCATAAAGGAGGCGAGACAGCTGGACAAACAATTAGACCAATATCAAATATACCTATACTTTCAAAAGTATTTGAAAATTTACAAATGGCTCTATTCCTACTTTGTAAAACTAAACATAAACTAAAACAAAAACATAAACTTTGTACAAACTAAAGTCTCCGCCAGTTTCGCTTCTCCCCCCCCCCCCCCTTTTTGAAAAAAGACCATGATGCTATTATTAGTCTGCTTAATATAATCTACACAGCCCTTTACAAAAATGAGTCCCTAATTGGCCTCTAAACTGACCTGAAAAAGGCCTTTTGATACTGTAATACATAACTACCTCTTACTTAAACTTCACTACTATGGTATCAGAGGCCTTGCTCAGGGACGAATATAGTCCAATCTCGGTGACACACTAATATGTAGCCATCGATAGCATAACCTCCCCCACTCTACCTTGAACAGTAAGGGTGCCACAGGGCAGCATCTTAGGACATCTTATTTCTTGTATACATAATGATTTGCCAATTGTTTTAAACATTTTTAAACCTATACTATTTGCCGACGATACTACCTTCATCTATTCTGACCCCAACCCCCACAGACTAAATAATATGGTCAACAATAAATTAATAAACGATAACAGTAGAGTACAAAAAATATACTCACTACAGCCTCTCATTAGCGTAACTAATAAGCACTAATTACGCAAGCTATAATTCTATTCCTATTTACAAGTAACATTCTTTCCATCCTGATGGAGGAAGCTGAGGTGTAGTCACCAAATATAAGCAAGGGATATGCGAATAACCAACATTACAGATGCAATTGGGAGATTGGTGAACCCCGACAGAGAATTCATCTTCTGCCAAACAATCACAGAAGCAACTACTTCACTATCTCCTGGAATGTGAAGCAACTAACGACCTTAGAAGAGCTTTTAAAAGTCCCCGAATCACGAAGTAACAACCCTGAAGCAATCAACACGGCCACTCTTCTTGTTAAGTGTCCAGCAGCTAGACACCCTTATAAATACTGTCAAGCAGTATCCTCCCCCGCAATAAGAACATAAGAACATAAGAACAAAGGTAACTGCAGAAGGCCTATTGGCCCATACGAGGCAGCTCCTATTCTATAACCACCCAATCCCACTCATATACTTGTCCAACCCGTGCTTGAAACAATCGAGGGACCCCACCTCCACAATGTTACGCGGCAATTGGTTCCACAAATCAACAACCCTGTTACTGAACCAGTATTTACCCAAGTCTTTCCTAAATCTAAACTTATCCAATTTATATCCATTGTTTCGTGTTCTGTCCTGTGTTGATACTTTTAATACCCTATTAATATCCCCCCGGTTATGTCCATTCATCCACTTGTAAACCTCTATCATGTCACCCCTAACTCTTCGCCTTTCCAGTGAATGCAACTTAAGCTTTGTTAATCTTTCTTCATATGAAAGATTTCTAATTTGGGGAATTAACTTAGTCATCCTACGCTGGACACGTTCAAGTGAATTTATATCCATTCTATAATATGGCGACCAAAACTGAACTGCATAATCTAAATGGGGCCTAACTAGAGCAAGATATAGCTTGAGAACCACACCAGGTGTCTTGTTACTAACGCTGCGATTAATAAATCCAAGTGTCCGATTTGCCTTATTACGAACATTTATGCATTGATCCTTTTGTTTTAAATTCTTACTAATCATAACTCCCAGATCCCTTTCGCAATCCGACTTCGCAATCACAACACCATCTAGCTCGTATCTTGTAACTCTATCATCATTACCTAACCTCAGAACTTTACATTTATCAGCATTAAACTGCATCTGCCAATCCTTTGACCATTTCAAAACCCTATCTAGATCAACTTGAAGTGATAGTGAGTCCTCCTCCGAATTAATTTCCCTACCGATTTTCGTATCATCGGCAAATTTGCAAATGTTGCTACTCAAACCTGAATCTAAATCATTTATATATATTATAAACAACAGAGGTCCCAGGACAGAGCCTTGAGGCACTCCACTTACAACATTTTCCCACTCTGACTTGATTCCATTTATACTAACTCTCTGTTTCCTTTGGTATAGCCATGCCCTAATCCAGCTTAATATAGCACCCCCAATACCATGAGACTCTATTTTTTTAATCAGTCTTTCATGTGGCACTGTATCAAAAGCTTTGCTAAAGTCAAGGTATACAACATCGCAATCCTTACCACTATCAACTGCCTCAACAATGCTAGAATAAAAAGATAACAAATTTGTTAAACATGAACGGCCATTTATAAAACCATGTTGCGACTCAATTATTAATTTATGTTTTTCACCTGACAGCAGGTGAAATAATAGCAGCCTGACGATTAAATGCGACCTCAGAACATAATAGATTTACTGAACAAAAAATTGTACCACTTACGGGCTATTCATGCCTGTGCCACCTCTAGGCTGGCTTAATCTTAATCAATCTAATAGCCATCAGTACAATTTCCAGTCACAGGAGACGAAATCTCCCGTCACGCAGGGTGCAGTCGCACCTCCACAGATCTCCAGTATCAGCTCTTGATATTGGTAATGGCTCAAAAGGGCCACCACTTACGGGCTATTCATGCCCGTGCCACCTTTTGGGTGGCTTAATCTTCATCAATTTCCACAGTGATTCAGATAACTCCAGTACAGACACTTTGGATTTACCTCACTTCTTCAACCTCAAGAATGTAGCACTCGGCGTGTACAGTTCTAATCGACCCCAAAGACGCCACAAGCTTCGACACAGAGCAGACAGTAAACTACGACCGCATCAAGCTACAATGCTTTCGCTCCCCATCGAGGTCAGACACTCGCGATTCCCCATCGAACCATCACGCTCTCCCGCATAGAGCTCCACGACTCCGGCCTCACTCAGCTCTGCTCTGGAGCTCTGAACGTCTACGACAATGCCCACAACTGTAATCAATACTACTCAATAAATATGAAACTCACTAAACACTGTGTATCTAATTTACGTAACATAATCGTACGTTACAGTCCCCTCATGGATGTCAACTAACAAACTTACACTAAACATAAAGACCAACTACATTTGATTTGGCAGTAAATCAAATCTGATTAAACTTCAGATAGACAACGTAACATTACCAATAAAAATAAAGGGGAAGTTCCTTGGCCTACACATAGACTTTGAACTTTAGCATCCACATACAACACAGCCAAAAAAGTCTCAAAAACGGTCGGTACACTTTCTAAAATTAGGTATTATATTCCCCACTCTGCTCTCCTCTCATTACACTACACATTAATCTATCCCTATCTTACTACGGTATCTATGCATGAGGTTCAACAACTGAAAATTACTACAAGCCAATCATCACTCGGCAAAAATCAGAACCATAACAAACTGTCTTTGGACAACACACAGCCTCTGTTTAAGTCCCTTAACATTCTCTTAGATAGCACATTCTCATGTGCTATCTACATATACAAAAACTTGTTCCTAAATGTTAATCTTGATCTGAAACCTTTTCTTGATAGGTGTAATTGCGAACCGGATTGCGAAAGGGATCTGGGAGTTATGATTAGTAAGAATTTAAAACAAAAGGATCAATGCATAAATGTTCGTAATAAGGCAAATCGGACACTTGGATTTATTAATCGCAGCGTTAGTAACAAGACACCTGGTGTGGTTCTCAAGCTATATCTTGCTCTAGTTAGGCCCCATTTAGATTATGCAGTTCAGTTTTGGTCGCCATATTATAGAATGGATATAAATTCACTTGAACGTGTCCAGCGTAGGATGACTAAGTTAATTCCCCAAATTAGAAATCTTTCATATGAAGAAAGATTAACAAAGCTTAAGTTGCATTCACTGGAAAGGCGAAGAGTTAGGGGTGACATGATAGAGGTTTACAAGTGGATGAATGGACATAACCGGGGGGATATTAATAGGGTATTAAAAGTATCAACACAGGACAGAACACGAAACAATGGATATAAATTGGATAAGTTTAGATTTAGGAAAGACTTGGGTAAATACTGGTTCAGTAACAGGGTTGTTGATTTGTGGAACCAATTGCCGCGTAACATTGTGGAGGTGGGGTCCCTCGATTGTTTCAAGCACGGGTTGGACAAGTATATGAGTGGGATTGGGTGGTTATAGAATAGGAGCTGCCTCGTATGGGCCAATAGGCCTTCTGCAGTTACCTTTGTTCTTATGTTCTTATGTTCTTATGTAATAGAACCCATGAGCACCACAAGAAGAAATAAATATCTCTGATATCCCCAGAGTCAGACTAAATCTGTGCAAATACCCCATGCAAATAAGTGCCCAGTCTTTACAACTCGCTTCCTGATGAATTAAAAATCGTCCACCCCATGCCATTGCAGTTATTTGTTGATATAAAACCTTGCTCCAATGTATCTTTTCATCCTGCCTGTTATGTTAGATTAAGGACCTGCCAAAAACGTTATGCATGTTAGTGGCTTTGCATGAAAGTAAAAATACCAATCTTATGAAATCTCACCAACCCATTGTACCTTCTTGCAAATAAATTATTATAAAGTGCGCTCACCCTAGTTGTTTTTATGACCCCTATATTTTGTGTATCACCTCAATCCACTTCAGTTAATTTATATACATACATACAAGAGTTATTACATTCTTTCAGTCACTAACACGCATAGCGTTTCGGGCAAGTTCTTAATCATAATTTTTGCACACACATCCCCAGGAAGCAGCTGGTTAACTCCCAGGTACCTATTTACTGCTAGGTCAACAGGTACATCAGGGTGAAAGAAACTGCCTATTTGTTTCCGCCTCCGCCGGGGATAGAACCCGGACCCTTAGGACTACGAATCCAGAGCGCTGTTCACTCAACCGTCAGCCCTCCCTCTTCCCCCAATATATAATAATTATATACCTGCCAAGTAGAAGCCTTTAACTGTTAATAACATTATATTATAGTTTGAATATTGACCAATCATTTATATATGAAGTGAAAATTTTTTGCGTACGAACTGGTAGAAATTTAAATTTTGCCCCGAGGGGCAAGTTTATTGGGCAGCGCCACCCATCTTGTGAGTGAACAGACCGCCATAGCAGAATGTACAACACTCCCCAATAGGAAGAAAACCCGCTGGGTTGTTCATCCCGTACTGGTAGAAATGTGAGGGTGTGATCCGCCTTCTGCTCAAAGTGACTTGCCCAAAACGCAATGCGTACTAGTGGCTTTAGGTATTGTATGTACTAGCTCTATCTATAAATCCAACATTATGTTTGTAAATCAACCATGTATGTACTTTCCTGAATAAGATTTACTTTGCTTACTTGTGCCTGCTGAGAGAGTTGGCGCGCCTCGTGTTGTTTACGTTCCCCCAGCAGCGCCCCCCCCCCCAGCCGTCACCAAGGTGGCAGCGTCCCTAGCAACGGCCCCCGCCACTAACCTTCCTCAGGTCATAGCAGTTATCTGCAGCTAATATCATGTATGTAGTATCCGTTGCCAAAAATTACCATTTAATAACCGTGACGGTTATGTTGTTTATACCTTTTGATTACAATGAAGTACAGTACTGAACTTTCTTAATTAACATTGTCTATGGGTCCTGTAGTATAGTGGTCTCGGTAGTATGGTTGGCTTCGTTTTAAATTTAGACCCCATAGGCAAAGTATAAAAAGGAAACCACTTGGGTTTTTTAAATATAATTTATGAATTATCAGTTAATCAATTATATGTTCAAAATGACATCCATTTACTTCAGTACATTTTCAAACGCATTCAGTGCAAGACTTTTGAACATTTCTTAGCATGGAAGTATTTGGTTTTATGGCTTCAAATTATCTTTTATCCTTTATTGGATCTATTGTTCTAGGATAGTTATTATAAACTACTGATTTAAAAGTGCCCCCATAGGAAGTAATCCAAAGGTGTCTTGGTGTCTAATCAATTGCTCCACATCATCTAATACATTTCACTCTAAATGTTTCTTGTACAAATTTGCAAACATCCATTTTAATATGCGGCAGAATACTATTCTGCTGAAACCACCTATCTTTCCGATGGTGTAATGATATGTCATCCAAATTGGGTGCAAGTAAGTTTTGCAGCATATTACTGATATGACTCAGCCATCACTGTATCAGGAAAACAAATTGACCCATTAGAGTATTACTAATATACATAGCAACCTGTACCATAACTCTTGTATAACAGTGCATGTGAGTGTCCTCTAGCTAATGTGGACTACTATGAGCCCAGTATCATGCATGTGTCTGTTGATCTCACCATTTAGGTAAAATATGGCTTCATCACTGAACATAAAACGTTTTTTCATGTGTGTATGCTACATAAACCATTGACAACACAATTATTACCATGTAATTCTTGGACTACCTGAACTATGTATGGGTGGAATTTATTGGTGGCTGGAGTGTGCTGAATTAAACTCCTAGATAGACCTGTTTCCTGTTATATTTTTCTTATTGATTTAGGGGGCTTTCCTCCACACTACCTCTTACCAACAAAGATGTTTTGGTATCGGTAGTTCTTCTTCGATCATGTTTGATCACCTGCATTTCCCATTTCCTTGAAACGAGCAAAGTTCTTATTGATGGTTTTGTAGTTGATACTCTTGTTGGGTGTTTAGCATTGAATGTATCTACAACTGAATGTGAAGTGTCAGCATCCTTTGTGTACAAAAGCTCCAGCACTATTCTCTCTACTTTTATTAAGCTAGCCACCATAATGTAACAAACTGGAAAAAATAAAAAACTAATTTATAAATCTATTGTAAACAAAAATTTAGTATTAAATATAATTCATAATAGGGTAAACTACTGACCTTCCTGGAGGTCAGCAGTTCACCCTACCCCTAAGAGTAGGGGATGATGATATGTCTCAGTACAGGCTTCTTACCCTTCACAATTAAAATTATTATTAAATTATATAATTAATAGTGCTTTTTGAGTGTAAAAAATTACTTGAATCAAATATTACATTTTCTAAATTCAGTAAAGGTAATCCGGTGGATCAATTTTGTGTTATTGTTCTCAGATGTTGCTGCTCAAGAACCACAGAGTCAGTATTAAAGCTCTCACACTTCATGCACCCTATATGTAAAACAAAATTTATTTCTTATTTTTATTAGAGTAGAATGATAGGATGGGTTGGGTTTGTTTAAAAAGAATACCAATATGCATCTTGACTGCCACCTTAGCCTGTGCAATCTACAACTTGTTCACCACTAAGAAAATTTAGTTTAGCACTCTGATCTTAAAATTTGATATGTGAGCTTTACTCTGAAAGTTACTTTAACCAGTGGCCTTTGCTTTGACTTGTGACCTTTACTTTGACATACACATTTGAATCTATAAACTTTGACCTATTCTCTCATCAGTTTTAAGTTGCAGTATATAAACACCAATTGTATATCACTGTGAGGGCAGTGTGATTCAGGTGACAGAGGAGACACATGTCAAAACGTGAGGAAAAGAAGGAAGCTGGGGAAGATGTTGAGCTTGAGGGGGCAGAGACCCTTCTGGCTCGCCTCCGTCGGCAGTATCGCATGATGGAGAGGAACCGCCGTCAGTATCAAGATGAAGCCACAGTCCTGTTGGGCCGACAGAGGTAAGATCTTTGTATTTCTAAGTTGACAAAAAAGCATAATTTTTGTTCCTCTCTGAAGACAAATGCAAGATCTCTGTAAAAAAAAATTGAGGGATTTGCCTATTCTTTAAGATTTGTAGGCAAAAAAATTTTCTACAAACATGCAATGGTGAGTTAAGTCTTCAAAAACCTCAATCAGTTATTCATTTGCTTCAGGAAAATCCTGGTGGACCTGCAGAAGGAAAAATTGGAGCTGGAGAGCCTGCTGTCAGCCATGGCCACATCACAAAATGAGATTAAAGACCACAAGACTATCACCACTCTGGCTGCCACCCTAGACCGTCAAGCCAAATACTTGCAGCTTATCGACAAGGAAAAGGATAAGGTGGGGGTTAAAAATTCTCAAGACAAATTGAGTGTCCATGATCATCAGGGCCAGTAAGTAATTGTGAAAAGAAGGTACTATGCTATATCTATTCATTACCGTACCTGTCGATGATTCCAAGGATCAACGTCCCTGTGGCCCGATCTGTAACTGGCTTCCTGGTTGGTTGTCTGATCAACCAGGCTGTTTGATGCAGCTGTTCTCAGCCTGATGGAAGATTGTTTAGCACGATCTGTCACAATTTTAGCAAATTCGTAGATACTGTGTCATTCCAGATTCCAGTACAAGAGCAAATAGACACAACATGAACCTTGTGAAAAGTACTGTATCGGATTTACCGGGGCATTTAAGCGAGACTGAGTATTTCTGAAATTCATTCAAAACAATTCAAAACATTACACACAGAAATCACAATTGCGTGATGCATAGCTTGTGTTGTTATGGGAAATGTGTGTGCTTAGGAGCTTCCATTTCTTCCCATGCCCTGTGATTGAGAAAACAAAGGGTCGTGAAGCTACATAAAAACCATACACCCCTCGAAGTCACCAGGGAAAGGGACAAAAAAAGTGACACTCATCCATTAATTCACAGCAATTTATACACTAAACAACTTCACACAGAACTAAATAACTTTGTTTAGACAAGATAGAATAAATCAAAGTTTATGAACTATTTTTTGTGAATTATTTGTGATTAAAATTGTTCTGTATTAGCCCAAGGCATTTTTAAATTCGTATGTTAACCCAGGACAGATGATTAATAGTGTGGGTCACTCCAAAAATATATGGGTTTGTTTAACAGCACACCTTGGTGTTAACAGATCAAGGAACTAGACACAAGCATCACAGCAGCAGAGAGACGTGTGAGGGAGACCCGGAGACGAGTGCCCTCCGCCAGGCAGCTGGAGTCCCGCAGACTGGCCGCTCTCAGTGCAACCAAGGCACTACAGAACCGCATTCAGCAGGTAAGATTTTTTTAATTTGGTTTAACCACAAGTATACAAGTCTTAACTAATCCATCAAATCTATGAAAGCTGATGCTCATTAGTTTGAGTATGTTTCAAAATAAGTAGCTTAAATTTTATTAAATGCTTTCAAAGGTAGGCTCCAAACTGAGATGCATTAAGTTAAAGATTGGGTTGTCTTAAGAAACAGATGCAATTGTCATTATACTGTAGTATTAATGTAATCACTCTTCCACTTCCTCACAGGCAACAGTGAGGCTGAATGCAGTGCTGGCAGACAACCGTGTACTGAGAACAACTCTGGAGAACATTCTGAAAGAAAGAGACAAGTTCATGCTACAGGTAATGTTATGGTCTACTACTGGATGAGAGGCTGAGTTGCTTTCCTATTAATGGGGACAGGATGCCTAATAGGGCTTAAACCCCCAAGATGCATCTCACAAGAGCTGTTTAATTCACAGGTAACAATTTACTGCTAGGTGAACAGAGGCATCAGTTGTAAGGAAAAATGTGGCCAGATATCAAGTTTTGTCTGGCAATTGAACTTGGGATATTCAGTAGTGAGGCGACTGTACTGACCACTGCACTTCAAGTTACCTACATCGTCTTAAACAATTTGGCAGTAAAAGTATTGTTGTTTATAATAATAATTAATAATGCATTGTGTCGAGGGGCAGGAAGCCAATTTATAAATACAGTACATGTTAGGCTTTTGTCGAGGTCCCACCCCCAGGTCGAATTACTAACCTTCCCCAAGATGCAACCCCACAAGCTGACAAACTCCTGGGTACCTATTTACTGCTTGGTGGTCAGGGCATTAGGTGAAAGGAAACACGGCCAGTCATTTTTGTCCCACCTGAGATTCGAACCCGGAATTCTTGATTGCGAGACTAAACCCCCAACTGTGCTACTGGGACCCTAACTTATTAATGCAGGGTACTGTACTTGTGTACAGATGGGGTACTCTTCCTTGGATTAATGTGTGTTGCATAAACTTTGACAAGTGGGGTTTTAGTGCACTCGGCATGCATGCAAGGGATTAATGGTGGTGGTTACAAGAATAGTTTTCAACACTGTATAATGCCTTTTGACAGTGATTTGCAAGATTAATATTTTTTATTACTTTATAAAGTTTATTTAGTATTCCATTCACCTGGACTGTATGGGTCTTGAACCGTGGACCCCACGCATGTGAGGCTGTAGCATTTTTTATTTAGTAGCTCCAGAACACCACCCATGGGCTCAGGTTATGCTTCAACTTCTGGGCCCCATCCTATTGTCTCATCAGCTTAATGTTACTGGTCTTTGCATCAGTTTTCAACTCCCAATGTCCAGCCAGGGGCAGTGCCAAGATTTATAACAAAGTGACTCCTTACTGATTCTGATTTTGTTAACTCGGCCAAAATAGCAACCGAGATAGCTGGTCTCTTGATTCGAACAAAATCCAAATTATAGAACTTAGCTGTTGTGTTGCAAATGACACATGGCAACTTATGTTTACAAATACAGTACTGTACATACATTCAAATACTGAATTGCTGTATTGTAATTCTGTTTTTATTTCCATTTAGATGCCTTAACAATGTTAATAAATGTTTATCACTTGTGGAAATACTTTAAATCAGTGTTCATACTAGACAGTTTAGACAACATTCCAATACCACACAAATGCTTCAAGCAGGTGAAGAGATTAAATTATGAGATATCCCCATAACATGCGATATAATCAGAAAATCTCTGGACCAAGAAATAGTTCCCCCTGCATCGGAAATATGCTAATGTCACCCCCAATTTTCAAAAAAGACAGAAGAGCTCAGAAGAAATCTACAGTTCGATCAGCTTGACCTCGCATATCTGAAAGCTCATGGAGAGAGTCCTGAGAGGAAATCATTTGCCATCTCACTGCATACAATCTAGAAGACTCAATGTAACATGGTTTTGTTAAAAATATATCCTGCCTTACAAACTTACTCACATTTTTGGAAATGGTAACCAGCTATTTAGACAAATGATTCCCAGTAGATGTAGTACACATGAACTTCACTAAAGCTTTTGATAAGGTACCACAAGAAATTTGGTAAAGAAATTAGAAGCACACAGAATAAATGGTAAATTACAAGAATGAATAAAGCAATGGTTAAAATAAAGAAAGCAAAGGGTCATCCTAACTGGAAACAATACATAGATGAGAATATTACAAACCACATCATAAAATTTGCAGATGACATTAAGATGTAAGGTATCCTCCAAAGGATACCTGATCAACCAGGCTGTGACTCATATGTCAGGCTGCAAGCAGCCGCGTCCAACAGCCTGGTTGATCAGTCCGGCAACCAGGAGGCCTGGTCGACGACCGGGCCGCGGGGACGCTAAGCCCCGGAAGCACCTCAAGGTAACCTCAAGGTAAGGTAAAGTAAGAAGTAACAATGATCTTGAGGCCATACAAAGAGGGCTACATGAACTCCACATATGACTGGAAGACTGGCAAATGCTTTTTAATATTGAGAAATACAAAACCTTCCATGTGGGGCATAACAATGCACAATATAACTCCCAAATCAACAACATCAGCTTGCAGTAGAATGATGAAGAAAAAGACCTCGGAGTTGGAATCCACCAATCACTGAAAGTTGCACAACAAGTGGCAGCTGCAGATGAAAAACAAAAACATCCTAGGAAGAGTCAAACAAAATTTTGAATTCGAGGAAAAGGTAGTTATACAACTGTATAAATCTCTAGTGCCCCCACTTGGATTATTGTATCCAAGCATGGAGACTTTATCTTCAGAAAGATGGACTTAGGTGCTTTGAGGAAAGTTCAACAACAGGTGGCTAAAATTCTTGAACTAAGTTGACTCATGCCAGATACAGTTGAGGGCCACAGGATGTAAGATGTAACACAAACAAGGAGCAATGGTTTCAAGCTCAACAAGCCTCAATCCAGGATGGAAAACAGGAGATGCTTTTCACCCATAGCTATAGACCCATAGAACTGCCTACCCACCAAAGCTGTAAATGCCAAAATGGCTGAATTTCAAAATCCAGCTCAACAGAATCATTAGAAGAAATGAAGGGACCTTTAACATGCTGCCGTCTTCCTGTCCTTGTCAAGTCCACTAGAGAGATAGGTAAATCCATACAAATTAAATATGGTAAAAAAAATTATTTTTACTTGCATTGTGAGAAATTCAGATATCAGATTCACATGTACCTCGGATGGGGGAGTCCACCATACATGATCCAAATTAGTGAGCAAATTCATATCCACCCGATTTAAGGATCTCAGATTTCACATCCAGCTAGATTTAAGAGCTGATTTTTAGACCAGTACTTGCATCTTCATTTACAGAGTCAACATCCAGTGAAACAGATTATGGTTGCTATTGAATATTATGAGCTTGCCATTATGTAAACCAGCGATTAATATTGGTTTGTTGAGGCATAACTTTGCCCATGCTAGGCCAATGCTTTTCAGAATGTTTTCATGGAGTGGATGTGGGAAAGTACCAGTGTTTTCCTGCAATGACTGCGGGAATGTACCAGTCTTACTCAGCAGTTGTGTAATTACCTAAGTGTAGTTACAGGACACTTGTAAGTGTAGTGTGTGGGACAGACAAGTATGTGTGTGTGTGTGTGAGAGAGGGAAAACAAGTGTGCCTGTGTTAGGGGACAGGTGTAATTGGGTGGGGGGAGATGAGAAAGAGCTTTGGGTGGGGGTTGAGTGGTTATATAATTTTTGTTAAGAAAGTATTTGTGAGGCTCATGAATTATTTGAAATATTACTGACATAACTTCATATTTAATAATCATCCTAATTTAAGGAGTATGGTATCACCCCATATTGGTTGTTAAATTGAGTGGATATGCAAGGCACTGTCTTAGTCTGATTCATGAATAATAAAAATGTATAAAGTAAATATCATGAAAACTGACATAATTAACCAATGCAAAGCATGTATCCAATTCAAAACAAAGTTGCATGTGATTGCTTGAAGGAGGTAAGCAATAAATGACCTAATCTGAAGTAGCCCATCAGGCCCAGCGATTGGAGAAGCAGCTTGCGGACACTGTGAAGAGGAAGGGGGATATCATGGACCAGGTCACGAAGGCATACTCTGAGAGGCAAGTGATTTCTAAAGGTCCAGCAACTGTATTGTTCAGTTAGATCTCAGGTAATTGGGTTTGAGGGAAGGGAAGGGTGAGATCATTTGTTCTTAAAGGCCAGTATTCCATTCTACAGGATATCCATGAGCATGGTTTATGGATAACCATGTTTACCCCTCCAGCTGGGATCTGTACTCATTCATTGCAAAGGAAGTGTATTTATAAAGGTTATACAATAATACTATAATTTTCTGGTTTCTGTGAAAAAATAGGAGTCTTAACTGTGTTATTTGCAAAAGATTTTATAACTCTTCCCTAGCTATAGACCTAGTTCCCACACAAAATACTTAGCAACCACCTACAACTCTGAAGATCAATACAATTTCCATGTAGTATACCTTGCTAGCCTAAAGATGAATCCTAGAATGTGTGACTATTGGTATAGCATTCTTGACCTCCCCAGCCTTCACTCCCCATCAGTGAACTTGCTTGTCTAGAGAGAAGGATCACACCCCTGGTATTCTTTGTCTGACACCCCTTTTGTAATTTGTTCTTCCCAGAGATGAGGCACAGACCAAGATGAGGGCACTGAAGGAAAGAGGAGAGAGGGATGCACAACAGTACACCCATGAGCTGAAGAAACTGCAACGGGCACTAGATCACCAGAATCACCTAAGGGCTTTCGTCGCCACCATTTCTGCTGGAGAAGATGACGATGCCTCACAGCGACGAACAGAGGGTATGTGATTTAAGGTACCCAGCAGATGAGTAGTTTGAAATGCATTTCCAAATACAGGATATTTAAAAATGTAAACTTCCACAAAAGTTCTAGGACGAATAAATGCACTCTGCAGTATTCATGTGATGTGAAACTAATTATCGTCGGCAGTGTATAAAGAATGTGTGAGTGAAATGTGCTCTGGGTTAGATTGTATCTCGTGTGTTCCAGGTGAGAGTGGAGAGCCTCGGGGGCCGGAGCAGACACTAGCTACATACCGGGCATCCGTGTCTCACCTACGGGAGATGAGTGGAGAGGGGTCAGTGGAAACCCTTGTCACCAACTACCTGCAGGCTGAGAATGACAACTACACCCTTTTCACCTATATCTCTGACCTAAACAATGAGGTAAACCTTGCTTCTCTAATAATGTGAAGGGAACGGAATTATAAGGAGAAAGTGCCAAGCCATTACGATTATATAGCACTTGGAAGGGATCAGGATAAAGATTTGGGATGGGATGGGCAGAAGGAATGGTGCCCAATCACTTGGATGGTTGGAGATTGAACCCCACCTGCATGAAGCGAGATCGTCACTCTACCATCTAACCCAAGTGGTTGGGTGATAATGTGAACTCTGTTTTGTTGATATCTTTGTCAGAAAATTGATTCATTCATTTGTGTGCTCATTTATCACACTTTCATGTTCCTTCCATAATATTTTAGTAGCTAAGGATCAAAGGCCTACTTCATATTAATATTGTAGTCAATATACTACATGCAAAAACTTGTTATTTACAAAAATGGTTAAGATTACAGGCATAATTATTCACAACATTAAATTTGCTTCATGTGTGTGCCTATTCTTGCAGTGTGTATTAATACCTATTTAGTCAGTTAGAAATACACTTGTGGTGTGGATTCCTTGTCTATATTACCTTAATTTTGCAATTTCCAGTAGTGTTTGAACATAAAAGAAATTCCAAAATAAAATGGCATTACACACAATAACCTTTGCACATCACAATATCACCATGTACAGTAATACACAATAACCCCACTAAGTCAGCTCTCATACCAGGAACAGTTGAGGGCCACAGGACTAGCAACACTAAACCAGACATGAGAGAATACATAGATGAGAATATTACACACCACATCATCAAATTTGCAGATGACATTAAGATGTAAGGTAAAGTAGGAATTGACAGTGATATTGAGGCCATGCAAAGAGGTCTACATGAACTCCACATATGGCTGGAAGACTGGCAAATGCTTTTTAATATCGAGAAATGCAAGACCTTCCATGTGGAAGATCAATGACCATAACAATGAACAACATAACTCCCAAATCAACAACATCAGCTTGCATTAGAATGATGAAGAAAAGGACCTCGGAGTTGGAATCCACCAATCACTGAAAGTTGCACAACAAGTGGCAGCTGCAGATAAAAAACAAAAACATCCTAGGAAGAGTCAAACAAAATTTTGAATTCAAGGAGAAGGTAGTTATACAACTGTATAAATCTCTTGTGGCCCCACTTGGATTATTGTATCCAAGCACGGAGACTTTATCTTCAGAAAGATGGACATAGGTGCTTTGAGGAAAGTTCAACACCAGGTGGCTAAAATTCTTGAACTAAATTGACTCATACCAGAAACGGTTGAGGGCCACAGGGCTAACAATACTGCAAACCAGACATGATGGGGCTGATCTCATTCAAACTTTTAAATTACTGAACAATTTGGAGATGTTGATCTAGACCACTTCTTTAAAAAGACATATATAACACAAACAAGGAGCAATGACTTCAAGTATAACTAACTACAATGTAGGACAGAAAACAGGAGATGTTTTTACACCCATAGGTTTATAAACCCATGGAAACTTCATGCTAAAGCCATAAATACCAAGATATTACTGCAGTTCAAAATCCAGGTGGATAAAATAGTCAGGAAAAAATAGGGGGACCTTCGAAAAGTTAACATCAAGACCTCATAACACTCTACCACAATATAAATCACAAAACACAGCGCAATCTTATATTGTAAAATAACACACAGCAACACATCACACAACAGCACACAGTAACCCCTTGAGACCCACAATAACTGGTCAGCATAGTTGGATACAACATAAATGTGTTGATAATTCCCTGTCAAAATGGTAATTTAAGGTTTGAGTAGCAAGAATTAAATTAGAGTTTAAATGAAGTGACCCAAGACCCACTTTCATAGGTAAAATAAGGCCACATGCAAGACAAATATTGTCTACATGCAGGAACAATACTGGTATAGTACAGTATTGCATTTTCACTCATATTAGTTTTCAGATATGAAATCTAATTCTAAAAGCATGTGTGTGTCTGGGTGCAAGACTTGTTTAATAAATATCTTGTTTATCACTGATGGGAGGTGCGGGTATGTCTTCACTCCAGGTAACGAGCCTGACAGCAGAAGTTCGTCGAATTCGGCAACAGATCGAAGAGACACGAGGAAAAGGAGCTGAGAAAGAGAGAGACTCACAACGCACTGTCTCTCAGCTGGAGGTCTGTGGTTCCTGCATTAAAAGATTTTGTTTAGACAAAGATCAGCTGTTATAGTTTTATTTAATTGCATATTACTTTTTATTTAAGTCATATTAGATGAAGGCTTGAAAAGAATATCACAGATGGTTTTTATTAGCTAAATTAACATTGCAGAATTTCATACTGTGTGAAATTAATTATTTATCCTATTCCCCTATTTCAGTGTGTCATGCACCCTCACTTGTGTGTTCTCTCACCTACCTGTTATGCCCTCTGATATTTCTAACATTCTCCCCTGATGATGGAACCCCCTGCAGTCGGAAGTAAGGAGTGCTGAGGAGGCTGTGGATGCACTGGAGAGGGACCTGAGGCAGGCAGAGGACACCCTTACAGAGATGAAAACTTCCACTCAAGAGCTCTTTGATCTCCTGCAGTGTGATGCCCAGCCCATCATTGCCATTGTTGGTAGGTGGCATGGGTAGGATACACAGGTGACAGAAAAATGACTTATGTGGTCAGACATGTAAAACATGAAGTTGACATACAAGCACTAAAGACACCGGTGACAAGTGTGACATGTTTGGCAGGTTGAGTGTCAGTTTTTGGAACCTGCTTTTATAAGAGTAATACTGTAGTTTAATCCAGTAGCTGTTTTCTGTAGGTTTATCACATTTACATTTAAATCTGAAATGAGATAGCCTTTGCCTTTCAAAATGATTTGATTAGGATAGCACCATAACAATGAGAGGATCAAAAATAATTGAAGCAGTGATAAATAATCCTCTATAAAATAACACAATAAGTTCCAATAATACATATGACAAATATTATAACTGTTATTATCATAGAAAGAGCTGCCACAGATGCAAGCATGAATGGGTTCACTAATCAAAAGAAACTACAGTATGATCATAGCAAAAATGGAAGATTAGAGAACCTTAGAGAGGGTATGAATACAGAGAGAACTTAACTAATGGAAACAGCTTTAAGAATTGTTTAAACTGAGCATGTCAGTGACCCAAATGGGAGAGGAAACCCTCATAGAATCAGACAAAGACCTGAGGGTTGATGTTCCACTGAGAAGTGTAACATCAGAAAGTGAGAAGAAACAGTTTCAACTATCAATAATAAATACAAAATTCTTGGGGACATAGCAGGGCTGACTATTTGCCATTGGTGGAACATTAACATGGCAGCAGTGGTACAAACACATTATGTATCTGCACCAAAAAAAACACAGACATGAGAAACAACTCAATGTTGAATGCAATTAAATGTTTTTTCTGGTAGATCCCTGGTAGTTATCTCACTGAGATTGTGCCATACTACGAAGTCACATAAGTCACAGGAATTCTGTTTGGGTTACCGGGGACAAGAGCCAGACACTGGAGGGAGGGCACCAAATCCTCCTCTATGCCTGCCACACAGCTGCAAACTCACACACCATGTTTGAGTGACGTACCAGGGATCGCACACACTACTGACCCTGGGAGGCCTGGAGAGTGCTAGTCACAAAGCCCCAACCCAGAGCCAACATATCTGTAAAGACATTGAGCAATGGAGCTGGAAATCCCCATGGGACTGAACCCCAAAAAGCCTGATGAGGAAGCTAATGAAGTAATGAAGTGATGAAACCAGCAAAGAGCAGCCTGATGGTAGTGGCAGCAGAAAAATTGCTGGAACTGGAGAAACCGGTACACAACTCTGAGCCAAATCCTGCAAAATTGAAAACCATGCAGAAGGTTTCCATGCAGAACATTCAAACTCTTGCACAGCCACTAGACCAATTGCTGAGTAATCTTGGGCTGGTCCAAAACCAGTCAGTTGGGGAGTTGTAAATAGAGCAAGGACGAAAGAGGCAGGGAAAGGAATGCTGACCGATACTTTTAGAAGTACCTTACCTAAGGTAAGGTACTCCACCCTTATGGCCAGGCCTTGAAAGGATAAACACCAGAGCACATCAGAGAAGTTATACTGTCAGTGCAAGGCTAGTGCTAAACGAACACCCAAGGAAGTACAGTACTGTAACTGCTCGACATATGCAGTTTGAAGCACAAACAGCCAGGCCCATGCAACAACGCTGGATAGAAAACATGGTCATGAAGCTAATACTATACTGGAACAAGATACAGACAAATGGACCTTACAAGACAAATTCTAGGATGGCGGCAGCACTTAGCTTAGAAGCACTGGGACGCATCGTGTATACTGCTGTGATGCACTGGGCAATATATCAGTGACAGAACTGAATTGAGAGTTGGCAGAGGACCAAGCTCTGGGTTTCCTTGTGGCAGGGATTGTTATTAACTGGTTGGGCTAGTTTTGAGGGAATTAGTTTGTTTTGTTTTACTCATCTGGAGAGTTGTTTGGCAATTTCAAGGCTTCAGTTCTTGTGAATGCAGCAGTTGTCTGTAAAGTGTCACTGACTTTCTGAATACTTTCTAGCTGAAATTTCAGAAATGATTTGCTCTATGTGCCTCTGTGAGGGAAGGCCATGTTCTGGCTCTGGTCCCAGGTAGGCTAAACAGAACTTCCACAACTGATGTGACTCTGTAGTATAGAGCAATCTTAGCGAGATAGCTACAGGGAGCCACAAAGGGGCTCTTCCAGAAAATGTCTTTCTAGAGTAGTAAAAAAATGAAATGAGCTGATTGAAGCACTGTAGTGGAGTCAGATGCCATACAATACTTCAGATACTGATATCACTGAGCCTAATAAGCTCGGGACTTGAAGGTCAACATCTACAAGCACCATTACTGTAAGTAAATGCTGTATAAAATTTCCCATAATTAAAATAAGCGTATTCTTAAATCGGATGTTCATTTGACTTTCTGATAAAGTGCCGTTATTGACACAGGTGGAGGGGAAATCACAAGTGCCAGTGTGTCTGTATACTTGTCGGTAGTGGAACAGCGGGTACAGGAACTTTTGCAGCTGCGTCAGTTCCTGCTGGCCGAGGACCAGCCTCAAGCCAATGCCCTCGGGGAAGACACTGCCCATGATGAAGCTACAGAGGGCAGGTCTTCCTCTGCTTCATCAGCAAAAGTGGTGGTTCCTCTTGGCAAGCCACAGTGAGTATGGTGTGGCTAAGCACATCTGTGCATATATTTACTGTCTAAGCAAAACAGTAAACATGCAGCTGCAGTAAAGTTAGAGCAAATATTTTAATATTTTCGAGAATTTGAACCTATGTATATCATTCTGAAATGAATGCTGTGTATATTAAATGAATACATTTATAAATATAAATACCTGCCTATAAATACCAATGGTGTCCTACCTGCTCTCAGATGTGTCAGTGCTATAACACAAGTACGAGATAAGCATCTTGTGTGTAATTTTTTAGAGTAAATATATCTGGTTTCCTTTGTCTTCCATCTCTCAGTTGTGGGGGCAGTTCAGTTAAATTGATTCCCCTTATTAAAATGTTAAATATATACAGTATATATTTATATTTATTAATTTACTTTTTGGGAGGCGCCCCTTGGTGGCTCCCTGAAGCTATCTTGCTGAGATGGCTCCCCACTACATGGTCACATTAGTTTGGCCTACTGGGACCCAGACCCAGAACCTGGCTTCCTCACACAGGTGCAGAGAGCAGGGGACTATTGTTGTTGCTATTTTTGTTTCGTTGGTCATTCTTCCACCTGCAGTCAGCTCATGCTCCTCCTTAGCTATCTTGTTCTCTTAACAAAGTCTTGTTCTTTCTTTCCTCTCCTAAGTTCCTGGTTGCCTCTTCAGTCAGGGACATTTTCTCAGAGTGGTGTTTTTGTTGGCTCTTGTCTCTGGTTGCAGGGTTGTGGAGATTTGTGCTCTCCTCTGGAGGCAGAGGGGATATTGTTCCTGTGACCCTGATGGACAATTTGATCGTCTGCTGCCTTCTCCTTTTCTGGCATAGAATGAATTGGCTGCCTTTTAGGAGGGGTCTTTTTATGATTGATGCTTGGTTTGTCCAGCTGGGGGGTGAATTGTTTGTTCCCCATTGCAGCTCTTCACCATTTCCGAGAGTGCCACCAGTTCTGCCTCGGATACCTTGTTGGTTGGCCTTGTTTTCCTTGGTCTTAATTTTTGGGCTTGTTTTGGAGTTCTTATGGCCCGGTGTTTGGACCATTTTGTTGGTCCCTGTCAGTCTTTTGTGATACTGGGCCAGATTTCCTTGTTTTCCTGTTTCTTTGTATTTAGTTTCAGGGGGTTCCTTCCAGAAAACCTGCATCGAATGTAATGAAATGCCTCTTTCTGTTAGCACCTTTGTGGCTCCCCAATGCCCACCCTCCCTACTATGCTCATCGGCTCATTGTTTATCAGCTCCAGATTGACTGTTGGAAGCAGCTGAAGGACAGGGCTCCAGACCACCTGTTGGCAGCTATCAGTACTATTTTTTTTGCGATTCATTTGTGATGCCTGAATAGTTTGTACCTGGATTGTACCTTGTAGAGTTGTTTGGCTGCCTCAGTGCTTTGTTTTCTATTATCCTTGCAGTTCTCTATAAAGCTTTGCCAACGTTCTGGATGCTTTCCCTGTGTGTGTGTGTGTGTGTGTGTGTGTGTGTGTGTAATTACCTAAGTGTAATTACCTAAGTGTAGTTACAGGATGAGAGCTACGCTCGTGGTGTCCCGTCTTCCCAGCACTCTTTGTCATATAACGCTTTGAAACTACTGACGGTCTTGGCCTCCACCACCTTCTCACTTAACTTGTTCCAACCGTCTACCACTCTATTTGCGAAGGTGAATTTTCTTATATTTCTTCGGCATCTGTGTTTAGCTAGTTTAAATCTATGACCTCTTGTTCTTGAAGTTCCAGGTCTCAGGAAGTCTTCCCTGTCGATTTTGTCAATTCCTGTTACTATTTTGTATGTAGTGATCATATCACCTCTTTTTCTTCTGTCTTCTAGTTTTGGCATATTTAATGCTTCTAACCTCTCCTCGTAGCTCTTGCCCTTCAGTTCTGGGAGCCACTTAGTAGCATGTCTTTGCACCTTTTCCAGTTTGTTGATGTGCTTCTTAAGATATGGGCACCACACAACAGCTGCATATTCTAGCTTTGGCCTAACAAAAGTCATGAACAATTTCTTTAGTATATCGCCATCCATGTATTTAAATGCAATTCTGAAGTTAGAAAGCATAGCATAGGCTCCTTGCACAATATTCTTTATGTGGTCCTCAGGTGATAGTTTTCTATCTAGAACCACTCCTAGATCTCTTTCTTTATCAGAATTCTTTAAAGATTTCTCACATAATATATAGGTTGTGTGGGGTCTATGTTCTCCTATTCCACATTCCATAACATGACATTTATTAACATTAAATTCCATTTGCCAAGTGGTGCTCCATATACTTATTTTGTCCAGGTCTTTTTGAAGGGCATGACAGTCATCTAAATTTCTTATCCTTCCTATTATCTTAGCATCATCAGCAAACATGTTCATATAATTCTGTATACCAACTGGTAGATCATTTATGTACACAATAAACATCACTGGTGCAAGAACTGAACCCTGTGGTACTCCACTTGTGACATTTCTCCATTCTGATACATTGCCTCTGATTACTGCCCTCATTTTTCTATCAGTCAGAAAATTTTTCATCCATGATAGAAGCTTACCTGTCACCCCTCCAATATTTTCCAGTTTCCAGAACAACCTCTTATGTGGAACTCTGTCGAAAGCCTTTTTTAGGTCCAGATAGATGCAGTCAACCCAACCATCTCTTTCCTGTAATATCTCTGTGGCTCGATCATAGAAACTGAGTAAATTCGATACACAGGATCTTCCAGATCGAAAACCATACTGTCTGTCTGATATTATATCATTTCTCTCTAGGTGTTCTACCCATTTAGTTTTGATTAGTTTTTCCAATACTTTCACTATTACACTTGTTAATGATACAGGTCTATAATTGAGGGGGTCTTCCCTGCTGCCACTTTTGTAGATTGGAACTATGTTAGCCTGTTTCCACCCGTCTGCTACGATTCCTGTACACAGGGATGCCTGAAAGATCAGGTGAAGTGGAATGCTGAGCTCAGATGCACATTCTCTCAGAACCCATGGTGAAACGCCATCTGGGCCAGCTGCTTTGTTCTTACCGAGCTCCTTGAGCATTTTTTCCACTTCGTCTCTAGACACCTCTATGTGTTCTATGTTGTTCTCTGGAATTCTTATTGTATCTGGTTCCCTAAAGATTTCATTTTGTACAAACACACTTTGGAACTTTTCGTTTAGTGTTTCACACATTTCCTTTTCATCTTCCGTGAATCTATTTCCCATTTTCAACCTCTGAATATTATCCTTTACCTGCAATTTGTTGTTTATGAATTTATAGAATAGACCTGGTTCTGTTTTACATTTGTCCGCAATCCCTTTTTCAAAATTTCTTTCTGCCTCTCTCCTCACTGCCGTGTAGTTGTTTCTCGCATCTTTGTATCGCTGGTATGTTTGGGGGTTCGGCCTCTTCCTGTATTGATTCCATTTTTGTGTCTTTCGGTCTCTAGCCCTCTCGCAATTTCTATTGAACCAATCCTGTTTCCTAGTTCTGCATCTCTGTTTTGGTATAAATTTTTTTGTGCCTTTATCATATATTTCACAAAACTTGCCATACATCTCATTCACTTCCTTGCCTAGCATCAAGTCTGTCCAATTATACTCACTAAAAAAATTTCTAAGGTCACCATAATGTCCTCTCCTGAAGTCTGGTTTTTCAACTGCTTCAACCTCCTTATTTTCTTCCAGCTTATAACGCATTGCATACTTTATTCCCAAAAAGACATGGTCACTTTTACCCAAGGGAGGAAGGTACTGAATGTCAAATATCTCTTCCTCCTTCCTGGTAAATATCAAATCTAGCATGGAGGGAACGTCCCCTTCCCTCATCCTCGTAGCTTGTTTAACATGTTGATACAAGAATGTTTCCAGGATGAGGTCTACAAATTTACAGGTCCAAAAATCTTCTGTTTTAGCTTCATATGCTTCCCAGTCTATGGATTTCAAGTTGAAGTCACCGACTATCAACAGTCGTGATCTATCGTTATCCGCTCTCGCTATAATCTCTCTCATTATTGTTATAAGACCTTCACGTTTACTATCTAGCTCCTCCTTTGACCATGTGCTGCTTGGCGGTGGACTATATGCATTTATCATCATTAGTTTATCATCCTCATAGCAGATCTCTAGTGCTATTATGTCAACTTCTTGTGGATTGGCAGTCATTATTTCCTTCACCTTTAGGTGTTCTTTTACCAGCACAGCAACGCCACCGCCTTTCCTAATTTTTCTGTCCCGTCTCCAAATTGAGTAGCCCCTTGGGAATATGACCTCATTTAAAATTACATCTTCAAGTTTTGTCTCCGTGAGTGCAACAATGTCTGGTGTCTGCAGCTGTATTACATCACTTAACTCCAGTATCTTCGATCTCACTCCATCTATGTTGGTGTATGCAATCTTCAGGAACTTGTTCCCCCTCTCCTTATTCTTCACTCCCCCTCTCTCTATTGATTTTGTTGGTTTGCCTTTATGTACCACTTTACTGGTTTGCCTACCCCTATCACTTTGTAGAAAAAAGAATTTATTTCTTCTTCATTCCTGCTCTCATTTAAATGTTTTGCCTCGGCGAGGTTCAGTTTCAGCTTCTCTCTATCTTCTTTTGAAAGATCTCGTCTTAATGACCATGAATGAGTAATTACCTAAGTGTAATTACCTAAGTGTAGTTACAGGATGAGAGCTACGCTCGTGGTGTCCCGTCTTCCCAGCACTCTTTGTCATATAACGCTTTGAAACTACTGACGGTCTTGGCCTCCACCACCTTCTCACTTAACTTGTTCCAACCGTCTACCACTCTATTTGCGAAGGTGAATTTTCTTATATTTCTTCGGCATCTGTGTTTAGCTAGTTTAAATCTATGACCTCTTGTTCTTGAAATTCCAGGTCTCAGGAAGTCTTCCCTGTCGATTTTATCAATTCCTGTTACTATTTTGTATGTAGTGATCATATCACCTCTTTTTCTTCTGTCTTCTAGTTTTGGCATATTTAATGCTTCTAACCTCTCCTCGTAGCTCTTGCCCTTCAGTTCTGGGAGCCACTTAGTAGCATGTCTTTGCACCTTTTCCAGTTTGTTGATGTGCTTCTTAAGATATGGGCACCACACAACAGCTGCATATTCTAGCTTTGGCCTAACAAAAGTCATGAACAATTTCTTTAGAATATCGCCATCCATGTATTTAAATGCAATTCTGAAGTTAGAAAGCATAGCATAGGCTCCTTGCACAATATTCTTTATGTGGTCCTCAGGTGATAGTTTTCTATCTAGAACCACTCCTAGATCTCTTTCTTTATCAGAATTCTTTAAAGATTTCTCACATAATATATAGGTTGTGTGGGGTCTATGTTCTCCTATTCCACATTCCATAACATGACATTTATTAACATTAAATTCCATTTGCCAAGTGGTGCTCCATATACTTATTTTGTCCAGGTCTTCTTGAAGGGCATGACAGTCATCTAAATTCCTTATCCTTCCTATTATCTTAGCATCATCAGCAAACATGTTCATATAATTCTGTATACCAACTGGTAGATCATTTATGTACACAATAAACATCACTGGTGCAAGAACTGAACCCTGTGGTACTCCACTTGTGACATTTCTCCATTCCGATACATTGCCTCTGATTACTGCCCTCATTTTTCTATCAGTCAGAAAATTTTTCATCCATGATAGAAGCTTACCTGTCACCCCTCCAATATTTTCCAGTTTCCAGAACAACCTCTTATGTGGAACTCTGTCGAAAGCCTTTTTTAGGTCCAGATAGATGCAGTCAACCCAACCATCTCTTTCCTGTAATATCTCTGTGGCTCGATCATAGAAACTGAGTAAATTCGATACACAGGATCTTCCAGATCGAAAACCATACTGTCTGTCTGATATTATATCATTTCTCTCTAGGTGTTCTACCCATTTAGTTTTGATTAGTTTTTCCAATACTTTCACTATTACACTTGTCAATGATACAGGTCTATAATTGAGGGGGTCTTCCCTGCTGCCACTTTTGTAGATTGGAACTATGTTAGCCTGTTTCCACCCGTCTGCTACGATTCCTGTACACAGGGATGCCTGAAAGATCAGGTGAAGTGGAATGCTGAGCTCAGATGCACATTCTCTCAGAACCCATGGTGAAACGCCATCTGGGCCAGCTGCTTTGTTCTTACCGAGCTCCTTGAGCATTTTTTCCACTTCGTCTCTAGACACCTCTATGTGTTCTATGTTGTTCTCTGGAATTCTTATTGTATCTGGTTCCCTAAAGATTTCATTTTGTACAAACACACTTTGGAACTTTTCGTTTAGTGTTTCACACATTTCCTTTTCATCTTCCGTGAATCTATTTCCCATTTTCAACCTCTGAATATTATCCTTTACCTGCAATTTGTTGTTTATGAATTTATAGAATAGACCTGGTTCTGTTTTACATTTGTCCGCAATCCCTTTTTCAAAATTTCTTTCTGCCTCTCTCCTCACTGCCGTGTAGTTGTTTCTCGCATCTTTGTATCGCTGGTATGTTTGGGGGTTCGGCCTCTTCCTGTATTGATTCCATTTTTGTGTCTTTCGGTCTCTAGCCCTCTCGCAATTTCTATTGAACCAATCCTGTTTCCTAGTTCTGCATCTCTGTTTTGGTATAAATTTTTTTGTGCCTTTATCATATATTTCACAAAACTTGCCATACATCTCATTCACTTCCTTGCCTAGCATCAAGTCTGTCCAATTATACTCACTAAAAAAATTTCTAAGGTCACCATAATGTCCTCTCCTGTGTGTGTGTGTGTGTGTGTGTGTGTGTGTGTGTGTGTGTGTGTGTGTGTGTGTGACAATAATAGTCTCCTGCTCTCTGCACCTCTGTGAGGGAGCCAGGTTATGGCTCTGGTTACCATTAGGCCCAGCACAGGACTCCTGCAACTGATGTGACCCAGTAGTGGGAAGCCTTCTCAGCAAGATTGATTACTTCAGGAAGCCACTGGGGCTCTTCCAGAAGAAGGCATTTCATTACATACAAAGCTGGTTTTGTAAGTGTATGTAAATTAAGGTATTCTGATTTGCCTTCTCTCATCTTCTTCTAGACTGCCACACACCGCCCATACAAACGACGACGAATACTCCAATGGAGGCCCATTCACTCATGGCGACCTACTGGCAAACATGCGCAAGTTCATCCCAGACGATGGCGACAACTGAGGAATCTTGTTTGCTTGGGGGTCATCACAAGAATAATATTTTGCACAACCTAATTCAAGGAAATGTACTATAATATTCATAATTACTGTATGTAGTATTGCCCTATACCAGTATGTATATGTGTATTCAAAAGAACAGGGTAGTACAGTCCAGTATGGATACTAACTATAGATGCCTTAATGTATTATAGTAAGCAAATATAGATGCAAGACTTGAATTATGATTTACTAGATCATTTTTATGTTGAACATTTAATGTAGAACAAGCAACAACGAAGGATACTTTGTCAATTATATAATGCATAACCAGTAGGGAAAATATAAATTAAAATTTTTAAAATAAATTGAAATGATTCTTTAATAGTATTGCATAATTTGGGGATTCTTTCCAACAGATTACTGTTATACTGTGCAGACGATGAGTCACAATAACGTGGCTGAAGTATGTTGACCAGACCACTGGTCAACTGTTATACTGTACCTACTGTAAATAATGTGAAATTCTTGGACTGTTATTATCAGAGGGGAAATTGTCATTGAAGTAATGTCTGCAACAACCTGAGGGATATCAACAATTATCACTAGATTTCTCAACTCAAAACAGTTTATTTTATCCTCGTATAACATGACTTAACAAATATTTCCCATAGTTTAGGAATAAATTAGGCATTTGTATGTAAATATTCTCACTTTCTTGCAAGATGTCAAGCCTGTTGGTAATTTGTTGTTACATTTTAATACTTTTTGTAGCATCTCTGAATACAAGACTGCTTTCCCAGGAGCAACAATGTGGCAGGGTCTGTCTTCTACTAGAACCAGCTCGGGCTATGATGACATGGCTGTGATTATCCTCCATCAGGACCAAGTCAGATTACAAACTGCTGCCTTCACACAGGTAATGAAGATGGCTTCCTGCTTGCCATAGCATTCAATGGTAAAGTAATTCAGTTCATGGGATGTTCAGAAGAGGCCCTCATAGGGCAATTGAAAAGGTTGGCAGCCAGCAATGACCTAGAGATGACAAGCAGTCAAAGCTCTGGAGGTCACATATGGCTGGTCATAAAGCTTACATGTCAGGCATGGTAATATTTGAAAAATTCTTTCTATCGCTGTACCATTGCCGTCGATGAGGAAGGAAACGGTGCTCTTAGCATCCAGATGGTAGGCCAAGGCCCAGTTCTAGGTGGTGCCAAGGAACTGCCTGGAGATCCTTCCACTGATGCCTTGAACTCGATGAGGTGTAGTACTGTGGGATTTGTTTTGTTTGGGATTATCATGCTGGGGGATCGGTGACCAAACCATAGGTCACAGAAGCTGTATCGCATAGAGCTGGACTGACTGTCTTCTTGATGTAGTGAATGTCCATGTGAACAGAGAGAGACATACCACAAGTTACGAGAAACCAAATACATATTGATCTTGGCTTTGGGTATACTAGACAGCTGATCCACAGTGGGAGTTATGGGATTTTTAGGAGATATTTGTGTCTTCTCCACTTAACCATAGAGTAGTAGGTCAGATACCATGGACCTGCAACCACTGTTGCAGTGTTCTGCTCTTGGCTATAGATTCATGTCATAAATTACAGTACTTGTTACCATTGTAATTTATAGAATATAGTGTTATTTGTTATGTTTTTCTGTGCCCCTGTCTGGTCATACAGTGTGTTAAGACTACCTAAACTCACACTAGTCTGATTTCGTGTGTTACCGAGGCGCCTGGCAATGTTATTAAATGAGGTGCCTGACAGCTGAGTGGACAGTGCTTCGGATTTGTAGACCTGAGGTTCCGGGTTCGATCCCCAGTAGAGGCGGAGACAAATGGGCAAAATGTTTCTTTCACCCTAAACCCTGATGCCCCTGTTACCTAGCAGTAAATAGGTACCTGGGACTTAGACAGCTGCTACGGGCTGCTTCCTGGGGGGTGTGTAACAAAAAGGAGGCCTGGTCGAGGATTGGGCCGTGGGGACGCTAAGCCCTGAAATCATCTCACGATAACCTTAAGATATACCCAGTCGACATTATACGCCTAAAATATTATGGTTGTAGCATAATTATAAAAACATTTAATTAAAATATATATATTTTCTCATTATATACACTACATAAATTACTGACCAGAAATCCATAAATATACATTTCAATAATACAAATTGGTATGCTGCATCTTGAATGCTCTAATTTAAAATGCATTAACCTTAAGTTCATTACAAAATAAAGATATCAAACATTTAGTAACTGATAGTTTGACAAAAATTAAGTGGCTGCATAGGTTTGAACTACCATTAACCACAGTAAAAAAGAAATGCAGTTATCAAACTGTTGTGCTGTAAAGTATTTTATCACTGTTTTATAGCACACACTGCACTGCATTGCTCACTAAATGAGACTAGACATAAATCTCAAGTGACTGAGGCTCGGACTGTTTTGAGGAATTATTATATTACACAGCACCTGAGTCACTGTCTTGTGCTCCATTTCACTTGTGCTTTAGTTGGCTGCTGCTCTCTTTTGAAGTGAGATGGTGATGAGCTGCAACACTTCCACAGCTGCAACTGGGATGCGTGTCCCTAAAAGAGAATACCCTGTACTGTAATATTAAGCATTTAATGAGAGTAAATGTGACAAGTTATCAACTGTGCAGATATTATAACAAAAATTTAATCATAAATTTTATTCCAAAGACTACAATAATAATATTTTTTAAATGCATTTTACTCTTACAATATAAATTTGCAGAGATGACTTTGTAAGTAGAAAATAGATACTACAAGTCAAGTCAAAGGTCTGTGAAAACTTATCCACTGAATGGTGTCCACTGTTTATTGACAACAGTGGAAACATTCCTTGTGTATTAATGGAAAAACACATTATTTTGGCCTTCATTCAAGATTTTACTTATCTAGATATGAGCAATAATGTACTAAGTACATTATGTATTTGCATCTACAACAGGTACACATATTACTTGTTGTAGATGCCATGCCTACAACACACAAAATTAAATGCCTCGCTAAAACACACACACATTAATTTATACCTGGACCAAAGATGGCAGCTACTCCAGCACTCTTTAAGAAGTCATAATCTTGGGGTGGAATAACTCCCCCAACAATGACTAGGATGTCAGGTCGTCCTAGGTCAGCCAAGGCTTGTACCAGCTCTGGTACCAACGTACGATGACCTGAGCAGAGAATGTCTCATCATTCAGATATCTTATTCAGGCGCATTAATATGTATACTCACACACACATACACATTAAAAATAGGGTGTTTGTAATAAACCCAGAATTTAATGTAATGAAACGTCTCTCTGAAGGAGCCCCAGTTGTTCCCTGAAGCTTCAGGAGTGACCAGTTGGTCTCCCACCAGAAAACACTCCTTTCTAAGCCAGTTCCTAAAAGGTTCACTGAGCCACAGGTCATATCATCTACCTAGGACTCCTAACATATTGGCTGTCAACAACATTATCTTCACTTTGAAAAGGGTCTTTCCAAACAGTCTAGGCAAGGAAATTAAGGAACAGAGGGGTGTCAATTAAAACCAGAATGTGCAAGCACCTAACCTTAAGTACACAAATACACACTACAGCTACCGCCTCATAAGCAGCAGCAAGAGAAGTATAGTTGCCTCTGGTCCTCCAGGATCAATAACTGGAGGACCAGAGGCAACAAGGTTGAGTGTTGTGTCTTCCACACCTTGTACCTGCTGCATTTCAACTTAAATTCTCTGGCTCTGACTTTCAAATTCTTGGTCAAATCAGGCCATAAAGTTGTGGTTGTAGGTGGCTGCCACAGCTTCCTCTGTTGTTAACCACCCATACAGGGTACAAGTACAGTATAAATGGAAATTCTAATTATGTTGGTTGTGGTACAAAAAATTGTGAATACATGTTCATTTTTAGACTTCCCTGGTAAGAATTATGCTTATCCAGATGTCTGGCTTACCTGGTTGGTGGTTCTTCCCATAGTTTGGACAGTATTTACAAATACACAATTGACATGAATTTATCATCCCCACAAACATCATTACCCAAAATTGTGCATGTAATACATAAACTAATTACAGTACAGTAGTTGCATTACCTGCAGCTAGGGATGATGCTCCTACAACATGCACGTCATCGTCCACAGCCTGCTGTGCTACCTCCGCTGCTGTCTAAGATGAAACAAATTACCGTAGAACAATTATAAATTTTTAATGAACACCAAATACTGTATGTAGATTAAATTTACATCTTCATATTCCATTAGTGATGACTGCACGGTGCAATGAAAATGAATTTTTATATATATATATTATATATATATATATATATATATATATATATATATATATATATATATATATATATATGGAAGTATCTTCTCAGTTATTAGGATAAAAACCTTACAATCGTTTACATATGTACTGTTCAGTAAATAAAGAATTTGTTTAACAAACATGAGATACATGGCAATATATTCAGCTTCAGATAGACAATGTAAACATTAGTAATAAAAATGATGGAAAGTTTCTTGGCCTATTCCTAGACAAGAGACTCAACTTCAGCACCCACATACAACACATAACTAAGAAAGTCTCTAAAACAGTTGGTACTCTCTCCAAAATCACATATTATGTACCTAACTCTGCTCTCATCTTTCTATATTATGCACTAATCTATCCCTATCTTAATTATGGTATCTGTGCATGGGGTTCAACCACTGCAAACCACCTCAAGTCCATCATCACCCAGCAAAAATCTGCTATCAGAATAATAACAAATTCTGCTTTCAGACAACACTCGGCCCCCTTGTTTAACTCCCTAAACATAATCTCACTACACAAATTCTCTTGTGTCAACTACATTTGCAAAATCCTGTTCTGAAACTCTCCCTGGACAGATGTAATAGGACCCATTATCACCACACCAGAAATAAATATCTCTTTGATATCCCCAGAGTCAAACTTAATCTGTGTAAACACACTATGCAAATAAAGGGACCCAGTCTATGGAACTCGCTCCCTATTGAATTGAAAAGCTGTCCAACTTTTGCGTCAATTCAAAAACAAAACTACAAAGTACCTAATTTCATCTTCATAGTTTTTTTACCTCGTTGCTTTAAAATTGCACTGTATCTATTGCTACCCATTCTCCCAATCTTTATGTACCCAATCCGAACATTTTTAACATTGTGATCATTGCTGTCTTCTTATATGTGCTATCAATCTGCTGTATGGTGCCTATTAATCTTGTTTAAATTACCAATCAAGCTGCCAATGTAATCAATCAGAGCTTTAATATACCAATGTGCTTTAATATACTTAATACTGTAATCTCTCATATAATTTTTTATCTTGCAATGTGTCTGATATCATTTTATTAATTCTGCTAGAATTTACCTACTTAAAATTATCTGTTAGATTAAGGACCTGCCCGAAACGCTGCGCATACTAGCGGCTTTACAAGATTGCAAATACTATGCTATGTATTCTCACAAACCCAATGTACCTTCTTGTATATAAATAAATAAATATGTCAGGGGCAAAATCTGGGTTTCGTTATGTCATTTAACTAGCTTAGTTTTCCCCAGCCTTGTACGGTCATTAAGTTTGAATAAGTTTATGTAATTTCTCTGCCCTTAATCTTTGTGACTTTTGTTTAAAAAAAAAATGCTAATTTTATTGATGTGACTGATGTGGTCCCACTAACGCCATGCGGGTTAGTGGCCTTACAAGAATGTAAAAACATCAATACTATGTACTCTCATAAACGCAATGTACCTTATTGTATATACAGTATATAAATAAATAAATAAATAAAATATATGTAATTTTACTGAAATAGCAGAGTACACCGTGAACTGTTAAGACCCCGTTTTCGATGCGTTTTAAATTCGGTAACTGCGCTAGTATTTCTTCCTCCGTGTTGTATATTAATCATTGTTAAGACCACTCTCCTAACTATCTTTTAATTTACATTTTTATTTTTCTCCTTTGCGTTTGTCCTCTTACACTCCCACCCCCATCTCTTAATTCCATGTTTCCGGCTGGCGTCCAAAGTATTTATTTATTTATATACAAGTAGGTACATTGGGTTTGTGAGAATACATAGCATAGTACATATTTACAATGTTGTAAAGCCACTAGTACGCGCAGCGTTTCGGGCAAGTATTGTATTTACCTGAATTTACCTGAGGGCCACTAACACTTTAGTGGCCTCGACAAAGACAGGAAGCCAGTGGCTTGTCATAGGTCCCCTCCCCCATTCGTCCTCATGATTTTTTTTTCATTTCGATTTTAAAATTGAACAGTTTTGGCCTTTACGGCTTCCCCGGGTAGACAGTTCCAGTTTATAATCCTTTAGGGTGAAAAAAAACGTTTTCTGTACTACAATGTGGCTTATTAAACTTGAAACAATTGCTCCTTGTTTATGTTACTTAGGCGACCATGTTGTTTTGTCTGATGTAACCAACTCTCTCTCCTTCCTGGCTTACAACGGGCTCACCACAGCCCGGGCTACGTGCAACTTTTGGTTCCCAGGAGCTGAATCTAAAACAACTCTCTTGTCAGTAATTCTGCTATTAACAAAACCCTGAAAGGGTCGAAACACTAGCATATATTTATTTAATGTGTGTTACTCTGCATTTAACAGATCCGATTATTACTCTGTTGCACACTTTGTATCTACTGTACTTGCCGAGTACATACATATACTCTACGATGTTAAATAAATTATTTGTCTTTGTAATTTAGATAATGTATTAATTGCTGGTTGCGGTGTATGATAATTGCTGGACGTTGCAAGTCCAGGTATTAATCAATACTCATTTAGGGAATCACGTAATATAGTGGTGACGAGTATCCTGATTAAAGCGACGCACATTTGTGTAGGAGTTATTTATAAGTTACAATACAGCACTTGTGTATTCCTTAGTCGAGCGTCTTGGGTCCTGGGGGAGGTGGAGGGGGTGAACTTAACACGACATCAAGGTTTTCTTAAGACATGCATTAAACCCCAGAGAAATCCAAATATACCTTTTACTTAATGACTATGTATAAATTATCATCGTATATACATTTCTCATTGCCGATGTAGCATTTAAATGGTATAAAAACCTAACTGTTTAGTGATAAAGGTGAAGACGCGAACTTAAAAGCCGCGTTAAAAAGCTATAAGGAAGCAGCATTACCAAAGACATCACCCTCCCAATATGTCGCAATTGGTGACCTTAACGCACAGTTGCCGACTAGGATTACCGCTCACGGGTGCAAAAATCTAATTGCCATTTTGTACACATCTCCGAGATGTGAGAGAAGGCTGGAAGAGCCGGTAAGAGAGTGAAGGAGGCATTGGTTATAGTGAGAGAGAGAACCAATGGCGGCGGAGTAGTGATCTGATGCCAACCTTGTCACATCCCGACCCTCCGCCATCTGCCCTAAGACACAGCTGCACGCCTCTCCTAATATTCATCCCGTCTCTATTTAGCTAGACACACGAGGCGGCGACATGGTGGAGGCGCACCAGAGGGAGGGGTGGAGGTTGTGGAGGGGGAGGGCGTTGCCGGGGTTGGCAGCGCTGGAGAAGGACGGGACCACAACAAACTCACAAGACCCACAACACCTGGGGGAGGACCACACACCTGAAGGAGGACGCAACAAGTGGGAGAGGACGCAACACCTGGGGGCCAATACTACCTCCGTCTAACACACTCGTGCCTTTTGGCAGCACATTGTCACATCCTCATGCAAGGGTGAGTCAAGTGCTCTGATACACACAAGTTCCATCGTGCAGTCACACCGAGTGTCTGTCTCCTGGTGTGGCACGGGGAGACGGGGCCACGGTGTGGCACGGTGTGACACAGGGATACGGGGCCACGGTGTGGCACGGTGTGACACAGGGATACGGGGCCACGGTGTGACACAGGGATACGGAGCCACGGTGTGACACAGGGATACGGGGCCACGGTGTGACACAGGGATACGGGGCCACGGTGTGACACAGGGATACGGGGCCACGGTGTGACACAGGGATACGGGGCCACGGTGTGACACAGGGATACGGGGCCACGGTGTGACACAGGGATACGGGGCCACGGTGTGACAGGGATACTGGGCCACGGTGTGACACGGTGTGACAGGGATACTGGGCCACGGTGTGGCACGGTGTGACAGGGATACTGGGCCACGGTGTGGCACGGTGTGACACAGGGATACGGGGCCACGGTGTGGTACAGGGGCACGGTGTGACACAGGGACATGTGTAAAGACATGTTCAGGTTATGTGATACTATATCACTGGCCTTCCTTGCTTCACTGATATTTCTCATAATATTTTGAGAAATATTACTCTACACAAAATAGAAATTTCAAAGAATGTATGTAAATTGTTGAAATTTAGATTGTGGAAGGCCCTGGGTATAAACCAGTTTTGAAACGGGGTTGTTGATTTTGGGAATAAAATAGAGTAAAATAATAGACGTGGGACTGCTGGATTGTATCAAGCATTGGTTAGACATGAATGAGTTTAGGGGGATGTAAGTAGGAGCTACCTCATGAGCCAACAGTAATTAGATTTACATTAATTATAAGAAAGCTACTTTGATAAATTTGTAATGACAAAATTGGGTATTTATATTAATAAAATAGACATTACTGCTTTAGTGACAATAAAATAAAAGATCTAAGAGCTTCAGCCACTGCATGTGTTAGTTTTTTTTTTAATATCTAAAGAACATTTTCTGTACAAGAGAAAGAAATTAGGAATGTCAAGTCAGCAACCCACACTCCACCATGCATACCCAGACCTAATCGAAGTGCATCACCAAGGTCTCACAAGTTGAGCCTGGCCCCTGGGCCAGGTTTAGGGAGTAGAAATAACTTAGAACTGCATCAAGCAAGTCTTCCATACCATTTTTTGTAGATAGGAACTATGTTAAGCTTTTCCATATATCTGTCAAGATTCTCTATGCAAAGATGACTGGTCCTGTGCATTTGGATAGAAGCCCAGGGGTGCTCTGCTGCTTTTATACATAAAACAAACACTGTCCTGCCATAGTGCCAGTTATTATTCTAATCTATATTGCATCCACAAACAGCAGCACTCTAAGCTTGTATCCAACATACAGTACTCACAGTCCTTAGATTTGCCAAGAGTTCATGATTCAACAACATTTCAAGTTAAACCTCAAAATGTATTGCAAGATTAAAAAGATTATTCACTCTCCAAAGAAGTACGAACAAGACTGATAACCTAAACCGATGTACTGATGATATCCTAAAACATTAACTAAAGAGTAAATATAAATTCTCTTAAAATATGTGTATAAGAAAGCGAATCCCAAAAGCAAGAACCTTTCATATGAAGATAAAATATTAGTGTTAAAACTGCACTTTATTGAAAGGGGGGTACAAGATAGCAATAAAGTGCACAAATGAATGAATGAATGGCATAAAGAAAGGGGCACATTTACCTCCTTGTGGTGTTCTCTGGTTACAGCTAATAAGGACAAAACATATGGTGCTGAATAACCTACCCAATTCCAGGACTTAACCCTAGATTTAAATAAAAGTTAGGTTAGATAAATGGACATCAAAATCATTATGTAAACCTGCCTGACACAAACCAGTAGGCCTCAATTTTTTTCAAATTTATTAAAACATGATTTACATCAAGCATGCATATCATGAATTGCATTTGTATTACCAGTCACTTATTGTGGAAAACATTTTAATTATTACAGTATTTTGAATACTCATTAAGTGCTAGGAAGAACATGAAAAAATGTAAATAGTCTTAATTAGTTGTGCAATTTAGGGGTTAATTAGGTCCTAAATTGTAGTGCATATGACAAAAATAGTTCACAAAATTTATGTTCAAAAAATGATATTTGCTGATTCAAGTACAGGCGGTAATCCCAAATACTGTACCTATCGGTGACTACAGGTTAGTGAGATCTAGCTCTTTATGGCTCATTTAGATATTTATACCTGACATGTTAATTACCTATCTCATCATAAACATTCACATAAGCCTCTGGTGTTAATGGTGGAATTATGTCTACTCCTGGGTCTTTGAGAAAATGTTTTTTATAATTGCCTTCCTCTTATGATATAGTTAAATTACAGGTCTCCTATCTCCCTTACCTATTTTTGTTACTTTACACATTTGGATTGAATTCCAGCAAGGTAATGAAAGTGGGTATGGGATACAGGAGACCTGTATTTAACTACACCATAAGGCAAAGGCAATTACAAGAAACTACAATACTATATAATGAAGGGTCAAACAATTTACAATTGAAGACTTGTAATTCTTGAATAGCATACATTATACTAGTTTCGTAATGCATCTAAAACAATGTACAGTACTGTAGTTTTATTAGTTGCATACAAAGAATAGATGCAATAATTATATCAAACTTTCCATGTACCCCAGCAATGGATGAACACGAATTTGAAGAGATATTGACCTACCTCTCGGGAAGTAAATACCCCGAAAACATCAAAACTAAAGATAGCCGCAGTAATTGGCGCAAAAAGTGCCGCCCTTTTACATACTGTAAGGATCAGCTCTATTACAACCACAAAAAGTATGGAGCACTCCTTGCCGTGAAAGGTGTCAAGGACAAGAGAAAAATAATAGAATCCAGCCACTTGCAACCGGATGGGCGGCATCATGGCATCAACAGGACGTAAGTAAATATTCAACCTTACTCTGCTTCTCAGCACAGTGCTTAATAATCACCCACATAATAAAAATATAAAATAAAACACCATTTCCTAAACATCTAGCAGTAGATTTCAGGTTATCTACAAATTTGGTGGGATTAACAGTATCACAGTAAAATGACAATTTTGTACAAGATTGAACTGGCTAGTAAAGAGTACCAGTGAAAGATATATTTCATCAGATGGTCATGGCCATGTTATAAAAAAGCAGTAAAGCAAAAGTGATGAGATCTCCCCTCATTTGAGCCACTGTATTAACCATATGGCAATTTTTATATGCAAAATTTTTCACAGAAAATCCAAAATAACATTACCTACTGTATATCTAAAGAACTTGATCATTTCTACTTTAGATTTTTGTTTAATTTATCAACTCATATTTTTAGGACCGTCCCTCAATAACTATTCATATTTATGTTGCAGACTTAAGAAGATCAGTACCAACTACTACTGGAAGACGATAGCTAAAGATGTTCACAACTATGTCAAGATTGAATGTCAGACTTGCACCGAGCAAGGTAATCAGCAAAATAATTCAATGCGACATGTCAGCATAGCCCGAACAGAATCTGATGGAGATATCAAGATAAAGTCAGCAGAGAAAATTGTTGACAAGGCCATTGAGCAGATTGGACTGGATGTAATTGGCAATATTTTAGAACCAAGTGTTCCATCTCCCCAGGAACCTGTGTGTAACGTGTTCAAATGTGAAACTGCTGTACCACAGCATACTATGCAACAGCCATTAGTGCTCAGAGATCATATAATGGCACACTGTGGTCTTGATGTTATCGGGCCTTTGAGTGAGACGCACAAAGGAAAGAGATTTATCATTATTTTGACAGACTGTGTAACAAAGTGGGTAGAGGCAGTGGCAATTTCTGAATTTACAACGGACTCTGTTGGAAATTTTTTAGCCGAAACCATATGTCGTCATGGGTCTATTGAAGAAATAATGACGAAACACAATCATGATGAATTTTGTACTAGATTAACTGAAAAAATGTGTTCAACAATGGGAATTACCATACGAATATCTACTTTGCTTCCCTCTCAGTCAAATGGGTATACTGAACACTACTGGTATAATACCCTTTTGTGTGGTGCCTTGTTGAAATATAGTAATCAAAATCAATATTATTGGGACATTTATTTGCATCAAGTAATTTTAGCATATAGAACATTTCAACAAAAAAATACCCCTGGTTCCCCATTTCAGCTCTTGTATGACAGACCAACTCGGCTTCCAGTGTTAGTTGCACATCAGTCAACCAGTGATGGTTATTCAGATGAACAGGAAGCACTCATAGACCACATGGTCAGTTACATTAAGGCATTGTCATGTCCCACTCATCAACAATCTCTTGGTATTCATAACCCACCCAGCGACAGGTTATCCCCTCCATACATTACATCAAACAATATATCTACACCTGTGTCATCTACATCAAATGCAACTACTCAACAGCAGCATCACCAATCTACACAAGTTTTAGGATCTTTTACACATACTGGTCAAGCTAATAATCAAATAAACACTAATCTATCTTTGACAACTCTTGGGACAAGCATTCAGCCACCACACAGTAATGCAACAGTACATACAATACAAGGTAATGGCTTATCAGCCCAAGCTATCTCTACTAATACCATGGCAGCACACACAATTTCAGCAAATAGTATAAGTTCACACAGCATTCAGGGTACCAATTTAACAGCTCACACAATCTCTGCAAACAATGTTGCACATAGCCTACAGACAAACACTGGGACCTCGCATAGCATTCCAAGTAATAGCCATATCATTACAAGCCCAACAGTAACCCCAGTTGCCAGTCACGTCATCACTCCTCACGTGTCTGTTGCTCAGTCTACAGCCGTCCAGACGCCAACAAATATGACCACCCAAACCACTACTGATGCACACTCAGGACACATGGTCATGATACACACAGATGGGAAGGCTTATGCAGAATCATTCTATGTGATCTGTCCACAGTGATTCAACACTCAGGGAGAGCGTAATAGTGAGGTTTCATAAAACAGATATGCAATTATAATTCTTCTATACAGTGTGTCTTTGAGCTCTGTAATTAACTTAATATTTAATCTTTTTTAGTGTACAGTACTAGACATTCTTTTTTCCAGTTGCATTGACCAACTTATAGCATACTACCTCCTAAAAACAGTCAGGTGACTATAAAGTATTTACCTCTTTCTATATTGTGATTTTTATGTATTGGAACAAATTTTTGTATTTATATATTACACAAAACACTTTGGAACACTTTCCCAAATGAAAAGTAAAAAATAAAAAAGGCATACAAGTATTTGGCACGTAACATGATGAGCAATATGGTACTTCTGTAATAATTTTGTCCCCTAATCATAGCAATGATAAATTATATCCATTACAATTATTTCTACATCAGATATCTGTGAGATCCTTAGTTAGCCAGAATATTAATCTGCACTGCAGAGTAAAATGTCTTGCCAAGACTTCACACAGCATAATCTTTGTATATTCACCATATTGCTTCCTCAAAATATGAACTCTTGAGTATCCTTAACACACAGGTACTCCCTCAGGTCATACCCTCATACAGGTACTCCCTCAGGTCATCCTTCTCACACTGGTACTTCCTCAGAACATGTCTCTCGTTGGAAATCCCTCAGAAACCTTTCTCGCACTGATATTCCCTTAAAATATACCTCCTCAAGCAGTATTCTGCCCCCCCCCCCCCTCCATGTTCTGCTGACTCTTCAATTAACACCCCCCCCTCTATTATTACACCCCCTGCATTCATTTAAATAAATCTCTTCACTTGACACTCCTATAATACAGTATTATATAATACTCTCTCTTCTTAACACTCCCTTTTATCTCATCTATCATTAAATCCAAGTTCTGAAAGTTCATCTCATTAACCAGGAATTATTCATTTCATAATTCTAATTCCCATCTTTTGCATTCAGAAAACTTTGAATACTAAATTTATCCCACATCATCTATAATTATTAATGTTTCTGTAATAATGTATAACCAAAAATGGTAAACACAGCTCACCTGTCTAGTTCATGACACTTGGGTTTAATTGTGTGTGTTTGTGTGTGGGGCTATGTGTCGAGAATCATGCTATGCACAGAGCCATGATTGGACTTGACTGACATGGTGACAATTAGAGAGTTTGCCACTTTGTCAAGTCAAAGATTCAAACTACAGTACTGTATTGTATTTTACTTCTTATTTTATCTTACCATGGACTGCTCTCCACAAAGCTGAGAAATAATTTAAAGAATTAAGTTCTTCAGTCATCAGTTGATCCAAGTGCTATATAGTTATAATGGCTTGGTGTTTTCTCCTGATTGTTCCCTTCAACCATCAGTTTTTCATGTCTTTGTTCTAGTTCTTTAACTTAGAATTTTTGCACTTTAAAAAAACAAATTTGTCTTTCTGTTTACCTCTGTAATGACAAAAATTGCTAAAAGAAAACTCAGTAATGTAATCTGTCCAATAGAGTTTTACATTATCTAATAGATGACAATCATCATATATTACATAATCTTTCCTTCATATTATCTTACAATGTGGATCCGACAGATTCACACATTATTCCACACACAATCTCTTCACTGCCATTCCACTATTCCTTTTCCAATTTTCACTTTTTTTTTTTAAGCCATTACTGCAAGCCTTCATCATCCTCTGTCTTAATAACAAACAAAATCAAACTTAAACTTCCGTTAGTGTATTTCTGATTGCATCACACTTTTGGAGACGCAGCATTATACTGTACCATCACTAGTCAATGCACCTGTCATCTGTATACCTTTTAGAACCTTCATAGTTTTCTCTACATGCATTCCCTTCGCACTACCAAAACTGCTTGAAATAACTTTTCTGGATTATGTGTAATTCTTTTTTATTAGATGTTAGGAAAGACTTGCAAATTGTGCTAAAATTATCTGAATACCTTTGACAAGAAAAAGATCACGAAACTTATTAACACATTTTACAATACTGTAAACTGCCAGTTATCACAAATTGGATCCATAGGCACACATTTCACATCTACCTTTTCAATTGTTTTTTAAGAGACTTGCCAAGTTGGAAGAAAATTTGCTACTTCATTGCTGATTACCTATTTCATTTCTGCAAAGGGTCATACTTATACAAAATCGTCAATTATATATTTGTGTAGCTTTGGGTTTATTGGTTTTATAATCCTTCCACATTATAGTTCCTATCAACCGTATCTTATTCAGGCTTGTTTAGATAAAAACCACTACACGTCTTTTATTTATATTTATCTTCATCTAATAAACCCAAATTCATTCTTGAATAATGTCTTGTAACTGTCACTGTCCCACTTGTCATGATAATTTCATCATTCAATTCCTTCATATTTTCACTCGCATCTTTTCTTAAATCATTCTCATAAGGTACAGTACTTAAATTGTTCAACCAGGAACTCACTAACAGCAGCATTCAATCAACATAAAAAAAGTTAGTGACATCACACATTCTGGTATAGCCTGAACTTTGACCACAAGCTAACTACACCTCTACTACTTCTACCATGTCTGATTTTCTAAGTAACCCCTTTACTCTTTCCAATGCATATTTCCACACTATGTTCTGTACCTATTTTGCATCAGATGTGTGAAAAGCTTTCTCTGATTTGGCTATATTTTTAATATTGTCCTTCAAAATTTATATATCACATGTCAGGATTTGTATATTTATGCTTTATATAAGCTAATTAATTTACTATGTTAATCTAATCTAAAGTAAGAATAATATAGTTATTTTTAAGTTTGATTACTGGCATTTAATCCCCAGATCAGGCCATTTCGTAAGGTTCAACATGTTATTTGAGACATGGGGTCGGAACAAGAACCATACAGCTTTTTTAAGTTAATTATTAGAGGATGATGATAATGCATGTATTATCCTTTTATAGAGCTCAACATAGCATAATGTAATATATATTAATGTATATAATTAAGTGAAATAGGTTTGAATGTTTTAATTATAAACAAAGATGTAAAACGTTATGCAATTATTTTGTAGAAAACGTGGGAGCGAAAATTCTCCTTCCATAGAATAAAACAATTTTTATTATGTGATATTTGCTTGTGATAAATGGTGGGAAGTTAGCTAAAATATACATTGATTACCAATGCCATTTCTTTAGAATATCCATAACAAATTGTTCTGCATTTAGTAGACAATTAACCCTTGGGCAGCAGCTATGGAAAAATGGTCATACTTGCCTATGCACAAAATATATAAAAATTCCAAAAAATAATGTTTCATTATAGAATTCTAGTAACTATGGAGAGCAGGATTTTTTTCAAAGGTCAAGGAAAACTCCATTTCATCTCCATAGACCAACTACAGTATATCCTTATTTGCATCATATAGGTAAAACCCAGGCAATAATTATATAAATCGTCATATGACTATAGCCGCATTATTTCGTGAATCAACATATGATGATAACTGTTGCCTAAGGGTTAAGGCACTTCAAAATACTCTACAGTAGTAAAACAAAAACCAGCACAATGAATGAAATATTATGAAGCTTAACTGAAAGGTTACCTTACCTTGCAGTTACCTTGCGTTAATTCTGGGGGTTAATGTTCTCGCGGCTCGGTCTCTGACAAGACCTCCCGATTGGTGGTCTGGTCAACAAGGCTGCTGGATACGGCTGCTCCGAGCCTGATGTATGAATCAGCCTGGTTGACCAGGTATCCTTTGGAGGTGTTTACCGAGTTCTCTCTCGAACACCATGAGAGGTTGGCCAGTTATGCCCCTTATATGTTGCAGAAGTGTGTTGGACAGTCTCGGGCCTCTGATGTTGATAGGAGTTCTCTCTCAGAGTACCTATTGAACTTCTGCTTTTCAATGAGGGTATTCTGCACATCCTGCCATGCCTCTTGGTCTCAAGTGATATTATTTTTGTGTGCAGATTTGGAACCAGACTAATATTTTCCAAGTGTAAATTATGTATATCTCCCGTCTGCGCTAGAGAATGCAGATTTAAACATTTTAATCAGTCCAAATGTTTTATTAAGTGGATTCTAGCAATAAAGGATCTTTCCTCACTCTCCAGCTTTGAAAGGGGCCATTATTGTGTAACAATATTTCACCCTAGAGAGCACTAGTGTCTTGAAAAGTACTGTATCATCAATGGTATGGCATCCCTTGTTTGAAAGGTTCTTGTTATCCAACCTGTCATTTTACTTGCAGTTGTGATGACTACTTTATTGAATTTTTTGTAGGTAAGATCTTCTGACATTATTACTCCCAGATCCTATACATTGCTTTTTCGTCCTATAATATGATGACTGCATTCTGTGTATATTCCACGACTTGATTATCCAGAACTGACCGAAACAATGTTGTCTCCATCTTCTGATGTGAGGTTTGGTCATCATACCTTCAGCTACATTATTGTGACTCATCATCTATATGTGTGGTCTCCATTTTTATATTTCCATTTTTGTCCATAGTGCAGGAGCTGGAACTTATCTTCATTAAACATCATATTATTTTCTGTAGCACTCTGAAAGACCTGATTTACATCAGATTGGCGGTTTGCTGTATCTTCTATGTTGCCTACTCTCAAACGTCTTAGTGTTATCTGCAAAGGATGATACGGAAATATAATTTGTGTCCTTGTCTATGTCTCATATAAGAAAAAGAATACTGGAGCAAGCACAGCATCCTGTGGCACTTGGCTTTTCACTGTGGATGATCCGGATTTTATTTTGCTGACTATTACACACTGTTAGGAAACTGAAGATCTATCTTTCTGTTTTTCAAGTTATTCCTCTCGAACACATTTTGTGTGCAATAACTCCATGGTCACATTTGTCAAAAGCCTTTTCGAAATCTGTATACAGTATTATGTCATCTTTTTGTTTGTCTTTCATGGCATTCAAGGCCATGTCATAGTGGTCCAGCAATTGTGATAGGCAAGAGTGTTCTGTTCTGAAACCATGGTGTTCAGGGTTATGTAGACACTGTACTTACTTTGGCTGCTATGGGGTCCGGAAGTTGGGGCGTGACGTCATCATTCCCGTGCGCTCGTGCCGTAAGCTCTCGGGGGCGGTGGGGCGCTCGGGGCGGGGCGCGTGAGTTGCCGCGAATATATTTTCGTTCATTTTTGCGCACCTTTCCAAATACATTTTCATTGTTTTTATGTGCCAATCCAATGTATAATGAACACGTATACTATAATATCGCAGTACAACATCCGTACTGTCCGTAGACACTGTGTTACGTGCATGAAACTTGTGTACACATATGCAGCACATATTTACTATGTATCATGCTAATTTGTGTATATATACAATCTATTTACACACTATACACTGTCACACACTATATACATTCACTATCAACACATTCAGAACACCATGTAGCAGCTGCTTCGTATGGGCCAATAGCAGCTGCCTCATATGGGCCAATAGCAGCTGCCTCGTATGGGCTAATAGCAGCTACCTCGTATGGGCCAATAGCAGCTGCCTCGTATGGGCCAATAGCAGCTGCCTCGTATGGGCCAATAGCAGCTGCCTCGTATGGGCCAATAGCAGCTGCCTCGTATGGGCCAATAGCAGCTGCCTCGTATGGGCCAATAGGAGCATTTGGCCATGAACACATTCAGAACACCTCGAGTGAGAGCAGCCACACCCAGCCTGTCTCCCTCACTCCAACATCTTACTCGCCAACATTGCTCCTCCCACCATATTGTTATAGTTCTTATTACACATGTTCTATATACCTATCTACATGTTTTATTTACCAGAACTATGCAAGTAAGCCGGTATTGTGTCCAAACAGTACAGTGGCCACCATACACTGCATGAAAAATCACACAGCAGACGACGCTACGATTACGTCACCTCCCTCACCAAAATAGCTCCTCTCAACATTCTTCTGTTGCTGTTCTTACACTATATACACACACTATATATACCCATGTACATATGTGTTGCCCATAGCGAACCACTAAGCTAGTATGGTGAGCAAAACATTGTGTGTGTGGCAGCCACACACACAATGAGGCTACCTCAATTCTCGCCCTCCCTCCCTCATCAAAATTCCTCCTTCCACAATACTACGCACAACGCTAATTATAAACACATTCCTGCTATTATCACAATCCTGGTCACTAATTCCTGTAAATGAATAATTGACCACACGTTTATTTTGAAAAGGAACCTAAGAAATCATTTGAAGATTCCTAGATGAACGAAATAATGCTGTGGTGCTGTGGCTAGCGCTGTGAACATCGTGAACAGCATTGAATTACTGATATTTGAACATTGTACCCAGTCATTATCACACTCAGGCTCTAATATAACACTATCATAGCTAAATAATACAAGTTATATATATATTTTGACATTATTAGGCGATGCTGTGGTCACATGCTGAACAGCAGTGCTGTGCGCTCATGCTGCGAGCGCCAGCCTTGGTTGCTCACACACTACTGAGGCCCCCACACCCGGGAATGTGGACCACGATTTTTTTTAAAGATGGCGTCTGTTTACAAGAGCCCTGAGGAAGCTGATGTGAACCCCATGTAGCCGCGGGAGTTTTGAATGGAACGTGAAAAATACAAATACCCGGAGGCGCGTTGCGCAAACCAGACGTGAGCCTGCAGGCGCGTTGCGCAGTTTAAGGGTTAACTGAAAGGTTACCTTACCTTGCAGTTACCTTGCGTTAATTCTGGGGGTTAATGTTCTCGCGGCTCGGTCTCTGACAAGACCTCCCGATTGGTGGTCTGGTCAACAAGGCTGCTGGATACGGCTGCTCCGAGCCTGATGTATGAATCAGCCTGGTTGACCAGGTATCCTTTGGAGGTGTTTACCGAGTTCTCTCTCGAACACCATGAGAGGTTGGCCAGTTATGCCCCTTATATGTTGCAGAAGTGTGTTGGACAGTCTCGGGCCTCTGATGTTGATAGGAGTTCTCTCTCAGAGTACCTATTGAACTTCTGCTTTTCAATGAGGGTATTCTGCACATCCTGCCATGCCTCTTGGTCTCAAGTGATATTATTTTTGTGTGCAGATTTGGAACCAGACTAATATTTTCCAAGTGTAAATTATGTATATCTCCCGTCTGCGCTAGAGAATGCAGATTTAAACATTTTAATCAGTCCAAATGTTTTATTAAGTGGATTCTAGCAATAAAGGATCTTTCCTCACTCTCCAGCTTTGAAAGGGGCCATTATTGTGTAACAATATTTCACCCTAGAGAGCACTAGTGTCTTGAAAAGTACTGTATCATCAATGGTATGGCATCCCTTGTTTGAAAGGTTCTTGTTATCCAACCTGTCATTTTACTTGCAGTTGTGATGACTACTTTATTGAATTTTTTGTAGGTAAGATCTTCTGACATTATTACTCCCAGATCCTATACATTGCTTTTTCGTCCTATAATATGATGACTGCATTCTGTGTATATTCCACGACTTGATTATCCAGAACTGACCGAAACAATGTTGTCTCCATCTTCTGATGTGAGGTTTGGTCATCATACCTTCAGCTACATTATTGTGACTCATCATCTATATGTGTGGTCTCCATTTTTATATTTCCATTTTTGTCCATAGTGCAGGAGCTGGAACTTATCTTCATTAAACATCATATTATTTTCTGTAGCACTCTGAAAGACCTGATTTACATCAGATTGGCGGTTTGCTGTATCTTCTATGTTGCCTACTCTCAAACGTCTTAGTGTTATCTGCAAAGGATGATACGGAAATATAATTTGTGTCCTTGTCTATGTCTCATATAAGAAAAAGAATACTGGAGCAAGCACAGCATCCTGTGGCACTTGGCTTTTCACTGTGGATGATCCGGATTTTATTTTGCTGACTATTACACACTGTTAGGAAACTGAAGATCTATCTTTCTGTTTTTCAAGTTATTCCTCTCGAACACATTTTGTGTGCAATAACTCTATGGTCACATTTGTCAAAAGCCTTTTCGAAATCTGTATATTATGTCATCTTTTTGTTTGTCTTTCATGGCATTCAAGGCCATGTCATAGTGGTCCAGCAATTGTGATAGGCAAGAGTGTTCTGTTCTGAAACCATGGTGTTCAGGGTTATGTAGACACTGTGAGTCCATGTATTTTGTGATCTTACTTCTTACCACTCTTTCAAAGACTTTTATGATGTGTGATGTTAGTGCTATCGGCCTATAGTTTTTTGCCTCTGCTTTATTCCATCCTTTATGCAGTGGTACTATCTCTGCTGTTTTTAGTACCAGTATGTCAGGAATAACACCAGTATCAAAGCTCTGTCTCTTAAATTTGTTAAAGGCCTGCTATAGTGGCTTTTTTACAATTCTTGATGAATATGGAGTTCCAGGAATCAGGGCCTGGTGCATAGGCATATTGTCTATGGCATCTTCAAAATCAAGTGCAGTTAGGGTGATATATGATGGAAGATGAAAATGGAAGGAAAGTTAGCACAGGAGATGATGGAACTCATAACACCAGAAATGCAAAGAAGCAACGGAACAGTCCATTCCTCTCAGGAGGGAATTGGACAAAATAGAGAATGTATGAACTTTTGTATGTATCTGTCCATACAAAAGTATATGGACAGGTACAGAGACAAATAGGAAGGTACTTGAGTATGCAGCACTGCACCTTGTGAAGCATAAACAAAAACTTGAAGTTGAGAGGTTTGCAACTACATTAGTACTAGAATTGAGGGGCCTCAGCTGTGAGAACAAGTTGGGAAAATTCACCATCACTACCTTAGAGAAGAAACAGAGTATATATGAAACTATATATAAAGTCATGAGGGGAATGAACAAAATGAGTAAAGGAAGTCCATTTAAATTAAAAAGAGGTAGAACAAGGGAATATCAGCACAAGCTGGACATGCAACTGAGTGGAAGAGATGAAAGGAAATTCTTGTTCCCTGTACAGGTGGTCAGCAAGTGGAATGCAGTGAAGAGGTTGTTGAAGCCAATTCCATCCACAACTTTAAAAATATGATGAAAATGTTAATGTCAAGAGAGGTAATTAACATGTCACATTTAGGTGACTAGGAGGTGGGCTAAAGAGCTAGATCTCAGCAAGCCTTTCCCCCCTCGGTTGTGAACTGACAGCACTGATCACTGGAAAAAGAATGCAAATGGAAGACAAAGCACATTACCTGAAATAGTGGTCCAACATCCACATCGAACCCGAGATCAGCAAATCCAGTGGCAATTACTTTAGCCCCGCGGTCATGACCATCCTGTCCCATCTTGGCAACCAGGATTCTAGGAATGCGCCCTTCAGCCTCAGCAAATTCAGTAATCTGTGAAAATTTTAAATTCCATGTTGTCAAAGGGGGATCAAGAACAGCCTCTTATGATCCCAAATACAATATATCAATACAGCATTCACATAATATAATATTCGTTTTATTATGTCTACCTGCTTTACTATTAGCATACTCTATTTCTAGTTTAATATACAGTACTGTATTTGAAAAGGAATAGGAAGTATACATGAAACAAATTAATTCATGAGCAGAAGATGAGTGACAATAACGTAGCTGAAGATATGATGACCAAACCACACACCAGAAAATGAAGAAATGACGAGGTCATTTATTTATCTTTTGGTATGTGGTTTGGTCATCAAATTAATTCATTTTCAGTCATTTAAATTAAAAAATTGAGAATCGAAAAACACAATGTTTCAGGGATTTCGTATTAATACCAATTTTGATCGCTATACTAATGACTGCTCTATTTCCTTCTCCAAGCAAGGCAGGTTTGGCCAGAGATCTTCAAATCACAAAGATAAAGACATCTCAACTGATAGCCAAGAGGTGGGAATCAAGAGCCGGAGTTCATTTCCCCCCACATTCAAATTAATAAGCATATTAAGACCCCCATCCAAGTTGGCACTGCTCTCATTGTCTCATCTGAGCCACTATTAGTTTTCTCCACCTTGTCTTTACTCCTGTGATGACTGCACTGTACTTGCTTATCTCACTCACTTTTATTCAGGTCTTATGTAAATATACTTCTCAAATATCTACATCTTGTTATTTTGGTACTGGTATATCTATTCTTTATATTTTATAAAGGTTTTTGTCTTTTGGGAATTCTCTATGCTTTGGAAGATTTTCACATAAGAGACTAACTGTACAGTATCCATCTCTCCTCTTGCTTTCTGCTAGACATTAAATGCCTTAAAGAATTCTTAAACTTGCACCTTTACTAATGAGTAATTCAACAAAATTATTAAAACAAAAACTATTATTATGCAGTACAGGTACAAGGTTTGATTCATCTGTACATACAGTGTACTGTAGTTTAAACTATAATATTTATACATATTAAATAATATAATATTTCCTTTACTTAAGGTTTCACTTAACATTTATTTTAATTTTCTCAAATACTGTACCCTATAAATCTATTGTTTGATTATAAAATAAAGCTATCCAAAATACTTTCATACACAATATGGGATATGTTTACCTTGTCTTTCACTGCATCAAGCTCTTGTTGATCTGCATACTCTGTACTATAAGCACCTGACACCAACCTAATTGAGGCAACGTGCCGCCCAAATACCTGAAAATCAAATAAGTTTCACAATTTATTTATTTTATTTATTTATTTATTTATTTATTTAGTATATATATATATACAAGAAGGTACAATGGGTTTGTGAGGATACATAGCATGATGTTTACAATCTTGGAAAGCCGCCAGAATAATAATAAAAAATAAAAATAAAGAAAACTCATGAGGCAAAGTTCCCCTGCCGCCTCTTGGGCTGGTAAAGAAAATGATAAAATAATTCATTGTGTTGAGGGACAGGCAGCCAGTTTATACATACAGTACATGTTAGGCTTAAATTTAGGTCTCCCCCCACCAGGGTTGAGTTACTGAACCCCACAGCAAGCTGACTAACTCCTGGGGACCTATTTATTGCTAGATGAACAGGCCCAATAGGTGATAGGAAACTGCCCAATCATTTCTGTCCTAGCCAGAATTATTGATTGAGAGTCGAGAGCGAACCCGACTGTTCTACCAGAACCTCAGTAGTACAATCTGCCAAGTAATCTACCAATCTGCCAAGTGTACAACATAATGGAGTTAATTAATGATTTCTGCAAGAGAAAGAGGTTGAAACTAGATGGTACTATCCCTACTGCTGTATATATCAAAAAATATATATACAGTAGTCTTCCCAATTACAGAATTATGAAAGAATAATTACTAGAGAAAGGAAATTAAAGTACAGTATTTATAGTTGAGGTCATCAATGTGTAAAGATACCACGATGTAAGAAATGATGATTAAAATAAATATGTGGAAGGTAAGATGACCATTAGGAAGGATTAAAATATTGTGAAACCATCAGTGGAGAGAAAATACTGACACACACCAAGTCCTTAGGCCCTAAACATGTGAGTAGTTATTCAGGCATAAATTCGGGCATACATTTCTATATTCTATGTAGGGAAAAGCAAGTACATTAAGAAAAGTGGAAAGCAAACACAGATCCAAAGTAATGTCAATCTACAGGTGTTTTTATATCCGACTCAAGTAGGATTTCCTCTCCCATTAATCTGAAAAAATCTAACACCTGAAAAACATCTCTGAAAAACATCTCCAATCCACTATTGGACACCAAAGCTCAAGCTCTCCCATTTTGACAATTCAGCAGGCATCCTATCCCAGTATCCATTATCATAACTCATTTCATGCCACTCTGCTTCCTCTGTTAAGACTTTTTGGAGTCATATACTGAGTTTCTACTTTCTACACCTATATATCATTCCATGTAAATGTGTCACATGCACATCACTGGTAATGTGAACCCCTTCAACATTCATACTACTCTCATAATGGCAAGAGATTTTTACCATTTCTCCTCCTTTTAATACCTAACTTGTTAATTATTAATTTGCTGTTGTGTTTATTTTCTCATAATGTCCACACATTCTTGTTTCTTGGTATAATAATTTAAAAAACACTGAACCAATTCCATAGCCAAACTAGCATTTAGAATTCTACCCAATATATTTTAGTAACTTAATTGTCTGTGATACCTTCCGGTGCAGTGGCTACTGGATTAATCATTTTAATACTTGACCAAGATTTGTCATTTTTTTAATTTTTAACAAATATATACAAAGCTGTGTGATCAAAATAGGTATCCCCATTATAATTTCTAGTTTGAAATAAAACTTTTACATGCCCAAGCAGAGAGCATTGTGGTATGGTATTTACTTACGTGTGATGTGTAATAGCCAAAAAGATACTAGAATCTAACATACATTTTCCATGGCATTTGAGATTTCACCGAGAGAAGCACGTTGTCGTGCAGCATTCACTGCAGCAGCCAGCAAGTTACCATCACCTCGTGCTGCTTCTTCCAGGGCTGCTAATGCTGCCTCAGTTGCTGCAGTATTTCGAGAAGCCTTAATCTATGGAAGGAAATTAGCTTAAGCATGAACTGTGATTTCTGCGTTTGAAATGTTACTCAATTTTTGTAAGAAAAATTAATTATTATTTTGTATATTTTTTCAAATCTGAATAATGATTTTAATAAGTACAGTATTTGAATTTCAAATAAAAATTCCTACCCGCTAAAACTTCAAACAATAATTCCCAACTGCTGAAATTAAAAAAAATTCCTAACTGCTAAAATTTCTAGGCAAAATATTTAAATTTTAACCTGTTATTGACAGTATCTGTCAATTACGAACCTTCTGTAATTTCTCAACCTGCGTTTTACGAACTTCATTGTTGTCAATTGAACGAACATCAACTGTCTCCTCCTGCTTCAACTTGTATTTATTAACTCCAACAATAACCTCTGCAAAGTTAAAATTTGAAATTTAGACCTAATAATTCAAAATTAAGTTTCCAAAGAGCACAGTTTAACAATATGATAAATATTGATGAGACGAAATTGTCTTGGATCATTGTCCTTTATGACAGGACATTGTATTATGATGAAAAGTACAAATCTTACCCTTTCCACTGTCAATCATTGCTTGCTTCTTGGCAGCACATTCTTCAATCTGCAACTTTGCCCAACCTAGAAAGATAAAAGTTAATAACAAACATAATAATGTAAATACTTTAACTTTAATTTCAAGAGTGCATGATTCCTACTGTGGAAAGTTAATACCATAGGAGTAAAACATTCAAAATGACAGGTACTGCCCAAAATCTCTCAAAATGTACTTTTTGAAATTGTGAGAAGAGAGATACATACAGCACATGGTACTGAACTCCAAAATCAATGCACCTAAGTCAGGGCCCCTAATCTGCACAATAAAATAGCATACTGGGGCAAGAGATAAGATAGAAAATGTGAAATAAATCCAGAGAGGAATAGTGATGCATAAGAACAATTAGTAAAACAGCTTTCAACATCAGTTCCATGATTCAACCTTCTGCACTGATTAAGTCTTCAAATTGAGGAGAGAGAGAGAGAAAAAAAATCTTTATGCAATGTACCTGAACAGGCTAGTTTTAATTTCTATGTAGTCCTTATATCCATGACCAGCAATAGTGTCAATGATAAGCTCAAAACTGGCCATTGATAAACCACATATAATGCCTGTGAATGAATCAAGAACATCTTATGTTTTTCAACTGCCAACCACATTACAGCTTGCCCTTAAATATGGTAATCACAAATATTTATCCACTGCAGAAGACCTATCTTCTCTAATGATGTAACTTGTTCACTCGTCTTTATATAATCAAGGATCTATCCCGCAACTCAAGATATAAAAAATTAAGTCATTCATCACAGGCATCAAAGGCACTTGATACCCTAATAAACTCACCAGAAGCTACAGCTTTAGCCATACCACCCATCTCTTCCACCATATCAATAATAACCTTTCCTGCTTCATATACTTCATTGGTTAATGCCTCCATGGCATATGAGCCAGCCCAAGGATCAATTATCTGAAAATATAAATATTTTAGCATGCATACAATATGGTAAGATAATTATCAGGAGACAGTGCCAAGCCTCTATGACTATATAGCACTTGGAGGGGACATGAGGACAAGGAGCTGGGATATGATGGAGGGATGGAGTGTGCCCAACCACTTGAATTGTCGGGAATTGAACACCTACCTGCAAGAAGCATGATCAATGTTGTACTAACCAGTACAAGTGGTTATACATACAGTAATGATATAAAAATTCCACCTATCTATTTACTCTACCTCCCACATTCAACAGCATTGTAGAAAACCACTGTGAGACTGCAGTTAATCATCCACACCCACATCTTCACTATTTCATTAACTAGTTGTAAAGAACTCCTTTTAAGTATTCTTGTAAGAAAATATGAAATGCTCACTCCATTTAAATTGCTTTCACTCGATTATATTCCTTTACAGTTCTTGTGTGATGTTCATGCTTGGTTTATACTACCTTATACACTCACTTTATCTGCCCACTTTCTTTTGTATTTCTTCTCTTCCTACAATCATATTTATTCCTCATTATCTATTTTCTATACTGTACACAACCAAACCATCTCAATCTTATGATATGCTGACTTGTATTATACAGTACAGTACATCTATCCATTGTAACGGGGGGTGGGACACTTTTACAGTGTTACACCATGATTTTATCATTCCCCATTTTATCTATCCTCCATGCACCACACCTGATCCTCAGATTCCCTATCAACTTGCTTCGACTCACTTTATGTTTTTGCCATACCAGTATTTCATATCCAAACTTGTAGCACAGTTGATTCACAATCAATTGAGACTCAAGTTTGATTCCCACACAGGGCAAGACATTTGGGCATGTTTCCTTTCCCCTGATCTAGCAGTAAACAGTTATCTGTGAGTTAACTGACTGTTGTGGGTTACATCCTCTGAAAAGTTAATCCAACATTAAGTCCAATAGGCTTCCTGTTTCCCAACAATAGGAAACTACATGAAACTACATGACTGTCACTACCAATTCCTCATGCAGCCCTCCAGCTGTCTCCCTTCCCATCAAGTTCCTAACCAAGTCTTTCACTGCCAAAGTCATACTGATATGACTAACCATTCAAAATATATAATGAAGTAAATATATATTGTAAACTTAGCTAAATAGGAGCAAGTCAACAACTGCACTAGAAAAAAACTCAATTCTCAGGAATACTGTACTATAATGTTAAACTCACTAGTCTGGTCTAAAATTTTACAGATAATCCCTGTGTTTCAAACTTGGGTGGTTATATAAATCTAAACATATCACAATTCTGACCTTTGGAATTCCAGTTTCTTCTTGTAAAATAATTTGTGTGTTACGAGCAATGCGTGCAGAGAAGACAGTAGGTAACCCTAGAGCTTCATCAAATGAGTTAGTATGAAGAGACTGTGTGCCACCAAAAACTGCAGCCATTGCTTCAATTGTAGTCCTGATGATATTGTTGTATGGATCCTGCAATAAGAAAAATGCAGTTACTGCCCATATCAATTAAAAAGGAATAAAACAAAACAAAAAAATCTTAGTACAGTATTTTGTACTAGTATTGGCTATCGGGAATAGGAAGCTTGTTAAGTTTATCAAGATCCCCCTAACCTGGAAAAAGCCTGTTTCTGTCTACATTCTACAGTGGCTACATTCTCAAATCACAATTGAGGATGCCGGATTCAATCCCCAGTCAGGACAGAAATGGTTTGGGGAGATTTCCTTCACCTGATGCCACTGCTCACTTAGCAGTAAATAGGAACCCGGAAGTTAAGCAACTGTTGAAAAGGAAACACGGGAAAGGTCAGTAGCTTGACATTGGGGAGACCTCAATGCAAGCACAAAGCATTTATATAAACATAGGCTTCCTGTCCACGACAAAACAAATTATTATTATTACCCACCTAGTTTCTGGTCAAACTAAATTTTATCTAATCTGAGTACAGACAATAAAGAGAGAACATTTTACACCAGTTAAATCAGTATTAGTATTTCACAAACTTCCTTATTCACAGTCAGCAAAATTATGACCACCACCTATTTCCTACTTTCATGGGGTTAAAAGGTATCTGTCCAGAAAAGACAGTGCAACAAAGGAAAAGAGGGTTACTCATCTTCTATTCTCAAATTCACTTTCTTCACCAGTCTATCATTGTCCATTTTCTTCAACATGACCAAATCATTTTGGCACACATTTCTAAATCTTATGATTCACCAAATATCACTTGATATATCATGCCATTATATCATTCCACATTCCACTTAGCCATCTAACCACAGATTCTAACTTAGACTTTACCCTCTTTAAATTGTTCATGCTTTTGCCACAAACATTTCACATCAGTACTCTATCTTAGTGTTAGTACTAACACTTTGGAGATGGATGTGCCACAACCTGGCCCATCTTTGGAGGATGTGCCACCACCTGGCCCATCTTTGGAGAATGTGCCACAAGCTGGCCCATCTTCAAATGATGTGCCACAACCAGCACATCTTCAGAGGATGTGCCACAATCTGGTCCCTGCTCCCACCAGAAATTTGTCTTTTTTCCCAACTGTGCCATGTTTACATTTATGTTTTGGCTTACCCCATGCACTCTTTAACTTACAGTACAATATTTATTTATTGAATTATACATTTGACAATACAGTAATGAAAGTATATAATTATGTTTAATAGAAGAATTAATGTTTAAGTAACCCAATAAACCACAAATATGTTGGTCATAATTAATCAAGATTTTAGAAAACATCTCCACAGGAATTATGCTCTACTGTAATGGCCATGTATAGTTCTGATGCAAATAGCACTCTTATTTCCAGGAATGCATTTCCCACTCTAAATTGGGTATTCATGCAATAGGCACATAGAAGATAGAGACCCAGAACAAAGTGAATATACACATAAGGATACAAAGAGTATTGTGGACAAGTTTGCAGTCCTATGCCAAAATCAGAATGAAAAGAAAAAGCTCTGGATAAACATTACTGACAGTTAGCAAGAAATATAATCACAGTAGTATTGGTCACAGTTCAGAATCTATGAGAAATACACTGGGCTTCATGGCAAGGTAGGCAGGGTATGGAGCTACTATTTATTGTGTACTCATAGGACATTATTCCATTATATCAAGGTCATTAATTTAATTTAAGGAACAACCTAATTAATGCTTACTTTCCCCCAGGTTTGCAGCTTAAGAAAATAATAGGAAATTAAAAGAGAATATTTGATACAGTACCTGCTCAGTGAGAGACCATCCAGACGTCTGACTGTGAGTTCTCAACATGGTTGATTTTTTGTTCTTGGGGGAAAAATTGCTTTCAATGAAGTGAGCCCAAAGACGACGAGCAGCTCTCATCTTGGCAATTTCCTATAAAATTTCAGAATTATTAGTCCTTTGTAAGTCTGCAAGTACAGTAGCATATACTATTGTGTGACTAAGTGCTACCATTATTATACACAATGAAATTACATTAACATGAACCATCAGTGAGAAAATCAGTAGGAGTCATAAGGAGGATACGAACCCACTTGGTAATGTACTCCCAAACACATGCCCTAGATCACCACGCCATGACTGAATCCTCTAGGATTCCCGAGGCTTACAAATGAAGCCCAATCGAGTTTTTTTTTTTTTTTTACCATTATTATGCCTTCAACTAACAGACAGTTTCCTTGTTAAGTCTAATTCAATAGTTTTAAGAGAATAAATCAGGCGCTATATCTTGACCAAGAGATATCCAATTTCATAGCAGATTGGCTAAAAAATAAAAAAAATAAAAAAAATAAAAAAAAATTAAGAAAAAAAAAATATTGAATTTAGCCATTTTTTAATGTTTTGTAGAAATTTTGTATTGTTTGTGATTTGAAATGAAAGTGATTGAGTTTGACAATATTTTGACATTTTTATGTTTCTTTAATTTCAGTTAATATGAATAATTCACATAATTCATAATAATGTGAATTATTCCCATAGTTCAATATCACTTTAAATTAACCCCCTGTGCCACATGAAGTTATCACATGAAACAGGTGTGCAGTGCAGGGGTTAAATTAAGATAATAGTGAATATCAGTCCTAGTCAAAGGTATAGTGGTGATAAAGTCACAGTTTGTATGATTTGCATATGTACATCCTTTGCCAAGAATTTGGGTAAAATAGTGCTCTCTAATTTTCTGGCCAATGATTTTCAAAATCAACAGATTTAACAGACAAAATCTAACCTAATTACAGTTGCTCATATGGTTTAATTATTCAAACAAATGACACGCATTCTAATCAAGATTTGTGATGATAAATGTAAACAAACGTTTTTGTTTCATATTAAATATTTCCTCTTTTAACGTGATTTCATTATTATTAAAACACTGAACTCTGCTCACCATATAGAAATTCATGCCAACACCCCAGAAGAAGGAGAGGCGAGGTGCAAACTGGTCAATAGTAAGTCCTGCTGAGAGACCAGTGCGGCAGTATTCTAGTCCATCTGCCAAGGTGAAAGCCATCTCTAGTACAGCATTGGCACCAGCCTCCTGCATGTGGTACCCACTGATGCTGATGCTATTGAACTTTGGCATGTGCTGGAATGCATTGTAGTACTGGTAAAATAAAATGTATTTATAAAATGTTTGTTCAAATTATATTTATTTCCTTTGCACAGAAACTTAGTTAATTGTTTAGCCAATCAGTAAATTAAAGAACATATTTGAATTGTGAAAACACATGGGCATTAAATTAACATTGTACCTTAATACTATCAGTTGACCATCTCTGAATTTAGCAAAAACTACAATGAAGTACAATATAAATGATAGCAGCCTTCGTTTCCTCTTACCGCTGCCGTGTAGCTGATAATGTCTCCAATAATTCTCATGGATGGTGCAGGGGGGTAGATGTATGTGTTGCGTACCATGAATTCCTTTAGGATATCGTTTTGAATTGTACCAGACAGTTGCTCTTGTTTCACACCCTTCAGGAAATATGAAATAAGGAAAATTTCTATAAGGTTAAGTTAAATATTAATATGTTAACAAATCAATAATTTTTTTTGAGGTGAAGCCCTTTGATATGCAGGCGATGAGTCACAATAACGTGGCTGAAGTATGTTGACAAGACCACACACTAGAAGTAGGACTTGACTACTAGTAGTATCGACTTGAGAATGGTCCAGGGCGGACCGAAACGTCGTCGTCCCTTCTACTTCTAGTGTGTGGTCTTGTCAATGTGAAGCCTTTCAATTGTTCCGTCAGTCAAGTATCTATATGGTCCACCCAGAAAAAATAAATAAACACACCAAGCTCTTTTGACATGCTCCTTTATATCAACAGTGATTTTGGTGAACGGTCCACCCACAGATATATTTTACATTTAATAAACAAATAAGAACAATGGTAATTTATAATAAGCCTGAAACTTCGTACACTCCCCGGCCATTCTGTCGAACCTCAATCATACCGATTGTACAAAAAACAGTTGGTATAGTGCTGGATATGCTGAGATTCATGAATTCATGGCTGTCTGGGTTCGAATCCTTCAGGGGTGAGTAGTTTTCGGTTGTCTGATCGGATCCGAGCCCTGTCGGATCTTGGATATAAATAGTCTCACAACTACCAAGATTTTTGTAGTCTTATGGTCTAGTGGTTACGGTACCAGGTACGCCAAGGTGCATAGCGCTCCTGGCTATCTGGGATCGAATCCTTCTCGAATGACTTGAACTCATACTGCCAGGAGCACTATGCAACTGGTGTACAGGACACCTTCACCACTTGACCATCACAACCATTCAAAAGATGATGGTAGCTGAAGCTATTTACCCCATCACCTCGATGACACTCTGATGGTAATCTTGGGCATAGTATTTTATCAAATCACCTCATTCTTTTTGGCACACGTGAGAAACACGGTGTGTCTGGGGTGTGAGTTTTCAGTTGCATATATGCCTGGGGACCATTCAGGCTTGTTCGTATATTATATATATTATATATATATTCACTTTTATGTATATTATATATATAATATATATAAATATATATAAATAAATATATTATATATATATAATCATTCATACTGTAATAAGTGCCTTTTTTCTAAATAAAATACTCTATTACATTATAATTATTCATTTTAATACTCATGAGAAGTCCAAATATGATCATTACATGCTCAGGAATATTCCCACCTGCTCTTCTGCTGCAACAATATACATTGCCATAGTTGGGATAACAGCACCATTCATAGTCATTGACACTGACATCTTGTCTAAAGGAATGCCACTGAAAAGTGTTTTCATGTCTTCTACAGAATCTATGGCAACCCCTGCCATGCCAACATCTCCATGAACTCTGGGGTTGTCAGAGTCATACCTGCAAAAGCATTACTTTTAATAAAATGCATCAAACATTCAATATAAAATGTATTAAACATACAGCAGTAAAATATATAAAACATACCAAATTCAAAATATATTAAGAAAGTACATGTACAGTATAAAGAATATTTCATTAATCTATTTCTTAGTACTTTATATGCTTCTTTATTATTAGTATGCTGTATTATTTATACAAAACCAGTACAGTAAATATATGTAAGATAATCTTTTATTTATCTCCATTTTGAAAATTCTATTTTTTTGTTTACAGTACTGTATAGCTTTACAGATACTATACAGTATGTATAGTATTTATACGGTGCTAAAAATTTTGGGACTGACTATGGTGCCCAGCATGGTCTCAACAATTTTGTGCATACTTTGTCTTCACAAGCAAACATGCATGTATGCAAGCACATACATGCCTGTGCATGTGCTAAGAATATATCAATGGAGCAACAGATGGGAGATGGAATTTAAAGTTTATAAATGAAAATGTGGAATATATGTAATGTAATGAAATAGTAATGAAATATGGAATATATGAAAATAGGCCATAAACATCTATCAAGATTTGTGGAAAGATATTAAATAACTAAAGTAAAGGAGACGTAAGGGTGATTTTGGATAGTAAACTGTCACCAGAGGACCACATAAAACGGCATTGCGAGAGGAGCCTATGCTACAATTGCAAACTTCAGAATCTCTTTAAATAATAAAAGTGAATAATACAATGGTGGTGAAATACAAAGGAAATTGTTCACATTTGAGAGATCGAGATATTAGGAATTCACAATGTCTTGAAATGTGCAGGTTTGTGCACAAGTAAGGGCACAGGAGTGGATTCGTCAACTGGTGTGCACCCAAAAAGGCCGTTAGCCACTGATGTCAACAGAATAATGGCACCTTGAAGGCTGTCATTGTATGTCATTGCAAGCTTCTACAAAGACCAGAAATCTAAATGTCTGGGAAACACAAATATTTAGTCATTGAATACATAAGCTTGTCTACATTTAAATGCTTGTCAAGTGACTTGCCTAAGTACGCAGGTCACCTGCGGCCATTACCTGGTGCAGTCATTGGTTACAACAGGATAATCACCACCCATCGCTGGAAGATAGAGTTGACGCATTCTGAGAGAACCGTTATCGTTAGCAAACAACATGTGAACATGTCCAATGTTATTGGGGAAGGATGGTCAACCAATACATGCAAGTATTCTATTATTTGTCAAAGTGTTACCTAGCACTGACTCCCTGAAATTAACCATCTGGTTTGTGGAAGGCATAAGGTCTGATATGCCAAATATGCCAAGGCTGAAGATTGAAGAAAAGAGCCAATAAGATCACTACACACAATAAATGTCAGGAATAGACATAATTGACAAAGACGAATTTTTGAAATCTGCAATTTCAAGAACAAGAGGCCGTATATTCATCCTAAGGAAGGTGCCAAAAAATATACAAAAGTTCTCTTTTGTGAGCAGCATCATAAACGATTGAAACCATTTAAGTGAGACAATATCATCAGTAGTTTCAAAGCATCATATGACAAATATTATAGGGAAAACAGGACACCACAAGCACATCTTGCATCTTTTAACTACACTTAGGTAATTACACAATTTTACACACACACACTGCCTAAATAATAGTCTTACCCTCTATGAGTGGCTAAGTCGAAGGCAACAGATAATCCTTGCTGTCCAGCCTTGATATTTTCCCGATAAAACTTGTTACTCTCTTCAACAGTGCTGAAGCCTGCATACTGTCTAATGGTCCAGGGGCGGTTTGCATACATGGTCGGGTAAGGGCCACGTGTGTATGGGAATTTGCCAGGTAATTCTGGAGAAAGGCTAGAGAAAATTTGCAAATAATTAGAAATCTGTGTTACACTGTAACCAAGTTGTGCAGTAAAATATACATTTACATATCTAATAATCTATAGACATCTTCAAAATTTTCCTCCTCATAGGTTTTGTTGAAAGGCTACAATATAATGTTCAAATACTGCAGGCACAGATAATTACTGTATATTCGAGCAGCAAAGGCTCTAGAAATCACAGCCATATCACAACCACAAATTATACAATGAATAAGAGCTAACAATTTAAGCACACTTCCTAAGTTATGGTTTCAAAAACCAGTGCAAAACAATGTTAACATCCATGCAAGATTCACAGAGGCAATTATGCTCATAAACATGCACCGCTTAATACTAGCTCTTAAGTGTGAAAAATATTCACCATAACAACTTGTAATTAAAAACTTTAATCATGAAATATTATAAATTAAATTCTTTATGAGAAGTAACTTCTCTGTTTGAATAATATCTAATTAACCCTTAGGCTGCAATTATCATCTAATGACAATCTCTAGGGAACTGCAGTTATCATCGCATGACTATTTAAACATTTATTGTCTGGGTTTACATGTATGATTTAAATATGAATATAATAGGTTTATGTGGATGTAATGGAGTTTACCTTGACCCATGAAAAAATCCTGCTACCATTTCATGATATGAATGTGGTTATCGTCATGAATGTTACTAGGGGAACATCTGTTACATTTGATTAACAGTAGCAATGAATAATAAGGACAATAATAAACTTGTGTCTACAAACTTTTTAACATCTTCTGAAGTGTACAAAGGTTTGATTGCAATTCCCTCTGGTGTGTGCCACATCAGTTGCTTTGCTGGGTCATTCCCCTTCAATTGCTTCTTTGCCAGCTCAACCCACTCTGCATCCAGGTTTGCCTCGGTGTGTGATAGCCGTGTCAAGACAAACGATCCTGCCACACGACCACTCTGCAGGAGAAAACCTTAATTTGTTAGTGGAAAAGTACACAACATTGTTAAATTATTAATAAATAATAATAATTCAGTGTCAGGGGACAGGAAGCCAGAGTGTATTCATGCACGTCACTGAGGTCCCCCCCCCCCCAGGTCAAATTATAGACCCACCCAGGATACAACCCCACAAGTTGACTAACTCCTGAGCACCTACTTACTGCTAGGTGGACAAGGGCATTAGGTGACCTTTATATAACATATAATTGACTAGCCAAGCACATCCCGGAAAACTAGAAAAAGTTACTTAACTGCAAGAGGAGCTTGTCCTGGATACCTCAAAAGGCTCAACAAAAATGTGAAAAAGCAACTGAGGACTCACATTATAACAATAACGACAAAGTCTGAATATTAAAGCAATATTTGAATGCTTTTAGTATCTCATCCGAGCATGATATAACTTACCCTCAGAAGACAGTGGTTAGCTTGTAGGAGAGACATTATACGGTGTTGAGCGGCGCCAGTACACCACAGGTGGAGTTGTTTACCTCGGGGTATGGTCGTCTCCCACACCAGCTGATGCCACCAAGCTCGTTTTCCCTTTATATAAATAAATAATACATAAATTTTTATTCAGGTAAGGTACATACATACAAAGTAAGATACAAAAGTTAATGGATTTATAGATAGAGCTAGTACATACAATGCCTAAAGCCACTATTACGCAAAGCGTTTCGGGCAGTGCCTTTAATAAAACCGTTTGTATATATATTAAGTTAGGTTAGGTTGTTTTTCGCCTGGTTAGGTTAGGTCGAGTTGGTGTGGGTTACGTTAGATTAATCTAGGTCAAGTTGGGTAGGTTTCAAAATCTGTAGGCGAATCACCTTGTTTACGATGTGACTTGTACCCGTTTATCTCAGCTGCATAGAGCACCTGTGACGTCACAACACCTGTGACGTCACTGACTGTCACACGCGTGTGTCGACCGTGACGTCACTGATTAATTTGTTTTAGACTAATATTATTATTATTGATATCATCATTAATGTTATTAGTATTAGTATTATATTAGTATTAGTTATTAGTTATTAGTTATTAGTATTACTATCATTCAAGCTGTCATTGCAATCATTCTGAGCTACCTATGTGCTTTATTATACCTACAATTTTCTCTATTCATTTATTTTTTTCATGCTATGTAACTGTTATCATTTTCATAAATTTTGCAAGTATTTATCTACTTATAAGTTTTAGATTAAGGACCTGCCCGAAACGCTGCGCGTACTAGTGGCTTTACAAGAATGTATAATTACTCTGCTATGTATCCTCACAATCCCAATGTACCTTCTTGTATAAATATAAATAAATAAATAAATAATTAATTAATTTATTTATTAATTAGTATCATCATCATCATCCAGCCCGTCTTCCTAAGCGTTCCCAACGCCAAGTAAACGGCCAATTTAAAGTATTCTTTACTAACCTAACAAACTAATAAGCCAGAAGACCCAAAACAGAAAATGGGACAGTACGTCACTTTCACGAGTCGATTCCATTTTCTTGTTCCACAATTTTTGGCCTTATGTAACACATACGAGGGAAAAGCGACATTCTTTAAAGCAAGACAGGTTGATACCTGGTTGATGGGGTTCTGGGAGTTCTTCTACTCCCCAAGCCCGGCCCGAGGCCAGGCTTGACATGAGAGAGTTTAGTCCACCAGGCTGTTGCTTGGAGCGGCCCGCAGGCCCGCATACCTACCAAAGCCCGGTTGGTCTGGCACTCCTTGGGGGAAACAATCTAGTTTTATCTTGAAGATGTCCATGGTTGTTCCGGCAATACTTCTTACGCTCGCTGGGAGGGTGTTGAACAACCGTGGACCTCTGATGTTTATACAGTGTTCTCTGATTGTGCCTATGGTACCCATGCTCTTCACTGGTTCTATTCTGCATTTTCTTCCATATCGTTCACTCCAGTACGTTGTTATTTTACTGTGTAGATTTAGTACTTGGCCCTCCAGTATTTTCCACGTGTATATTAGTGTATATATTTCCAAGCATCCCTTATTCAACCTGCAAGTGGTAGTTTATTGTGCACTCCGAAGCCCGACCAGTTGTGTAACCATAAGCCTAGTATGACCAAACCGAACATCTCAAACTTATGTAACTGGAGCCCGACCAGTTGTGTAACCGGACCCCGACCAGTTCTGTAACCGCAAGCCTACAAAGTATACATCTCATCCCACTCCCACCAAGCTAAACACCCCAGAGCCCAACCAAACTCCATTCCTAACTCGACCAAACAAAACTCTGTTTAGCCTTACCTAAAACCCTCCACTTGCCCTAGATACCAACTATGGAGCCATAGCAAACAAAAGATTGAGCTATGTACGAAAAAGAAACCCGGATTTCTAGCAAACATATAACCATAGAGCCCTAGCAAACAAATCTGAAGCACTAGTACAGACCAGTTGTGTAACCGGACCCCGACCAGTTGTGTAACCGGACCCCGACCAGTTGTGTAACTGGACCCCGACCAGTTGTGTAACCGCAAGCCTAGCATGAACGAACTGAACAAACAATCAAACAAAAAAGCACAACCATGCACGAATCGAAGCCTGACCATGCACAACCTGAAGCCCAAGTGACACCCCCGGAGCCCGACCAGTTGTGTAACCGGAGCCCGACCAGTTATGTAACCGGAGCCCGACCAATTGTGTAACCGGAGCCCGACCAGTTATATAACCGGAGCCCGACCAGTTGTGTAACCGGAACCCGACCAGTTGTGTAACCGGAGCCCGACCAGTTATGTAACCGGAGCCCGACCAATTGTGTAACCGGAGCCCGACCAGTTATATAACCGGAGCCCGACCAGTTGTGTAACCGGAACCCGACCAGTTGTGTAACCGGAACCCGACCAGTTGTTTAACTGCAAGCCTAGCATGAACAAACCGAACAAAAAACATCTGAAGCACAACCATGCATGAACTGAAGCCCGACCATGCACAACCCTTAGCCCAAGTGAGACCCCCGGAGCCCGACCAGTTGTGTAACCGGAGCCCGACCAGTTGTGTAACCGCAAGCCTACAAAGTATACATCTCATCCCACCCCCACCAAGCTAAACACCCCAGAGCCCAACCAAACTCCACTCCTAGCTCGACCAAACAAAACTCTGTTTAGCCTTACCTAAAACCCTCCACTTGCCCTAGATACCAACTATGGAGCCATAGCAAACAAAAGATTGAGCTATGTACGAAAAAGAAACCCGGATTTCTAGCAAACATATAACCATAGAGCCCTAGCAAACAAATCTGAAGCACTAGTACAGACCAGTTGTGTAACCGGACCCCGACCAGTTGTGTAACCGGACCCCGACCAGTTGTGTAACTGGACCCCGACCAGTTGTGTAACCGCAAGCCTAGCATGAACGAACTGAACAAACAATCAAACAAAAAAGCACAACCATGCACGAATCGAAGCCTGACCATGCACAACCTGAAGCCCAAGTGACACCCCCGGAGCCCGACCAGTTGTGTAACCGGAGCCCGACCAGTTATGTAACCGGAGCCCGACCAGTTGTGTAACTGAACCCCGACCAGTTCTGTAACCGGAGCCCGACCACTTATTTAACATACAACCATAAAACCCTAGCAAAAAAAAAAAAAAAAAAAAAAAAAAAAAAAAAAAACTGGAGCACTAGTACTCAAACAATCATTGGTGCACAATCATGCACGTACTAGAGACCGACCATGAACAACTAGAAGCCCAGCAAGTCACACCCCCGGAGCCCGACCAGTTGTGTAATCGCAAGCCTAGCAAGCAAATATCTCATCAACCCCCCACCAATGTGCTAAGTGGGGTGCTAGGGGGATCCATTTTGGGGTCAACCCCTTTTGTCATACACATAATGACAGATGAGAATATTACAAACCACATCAAATTCGCAGATGACACTAAGATCTATGTTAAAGTGGGAAGTGAAAGTCATATTGAAACTTTACAAAGAGATCTACATGAACTCTGCAAATGGTCAGATGACTATTTAATATCGATAAATGCAAGATCTTGCATGTGAGGCATAACAATCCACGTCACAACTACCAAATTGACAGCACTGCCTTTCAACAGATAGATGAAGAAAAGGATCTTGGAGTCGTAATCCATCACGCGAGGCATAACAATACACAACACAACTACCAAATCATCAACATTATCTTGGAGTCAGAATCCACCAATCACTAATAGTTGTACAACAAAGTGGGAGCGGCAGTAAAAAAGCAAACCAAACCCTGGGAATAATCATACGAACCTTTACCTTCAAGGAAAAGAAAGTAGACCTTCAATTGTATAAGTTTCTGGTGCGCCCCCACGTGAATTATTGCATCCAGGCATAGAAACCTCGTCTTCAGAAAGACATAGCTGCTCTAGAGCCATGTCTTACCAGAGCTATGGAGCTATGTCTTACGACAAAAATCATACCAGAGCTTGGTCATCTCTCTTATCAGGAACGGTTGAGGGCCACGGGGCTAACATTAACACTGCCAAATCTAACACTGCAAACCAGGCATGACAGGGGGGACTTCATAGAAACCTTTAAAATACTAAACAATTTGGAGGATGTCGATCAGGACAATGTCTTCAAAAGGTCAGATGTTACACGAACAAGGACCAACGGGTTCAAACTCAACAAGCCAGAATGTTGGACAGGAAACGGGAGATGCTTTTTCACCCATAGGGTTGTAAACCCGTGGAACCGCCTACCCGCCGAAGCCGCAAACGCCAAAACTCTGCTGGGTTTTAAAATACAGCTGGAAAAGATCCTCAGGGCAAATGGGGGGACCTTTGACAAGCCGCCGGCTTACTATCATCATCGAGGCCACTGGTGTTAGTGGCCCTCAGGTAAATTCAGTTCCTGGAGGGGTGTCCCCGCTCCTTCCCGTTGGGAAGTTGTTCATATATTACAGTATTTGTGCACAGGACTGTCGCTTGTCACTAAACTTAGTTTTTAAACTAACTTGATGAAATAATATTACCTTATACGCGAGAATAATTCTGAATACTCAGTGGGATAAAATTGACGAATGCGGCTTTGGGTCGGGCGCCGCGTAGGCGAGCCTAGCCTGAGGCCAGGCAACTGTAAATGCTTCACCCCTCATATACTTCAAGTACAAATAATTGCCAACAGAACCTAAATACCGAACCTACTATACGCCTAATTAAACAGAATATAAAATGAATTTATACACGATAAAAACTATTTTTAATACATAGTACATGCAAGTTGATAATAAATGCGTCTTGGGAGGTGGGGGGGGGGGAGAGAGGGGTGTCGACCGCCGCGTTAACGAGCCTAACCTGACGACGGGGTAGTTTAACACTCTGGGGAAGTGTATTCTACATAATATCCTACCCATATAATGTTGGCAAATCATGATCCTCAAAATCTTCCACAATATCCGAGAGAGGACAGACTATTGAGCATTAGTGGAATATAAACATTTGAATACTACAGAACCCGGATGAAAAGAAAAATACGGAAACAATGGCCCCCCTCGGAGACATTACAAAAACTCAATGTTATGCTGCCTGACGACTGGCGGGGTCGCAGCCAATGACCCGTAAGCGTCCAACCGACCCAGAGACCCCCTTCCTAAAATTATTTGAACGCCATATTTAAATTCCTAGTGTATAGCGCCAGGAGTGTGTAAATTAATATTTATATGCATTATAGGCCTTTCTAAAGTAATTTATAGATCTGAATATCATATATTGTCTAACAAACGAATTATTTAAGGTAAATATTTTAATTATGCCAGATCCAAATTTCATCGCACCCAAGAAGATTTGTCAGAGTATTTTATTTTTTTTATTTTTTTATTTATATATTAAAAAGAGTTCATAAATTCTTGTAAAGCCACTAGCATGCATAGTGTTTCGGGCAAGTCCTTAATCCAATTTTTTTTTCCCCGGAATACGACCCGCCAAATCGTTTAACAACCTATTCTCTGCTGAGTGAACAGTTAAGGATTGGCGTCCGGTCAACCCTTCTCGGCCAGGAAACGAACACAGGTCAAAGCGCTGGCGAAGAGCCGGGCGCGTGCTTTACCTCTACGCCACAGAGACTACTCCGTGGCGTAGTGGAATTTTGAATTTTGAAACCTGACTAACCTAACTCAACCCAACCTAACGTAATCCAAATCAAACCAATCTAATCTAACCGAGCCCAATGCAGCCTAACCTTAATAACATAACCTAATACAGCCAAGCATAACAATACATCCAGTTTTAAAACAAAATGAGTTTAGCCGAATCGTCTCGTGTCGGAAATGACCATATTCCGACCAGTTGTGTAATCAGAGTTCGACCAGTTGTGTACCCACAGGCCTAGCAAACAAACACCTCACCTAACCAGACAAACACCCCCCCCCCCGCTAACTCTACCACGCACACCGAGAGCCATACCAAAGTTGGGAGGGTCCACAGACAAGAACGTGGTTGTAAATATAGTCGACAGGCATGGGCCCCAGTGCACATCATCTGGGTTGGGGGCCAACAGTGCATTGCTTTGCTCAGAGTATAATGCTGCTAACACAGCACTGCCTTCAATAAGCAAACTTTCCAGGATTATTTAATTAGCTAAGATTTATTTAATAAGTCTATGATTTATTTATTAAGTCTAAGATTTATTTCAATTCAGGTAAATATACCTGAATTTACCAGAGGGTCACTATCTCTCAGTAAGGATAGGAAACCGGTGGCTTGTCAAATGTCCCCTATTTGCCCTGATGATATTATCGAGTAATTTTTTATAATTTACGGCTTCGTCGGGAAGGTGGTTCCATGGTTTCCCTGAATTTACTCGAGGGTCGCCCTCGGGCAAATTCACGTATCTCTCTTCAGTGGTCTCGAGGAGGACAGCTAGGAAGGTTGTCTGGCTTGTTGAAGGCCCCTCCCATTTGTTTTGGGGTTTTTATCGAACAATGTTTCGGCATTTACGGCTTCGGCGGGTATGCGTTTCAACAACTTTATAATTCTATGGGTGAAAACAAATATTTTCCATCCTTCAGTGTGGCTTGTTGAGAACGAAACCGTAGCTCCTTGTTTATCTTACGTCTAGCCTTTTGAAGAAGTGTTCTGGATTAATATCTTCCAAATTTAAAAGTAATAATTGGATTAATATCTTCCAGTAATTTAAAAGTTTTGCTGAGAGCAGCCTTGTCATGTCTGGTCCCTGTGGCCCTCAACTGTTCCTGGTATGAAAGTTGGCATAGTTCGGAAAAGATTTTAATCGCCCGGTGTTGAACTTTCCCCAATGCAGATGTCTTTCCGAAGATGAGGTCTCAATGAGTGGATATAATAATCCAAGTGGAAGCACACCAGAGATTTATACAGTTGTATAACTACCTTTTCCTTCGTCAAAATTTCGTTTGACTATTCCTAGGATTGGGTTTTACTTTTATAACTGCCGCTCCCACTTGTTGTACAACTATCAGTGATTAGTGGATTCTGACTCCAAGATAATGTTGATGACTTGGTAGTTGTGCATTGTTATGCCCCACATGGGTGAAAAAAATATGTTTTCTGTCTTAAGTTGTGGCTTGTTGAACCTGAAATCGTTGTTTCTTGTTTGTGATTGATTGATGAAGATTAAGCCACCCAAGTGGTGCCACGGGCATGAATAGCCCGTAAGTGGAAGATTATTTTTTGGAGTGAATGTGATCTTTGGTCGTGAAAGAATATACTGCGTGCTGTGCTCACATTTAAATCGTCAGTCTGTGGCTGCTATCGCGGGGTGCTTTTTTGTGTTGCATCTAACCACTCGGGGATTGAACGCCGACCTGCATGAAGCGAGACAGTCGCTCTACTGTGTACGCCAAATGGTTGGGCGAGAATAGGCGATGCTTTTTCACCCATAGGCACAACTGGCGTTTCGCGAGCACTTTGTCCTGGGTTGGTATTCTGGCTGTGGAGGATTTACTTTGCGTCAGTCCTTAACTGTAGCCTCTTTTTACCCAACAGTAAAATGGATTGTTAAATGATTTGTCGGAGTCGTATTCCGGGGAACATAGGATTAAGGACGTGTTCGAAACGATACGCGTGCTAGTGGCTGTACAAGAATGTAAGAACTCTTGTATATATAAATTAAACAAATATATATAGGTGAGTATAGGGTTATAAATCCATGGAACTGCCTACCCGCCGAAGCCGGGTAGGCAGTTCGTAAATACCAAGACTTTGTTGAATTAAAAAATCCAACTGGAAAATATTATCAGGGCAAATGAGGGAACCTTCGACAAACCACCGACTTCCTGTCGAGACCACTAGTGTTAGTGGCCCTCAGGGAAATTCAGGCAATTCGGCAACATCAGTAACAACGCGGATTGGATGAATTAATCCCAGCTGGACGCCGCCTCCCAAAACCGACCAATAGGAGCTCTCAGCTCTCTGGTAAACAAATCCTATGCCGTTCTTTCGTTACGTCATCAGCTCTGTTTATGGTTTACAAGAACGCTTCTCAAGCTTTATTTTTTAATGCAAACTGCTTGTATCATAAACGAAACTTGTACGTTGTAATTTTATTACTATATTATATTAGAACATTGTTATCCAAGATGCAAATTCTTAAATTGCTGTATATTTTATAAACGAATTTAGACTTTTCATTGCTTCATTTTAGGCCTATTTAAAATATAAATTGTAAGCCTTAATAATGCAAATTATTGTAAATATATTATAAATATGCGCACATTTGAAGGTATATATATTATATATATATACATTTTGCAAATATACAACGAGAAAATATGGATATTTTTCCCTAACAAGTGAGAGGTTTGGAGTGGCCAGACAGACATAAACAACGGGACTCCAGGTAATGGTCTTTCACACATTGGATTTCTGCTATTGTGGAAATGCTTAACAATTCTCTACGAGTGTCTATGGGGCGAGACTACGCCGGAGTGTGTGATGCTTCGAAGAAAACGCATTAGGAAACAACAAATGTAACTCACGAGGTTTGAATGACTTATCACAAGGAACTGGAGGCTTAGTCTGTGGTATGTATGTACTTGGGTCCTCACAGGGGGTCCACAGAGTAAGGGGGGAGGACAGTTGTGGGCTACATAAGGCCCACATATGGGGAACCATTAGAGATCCACGTAGGGAGGGAGCCATTAGAGATCCACGTAGGGAGGGAGCCATTAGGGGTCTACGTAGGGAGGGAGCCATTAGGGGTCCACGTAGGGAGGGAACCATTAGGCCTCTAATGGAGCCTTTAGAGGTCTACAGAGTGAATGACCTGTAGGGATCCACAGAGGGAAGGGCCAGTTGGGGGTCCACAGAGGGAAGGGCCAGTTGGGGTCCACAGAGGGAAGGGCTAGTTGGGGTCCACAGAGGATAGGGCCAGTTGGGGTCCACAGAGGTAAGGGCCAGTTGGGGTCCACAGAGGATAGGGCCAGTTGGGATCCACAGAGGTAAGGGCCAGTTGGGGTCCACAGAGGGAAGGGCCAGTTGGGGTCCACAGAGGAAAGGGCCATTTGGGGTCCACAGAGGGAAGAGCCAGTTGGGGTCCACAGAGGGAAGGGCCAGTTGGGGTCCACAGAGGAAAGGGACAGTAGTTGTCCATAGAGGGAAGGGCCAGTTGGGGTCCACAGAGGAAAGGGCCATTTGGGGTCCACAGAGGGAAGGGCCAGTTGGGGTCCACAGAGGGAAGGGCCAGTTGGGGTCCACATAGGGAGAGGGCCAGTTGGGGTCCACAGAGGGAAGGGCCAGTTGGGGTCCACATAGGGAAAGGGCCAGTTGGGGTTCACAGAGGGGAAAGGCCAATTGGAGTCCACAGGAAAGGTCAATTAGGGTCTACAGAGGGAAGGGCTAGTTGACCAGATGGAGGTCTGCATTGTGAAATTGTTCTCTCGCTGAGATTTGCAAAATGCACATGAACAATCCTGTGGTTTGCTACTGATGTATATTACAGTACTGTAGTCTTCTGCACAGACATGTCCAGTAGGAATACTGTAGTTCATTATTATTATTAGGCCATTTGAGTCTAGACATTTGTTTGCACATCATCTTGTACAAGACAAATGATGGCTTTTTCTGTTTACTTTGCATTGTCTGGACTTGAATATAATTATCAATTGGTCAATCATATCACATATTGTAATGAGGTGTTCACTTTTTAAATATAGTACAGTACTTAATAGAAGTTAAAATTTAAGCAAACTTCAACATTGAAGTCAACAGGACTAGATACCAATTTTCTGTAGTTAAGAACTGCAAATTTGTTTCTATATTTGTTAGAATTAATAATTTTGTTAATTGGGGGATGCAGAAATCTCTTTATAAATTTAAATTTTAGTCCCGTATCCTTAAAAATAGATTATCTAACATTCTGTAGGAAGTTTGACTATAATCAGTCCAAACTAACCGTACAGTATAGTGTTTAATCCTCTTTGCAGCAAATGAAAGGGAGAAAAAGGTAAGAATATACAGTATGTACTGTATGTTGTAAATTACTTCATTGTTGTGTAAGTGTACTGAATTTGTTGATAATTTAGTAATTTTGTTCTACTTTTCATAATTACGATAATTACCTGTGTATAGTAGTTACAGCAACAGATGAAATTATTTACCTGAATTTACCTAAGGGCCATTAAAACTCTAGTGGCCTCGACGAGGACAGGAACCTGCCGGCTTGTCGAAGCTCCCCCTATTTATCCTCATAATTTTTTGTAGATGAATTTTAAAATTCAACAGAGTTTTGCCATTCATGGCATCGGCGGGTAGGCAGTTTCACGGGTTTATAACCTTGCGGGTGAAAAAAACTGTTTTCAGTCCTACACTGTGGCTTGAGCTTGAGCTTGAGTCTCCTTGTTTGTGTTACATCTAACCTTTTTAAGGTGTCTGGATCAACATTGCACATTACCTCTGTGTGACTATTATTAAAATTGCCACACTAAATGAGAAAAAACAATAATACTGTAGTTTTGTTTGTTTTTCTTATGAAATGGTAGATCTGTATTCAAAAGTGTTGAAAATTCACAAAATCTCATATCAGCCCTTACTTTGGCCTGGTCAGTGGTAAAAATTCCTTCTGGCATTCATCAGCATTACATTGTGATGGGAGCAAGAACCAAACCATTATTTTTTTCAGTTGAAATATGATCAAGTACATACACAAGTCAGGATTCTGTATGCAAAAGAAAAGAAATTAACTTACAATATATTACTTTCCCTTTGTTGGGAAGTCTGTACATAGGCTTATTGAGGCCCCCCCCCCTCAGCAAACTACTAACTTTTCCCAGGATACAACCCACAACAGCTGTGTAAATCCTGTGTTCCTATTTGCTAGCTGAACAGAGGTACCTGTATCAAGTGAAAGGAAATTTGCTCAAATATATCTGCCCTGTCCGGGACCCTTGGTTTTGAGCCAACAATGTAGACCACTGTATTATAGGACCCTGTGTTGGCATCAAGAACTGAAGTCAGATTGACTTCAAATTGTTTTGTGGACTCCTATGACTGTTGGAAGACACTTTTCAGCTTTTGGAATGATATGGACAACATGGGTAATTTAAACAATGACACAAAACATAAGTCATTTAATGATGACTATATTGCACTAGATAAACAAATGATGACAGTACTTTGACTAAAATAGAATTTATCTTCTGAAGAGATCACATTGCACACTAATAATTCCATTCTTGAGGATTTTTTGTGCTTTTTAAGTTTATAGATTAACCCTTAAAGTGCGCATCACTTCATATGAAGTGTAAATCGTTTTACCAGTCAACTGCGCTTCACTTCATATGAAGTGTATGGGTACCGCGCACGATTTGAATGGCCCGCGGTGTAGCTGGGGGTCCCATACGCTGCCCAGGGGCTCTAGTAAACAGCGGCCATTTTGAAAAAAAATCCAGCTCACGCTCCGATGGCATGGGAGGCCTCAGTTTAGCGAGAGTCACCATGGCGAGCGCACGGTCAAACGCCTCACGAGCACGCATCACTCAGTCCCTCACCCCAGAGCAAATAGCCCACGAATTATTCTCTGAAGGTGAAGAAAGTGTGTTTGACGATTCAGACAACGATGAGGATTATACACAGTTGTCGGGAGATAGTAGCAGCAGCAGTGAAAGTGAGAATGACCGCCATGCCATGGCGAGGCCTATACGCTCTCCCATGCCTCCTCGCCCATTTTCTACCCCAATTCTACCACGACCTCACAGTTCCTGTGGATATTTTCTGTTTGAGGGTGACGAGTCAGAGGGAGGTGACTCCTTTTCTGGGTTTAGTGACTCAGATCAAAGTTTTATTGAGCCTGTGGCTGGTACCAGTGGTGTAACTGGGCGAGAAATTGTCGCGTCAGCAGCATCTCGCCCAGCCAAGCGCCACCGCATGGCACCATATGAGGGACCAAGACCCTCGTGTTCACGTGCACCCACCTCACGTGCACGTAGCCGCCGTGCTTCTCGCAGACGGTATTCAGCTCCTGGTCGCCGGTATGCATCGCTTCCTCGCCGTCTTTCCTCTGCATCTCGCAGGACGCCTGGTGTACTTGAGTGGAGTGATGGTGACGATTTTATTCCTAATATTCCTCACTTTGACGATAAAGATGTAGGGATTACAAACCTTTTCCCTAATCAAGGTGAGGACATGGCTGAGATGGAATATTTTACAGCATTCTATGATGAACCACTCATGGAATACATTGTACACCAAACGAACCTGCATGCTGCTTACCTGATTGAGAGGGAAATCACAGAATTTTCACGACTGCAGCGTTGGAAAAATACCACAGTGGCGGAAATGTATGTGTTTTTGGCACTCTGTTTGTTGATGAAGCACTGTCACAAACATGCAATAAATGACTATTGGAGCAAGGACAAGACAATACCAACACCTTTATTCGGGAAATATATGTCACGAGACAGGTTTCAGATACTCCTCAGGTGTCTACATTTTGGAAGTGTTCAGGACCGAACACCTGATGATAGACTGTGGCGAGTGAGGCACTACATGAACGATGTTATTGGAAAATTCAGAGATTTTTACGTACCAGCACAGAAGCTGGTGGTTGATGAATCTCTCATACTTTTCAAGGGACGTGTTCCATTCAAACAGTACATTCCCTCAAAACGAAACCGATTTGGCCTGAAATTTTTTGTTCTTTGTGATTGTGAGACAGGATACGTGTTACACATGATTCTGTACTCGGCTAGTGATGTAGACATTCCCGGTAACGACGAACATGGATTCTCGGGGAGTGTAGTGAAGACCATCATGGCTCCGTGGATGAACAAGGGACACATTTTATACACAGATAATTACTATACAAGTCCCTTGCTAGCTCGGTTCTTGCTAGAAAATAGAACCGGATTGGTTGGTACAGTAAAGCCACAACGAAGGGAAATGCCTGTGTTTGACAACGACATTGCAGTTGGTGAGTGTCAGAGAAGGAAAAGTGATAACATTCTGTCAGTTCGGTGGAAAGACAAAAGAGAGGTGAACTTGTTGACAACAATTCATGATGGAACAATGGTGAACAGTGGGAAAGTGAGCCATAAAACAAACGCACCACTATATAAGCCAGACTGTGTTTTAGACTATAATATCAACATGCGGTTGATTGATAAATCAGACATGATGATTGGCACTGCAGAGTGTGTGCGGAAGACATGTAGGTGGACGAAAAAAGTGTTCTTCCATCTTGTGGACATGAGCATGCTGAACTGTTTCAACATGTACCTTGTGAGAACTGGACGTAAGCCCACTTTCCGTGACTTTGTATTTGATGCTGCAATACAGTTATTAGGAAAGTTTGCAAAAGATGTCCCAGGTATTCAGCGGCCCATCATAAACCCACTGTTGCAGCATGCTGGTACTCCACGCCTCGCTCACACTGAAGGCTTCCTAGCACACAAACTTAAGTATTTGCCACCTGGTGTGAAGCGTGCAATAGCCCAACGTGATTGCTTGGTGTGTAAAACAACGACACGTAGAGACAAGAAACGGAAGCTTGTGCAAACATGGTGTGAAACGTGTGGTATCCCATTATGTGCTGTCGACTGCTTCAATGACTACCACAGTCTAGAAATCTTCTAAGTGTGCTTCAAAGTGTGTATAGCGTGTGCGAGTGTGTAAATATGTAAACATATAAGCAGAACATATAATATAATAGACTGTAATGACATATTATATTGCCGTAATTGAAAACATTTGTGTGCGCCTGTGTATACTCAAATATGCAACAATTATTGATACAAAATATGTTCAAACAGTATTTGAAACACAATTAGTGAAAAAAGATTAGATAAAATGCGCTTAGACATTGTAAATAAATAGCGCGAAAATATATTTGTGGCAACTCTGGCTGTTTGAGGACCGCGCGCAACATCTCCCGGGCGTGTACTGCATGAGCGACCATGCAGATTGTGACGTCATCGCAGAGCTTCTCGGCTCTATTGCAACAAAAGTAAGTACAATAGAATTTTTTTTTTATTTTTCCCGTGATCAGTGAACAGAACTTAACAGATTAGCAAAAAAAAAAAATTTTTTTTTTTTTCAAAATGACATGCGCCTGTGTGGATAGCAGGATATTAGACCCCGAGCATGTTAAGGGTTAATAGTTCAGTGGAACCTCAGTGCTCAAACTTAATTGGTTCCTGAAGGCTGGTCGAATGTTGATCTGTTTGAGCACCAACATTTTTGTTCCCGTAAGGAATAATGTAAATTGGATTAATCCATTCCAGACCACAAAAATAAATACTGTGTATTAATACAATAAATAAATTAAATAAATGCAAATACTATATACACTTTACCTGCGCTTAGAAGAGTTGACTGCATATGTGGAAGGTGGTGAGGCAGAGGAAGAGAGATGTTATTCTTTGGCAGGGGAGTCCCCTACCATTATCACAGCTTTGAGTGATATTTTTCAAGAAAACTTTGCATTTCCCTCATTTTGCACACATTTCTTTTATTAGAGAACTAGATTTAGGTATACCAAACTCAGTAACAAGCAGACACATGGGCACCACTTCCATATTTTGCTATGAGTTCTTTCGTCATCTCAATCATGATTCTAACTAATTTTCTTTTTTGCTTGGCTCTTATCACTAACTTTTACAAACTTTCTTAGGTGCATGGTGACTTACTTTCATTGAGAATTTTAAAAATATTCAAGAAAGCACAAGAAAGTTTTGAGAAGTCTAGTGGTGTTGTGCACTGAACGGCAGCTATAGGAAAACTGGCTCATCTGTGATGCGTGTTTATGTTTGAGCGCTGAACAAATTGTTGACTACCGAACAAGAACACAGCGAACGAGTGCCAAATTGTTTAAGTACCGAAGTTCCACTGTAAACTCTGCTAATGAAGAAATTACAACTCTTAAGAGGAATTAAAGATATTTTGTAACTTTTTATTTGTTGTGTATTATAACTTTATAGATGAAAATTATTTGTTTGTGAAACTTAAATGATGTTGTATTTCAGGAGGACAGTAAAGAATGGATTCCGAAGCAGAGTCTTCAGATGTTGTAAGTGATGCTGTCGAGGTAATTGTTTTAGGGATTTAAAATGTACTGCTGCTTGCCTGAGTAAATTCACCTTTACGCTCATGTATCCAGTTAGTTTTAGTGTATAGCTGTAAAGCGTGTTTGCATGCATACATACATTTTGCAGTGTGTGGGTATTGGTGGGAGAGGTTGACTCATTCCTTTAATAAAGATTAAGTGTTAGGAGAGGAAGGGAAGTGTTATTTAGTGGCTTCAGTGTGGCAGATTTAGTTTTATCCAAACAATTTTTTTTAGTTTTGTTTTTTGCTTGTTATATAATTTAATTAAGATCACAATAAATTATAGTACTGTATAATTTTTAATCCAAATCTTATGAAAAGGTATAATTCTTGGCATTTGGTATGTGTGTGTGTACTCACCTATTTGTTGCTGCAGAATCGAGCATTTTTTCTTGGATCCCGCCTTTCTAGCCACCGGTTGTTTAAAGCATTGACTCCTATCCTTCTTCTCTATCATACCTAGTTTTAAAGCTATGAATACCGTTTGCTTCCACAATATGCTCCTTTAGTCCATTCCATTTCCCTACTACTCTCACGCTAAAAGAAAACTTTCTAACATCTCTATGACTCATCTGAGTTTCCAGCTTCCATCAATGTCCCCTTGTTCTGTTGGTATTCCATGTGAACATTTAATTTATTTGTACTGTCAATCCCCCTAAGTATTTTGAATGCTGCTATCATATCTCCCCGCTCCCTCCTTTTTTCTAACATTGTCAGGTTCAGTTCCTTCAGTCGCTCTTCATATCCCATCCCTTGCAACTCTGGGACTAGCCTCGTTGCAAATATCTTTACCTTTTCCAGTTTCCTAATGTGTTTCTTTAGGTGGGGGCTCCATGATGGGACTGCATACTCCGACTGGTCTCACATAGGCACTGTAAAGCACTCTGAATGCCTCCTTACTTAGGTTTGAGAATGACGTTCTAATGCTTCAAGGATTTAGAAACAGATCTCTTGTCTAGGATACAATCATCTACACCACTACAACAGGATTAATGGATACACCTCAAACACTAACTTATTTATTAAACCCTCAAACAACCCCCCATATACATTACTATAATAACAATAACTACTTTACCACACTATCTTACGTTAAAAGCCTTGGTCCACATAGGCAGGATACAAGGTTTTACAATTAGGACAAGCTAGGGTAAAGTCTACTTGAAAAGAACTCGAAGGCTTGAAGCAGCCTGGGGTAGTTAAGTCCCACAGGGTACCCTAGTCACAACACAAACACTTAGCGATGCCCAAAACACCGGCTTATACTACACAATACTTCTCAAAATAACACACAAACCTAGCTAGTAGCACAATACCTTAATATAACTTAACTTAACGAGAAATACCCCAGCATGGGGTAAGGGAAGAGAGGAGTAGGAAGAGGAGGCGACAGGGCCACACAGGAGAGGTGTTGACTCAAGCACAGCCGTCCAGAGAAGAGCGCAGCAGCCTCCAGTCTCCGAGCTCCCAAGTTGTTGTTGTTGTTGCCGGGAAGATAACCTAACTGATCGTGCAGCTACAAACAATACAAGTCTTCACCGGCCTTCGTTACTCATTACTTTACTAGTTCCTAGAATAGCTGATAACTAGTTCAATCTTTAATAATCAACAACAAGCTCAAGAGTCTGAATGCTCTGTGAGAAAGAAGATTCGTCTTACGTCTGGCCAGGAAGATAGGAACAAAAGCGCATCAGCAATCCTATCAAATAATGTAAAGTAATTATTTAGAGCTCAATTTGACCTCTGGTTTTCAATTAAGGAACCCAGGGTCGTAACACGTGGTCACGAGGTTGTCGGATACGATGCTGTCTTGATAATCCACAGGGATTAACCCCTTCCACATCAAATGTATCATCTGGCAGCTCATTCTCCTCCTAAAGCCTACTTGGTCTCTTGATAAGGTGATGGTGTTTCTCTCCTCTCAGTTCATGGATGCCCTCCAGTCCAGGATATTTTTCTTAATGTGCATTTATGTTGATTCTTGCCTCTAGCTGCAGGGTTGGGGGAACTTCATGCTCTTCTCTGGAGGCAGGAGGTTCTGTACTTTTGGCTCTAGGTGGTAGTCTGTTCATTTGTAGCCTTCTTTTTCATTTCTGGTAAAGAATAAGTTGGCTGGTTTCCAGAGAGGGTCCTTTAGTTATTGTTGCTTGATTGGTCTTGCCAGGGGGTGCATTATTTGTTGTGTTCGGTGGTGGTGCTTTGCCCCTACCTGCATGCCACCAGTTCCACTAAAGTGGATGCTTTGTTGATTGACTATGTTTCCTTGGTCCCCTGTTTCAGGGCTCAAATTTCTTAGGTTGTTCAAAGTGTCGTAAAAGCTACTCAGCCTGCAGTCTACCCTCTATGTTTATAAATTTGCACCTTTGACTGCTGTTTTGTCTAGCATGTTGTGGACTAATATTCGGGCTCAGAGATTTTGGAGGTCTAAGAGGATAATGGTGGCACAGTACTTGGTCAATATTCTTAATGCCAGTTGATTGTATGAAGTACTGTACTGGGCTGTGTTTTCAAGCCCACAATCTCATTTCTCGACCTAGTACCAGCCGTCTCTCCTCCTCCTCCTCCCTGGTAAGTCTTATGTTTGGCTTTGTCTCTTTTGTTAGCTTCAGGGAGTTACCAGGGGGCTCCCTCAGAAAACCAGTGTTGAACATAATGAAATTCTTCTTTCTGGTGGAGGCCCAGTATCTACCTGACTCCCTCCATCCCTCCCTCCCTCCCTCTTTAGCAAGTTTGTTGGTTCATTTTGCATCAGCTCTATACTGACTGGTAGCTGGCTACCAGTTGGCCCAGGTCATCTGGTGGTGGCCATCAATACTACTGAGTTTGAGATAATTTTGAGTGAACCAATTATTTTCAATGATTCATTTGCAAAGTTGTTTGGCTGATTCAATGCTTTGTTTTCTATGAACCTTGCAGTTGTCTGTATTGCTTTACTGACTTTTGGATGCTTTCCCAGTGAGGGTAATGATGACAATTCCCCTGCTCTCTGCTCCTCTATGAGGGGGCAAAGTTGTGGCTCTGGTCTTCAGTAGACTAAATAGAACTCCTGCGACTGATGTGGCCCAGTAATTGAAAGCCATCTCAGCGAAATAGCTTCAGGGAGCCATCGCGGCTCCACCAGAAAGAGGCATTTCATTACACATAAAAACAGCATTTTCATTCTTTGCTGTATATATAATAAGTAATGGATGTGATTTTATTATATACAGTACCTGTACTAGCTAAAATTAAAGAATATTTTTGAGAATGGATAATGCAGATTGTATTTGAAAATCCATGTTGAAAAGTAATTTCTGAGGAAGATTGTTAATTAATTTGTTCTGATTTTTATTTTTAAGACTCATTAGATTAAAATTTATATGAAGCAAAGTGGGAATAGTTACTTGAATTTACCCAAGGGGCACCATGTCTAGTGGCCTCTATGATGACAGGAAGTTGGCAACTTGTCAGAGCTTCCCCCATTATTCCCACTTGAGGATTTTTTCTAGCCAAATTTTATACTAAGGTACAGCACAGTACAGTACTGTATTGTCTTGGCATTTATGGCTTTGATGGGTAGGCAATTTCATTGATTTGTACCCTATACATGCAAAAGCATATAATGTTTTCTGTACAGTACTACATTGCGGCTTGTTGAGCTTGAAGCTTTTGCCCCCTTTTGTTTTATATTGGACCTTTTAAAGAAGTGGTTGGATTAATGTTTTCAATAGACAATAACGTGTGGACAATGTTTCTTAACATACAGCTTGTTTTGAATATGTTCAAACTTTATTAAAAGAAGAATGCTTCTCTGTATTTCTGCTTTTATTATAATGCATGCATTGCTACTAGTGAGGATGTAAAATAGATAAAGCTGAAGAATACAATAAAGGTAGTAAACTTAAATTTAGTTAAAATAAAGAAAAAGAGTTTTTCCCAAGTTGTTTGCAGTGCTCTTAAGTCTGGTGAGCCTGCAGTTTACCCCTGGGTTCATGATGCTTAGAGGTTTGTGGCTTTGGCTGGTGTGTTTTCTAACATGTCAAACGTTGATATTCAGGCTTGGGGGTTTTGGAGGTTTAACATAGTACTTGTGGTTTCTTACTTGGTCAATGTCCCTGGTCCCTATTTGGCTTTTTTTATCCTGGATCTGGTATCTCATCCCAGTGTCTTGTGTTCATAAGTGACGTTTTTGCTCTCCTCCTCCCTTGTGAGCCCCATGTTTTCCTTCTACTATATTGCTAATTAACTTCAAGCCTCTCTTAGAAAACCAGGTGTATAAGTTTGTGGTCTTTCAGCTAATATGATGTGGAAGCCAGGAACTCCTGGTGATGCTTCAACCTGTTGGTGACCAGCGATGACTAGGTTGGGGGTTTGACCTGGTTTCTGATCATTTGTCTGTTTTAGTACTGTACTGTGCTTTCTTTGAATTCTGCAGTTTTTACCATATTGCTTCACTTACTTTTTGGATGTTTTTTCAGTGAGGGTGTTCATAACAATCTCCTGCCGCCACTGAGGCAGGAGATTGCCTCACTGGAGGCAATCCTCTGTGAGGAGGGGGGGGGGGCTAGGTTTGTGCTCTGGTCCCCAGTAGGCCATACAGTATTCTTAAGACTGAAGTGAATCAGTATGGGGGAGCTATCTCAGCAAGGTAGCTTCTGGGAGTCACCATTTGGCCCTTCCAGAAACAGCAATGCATACAGTATAAAAAAAGAGAGAAAAAAAGAAATCACTGGTATTCAATATTATTAAATTTATTAGAAGTTACAAATGGGACTTAGTTTCTTAGTTAAAGATGTGTTTCCCAACAGAAAGCGAGTGGTGCTGGTGGTGAAAGCAATGGAGAGTCATCAGCCAAAAGGCCCAAGGTGGACATGTCATCATTACCAACTCGGCAGTACCTGGATCAGACTGTGGTGCCCATCCTTCTGCAAGCTGTCACACAGCTGAACAAAGAAAGGTTGGTGTTGTTGGAATGGTATGCATCTAATCTCTTGCAAAATCAATTGAGTAATTAAAGTGACTATATGATGTTTTAAATATTTACTTTAGGCTTGTCTCAAATGCTACAGTGTTTTAGTTTTAGGAGTCCATCTTGGACTCCTATTTAGTTGTATGGAAGAAACTGTGGGAGAGGGTGTCAGTATTAGGCAAGATGGAAGATGAGGTGAAAGGAGTGAGAGGTAAAAGAAGTAAAACATGAAACAAAGTAATCAGAAAAGGGAAGATAAATGCTAAAAAGAATAAAGGTGTGAAATAAGAGAGAAAGAACAAATACATAGAAAGGGATAGGAACAAAAGAGATAGGAAAGCATAGAGAGGTAGAAAGGGATAGGAACAGAAGAGATAGGAGAGCATAGATGGGGATAGAAAAGGATAGGAACAGTCAAGATAGGAAAGCATAGAGGGGTAGAAAGGGATAGGAACAGACGAGATAGGAGAGCATAGAGGGGGTAGAAACGGATAGGAACAGACAAGACAGGAGAGCATAGAGGGTAGAAAGCTCAGTGAGATAATGCTGCTAAGAAAATTAGAGCATTTAACTATTATTACATTTAACTGTTATTAAATACATAGCATTTAACTATGTATTAAAAAATGTAAAAGTCAACGGCAACAAAACCAGGACTAAGATTCATGTTGAGCATGTTGTGTCTGAGAGCCATTTCAACAAGAGGAGCATTTGAGGAGAGTATATATTGAAATGACTATTTTGTAAGAAACTCAAGTTATAGGATGATTGGAGTCCATGACCTTTCACCTCACCTTCTCTCTTGCTTTATATTGACAAAACTCCCACACTGTTTCTCAGTTGTCTTGTTAAGGGTCCAGGGCTGACCAAACCGGCATTACTTTCATTTAATTTCACATATGTGAGTTGGTGTACATTATGTATTTGCTTTCAACCATGTTATTGTGACTGCAAAATAATTTGTTGTTTCAAAGAATGATGTACATTAATTTTGTCTCAATGTGTGTGCTTCATTATATTAGTGGCTCTTTCTAGTGCATGTGTAGGTGGAAAAATATACAATTAATTTACATCAATAAAATAAGACCAAGCAGTAAGTCAATTATGTATCATTCTTTTCATGAGTTGTCACATTTCAGACCTGGAGATCCAATAGAGTGGCTGGCAAATTACCTCATCAAAAATAAGCCTCAGTTCACCAATGGAAGCACATAGTTGTGCCAAAGTGAAAGACCTGCTGTAGGTCTGGGAGACGAGTTTTTCAGATGGTAATCCCAAGTTCAAATCATCTACCTAAGCAACATTACCACTGATATTGTGTATCTTATCAATCAAATCTCTAACTTTTAACATCACTCTAGTAGGCTGCTGCTCTCTGTAGTGGAAACCCCTAAAATAAGAAATTTACAGACTGTAGTTGATGTATTTAATATTAAACTTTGCACAGCCATACATGCACAACAGCAGCTAATTTGTTTTACATATAATTTGGCATTTCTTTGATAGATTTATAACTAAACTTGACATTTATCTAAATGATTCTTAATTATTTTCAGAAATTAAGTAATGCTTCATAATGTTTATCCTTTTTTCACAGACTTATTATGTACAGTATATAATTATAAAAAATCATTACATGTACTTGGTTTTACAAAGGGTTTATTTCTATCAGCAACATATAAAATGATTGAAGAATGTAGAAAGTTTGAACAGACCTTTTCACTTGAATGTTTCATCTCAGCATTCACAATGCAATTTTTACAATTCTAGTTGTCTTACTTTTGTATTTATTTAAATGTATAAAATAAGATTTTCATTTATATAGATTTAAGAATGAATAATATGAAAATAAATCTGGTTTTGGTTATCAACAGTATTAGTAATTCACTGCCTATTTGTTATATTCATGAATAAAGAAGAGGGCCTATCATTCATGTTGAAACCAGTTATTACCTTCTTGCTTAAATGCATGGGTGCTAGTTTTTATCTTTGTTTTTACTAGAGTACTCTTGTAGTAGCAAGGATTAGCATCTTGAATGATATGGCTGGAAGTTGTAGAGAGAATTGCTAGTGGGTGATTAATGTGTGTGCTGTATTTTGATACTGACTCATAATTTTTGTTTTGGAGAAAGCGTTTTGCTGGACCATACTATTGGTGTTAATTTGTTGTCATAGAGCCCTCATCTCATGAATATACTCACCTTATACAGACTGCCCTTATAAGTAATGTACCTGCTCAAAGTGATAATAAAAGAAGTTAATATATACTGTACAGGTTTTTTATGTTATAACCAAGAGTAATTTTCCATCTTTTGGCCAGTTTATCTCTACATATATTTAGTGACTTTTTCATCTGGATCTTGCGCATGAGACTTAACCATGTGCAGAAAATTCTTCATATTTTTAAGCATTCATATTATCATGTACAGTACATTAGCACAGTACATAAAATTATATTATGTAAGAGTATTATAGTTTGTGCTGATACTATAATTTCAGGGCAATGATGCTGTAACCCTATTTTTCAAGTACAGTAATTCAAATTCCCTGCAGGAGTTGGGTTTTAGCTTCCTTATCTGAACAACATTTTAAATTTTGGCCATTTTTGTTAACAAAGACTTAGTTCTAGTTCCTGTTAAGATATGCATAATGTCAATTTCATTTGAGATTTTAATGAGTAAGATTGCAAAATAAAGTTGTTATTTCACTCTGTAATATATTATCTCATGGAAAATGTACTGTATAGGAACTACTTGTTAAAGCTTTATTATTCTTTAGAAAAGTATAATTGTTCTGAGTTATTTGCCCCAGCAGATGACCTGGAATATAAAAATGAAAATATATTTTAATTTCTCATTGAGTCCATTATTTCAAAGGTCTGGATTCTATAAGTGCTTATTTTTACGATAAGTTCGTGTGTTTAATCATAATTTTATATTAACAAACCCCTGGGCTAGCATGTGATACAATTTTATGCCATTTACATGTAGGGAGTATGATGAGGAAAATTCAAGAGCCACATCCTATGCCAGAGCTGGAGAAGCACATTTTTGAGCTTCTCAATTGGTTGCTCCTAAAGAAAAGTTTGTACATGTTTAGTTAGGAACTGTAGCATTGAATTAGGCTGGGTGACATTCTGGAATGTTTAGTGCCATGCAACATTTTGGGCAATCCCTGCAGGGTCATAATGTTACTAGGGAGTACTGGAGGATGCCATCCAGCTGGCATAGCATCAACATTTAAACTGCTTACACAGCCACAGAAAAATTAGGTGCATTGTTCAGATTACCTGATTTCAATTTCACTCAGCTCGAGTTTACAACTCATTACTGGTGTTTGGTTAAGTATTGTATACCTAGATGACTGGTCATCATACCTTTGAATATACATTCTTGTACAGCCACTAGTAGGTGTAGCGTTTCGGGCAAGTTCTTAATCCTATAGTCCCTGGAATACAACCCCCACGAAGAATTGTTTTTACAACCAAGTACCCATTTTACTGTTGAGTTAAGCAGAGACTACAGTTAAGGATTTGTGCCCAGTAAATCCTCCCCGGCCAGGATACAAACCCAGGACAAAGCGCCTGCAGATCGCCAGGCGAGTGTCTTACCACTACACCACAGAGACTGGTCATCCACCATCCGCCATAATCATGGTGGATCATCCACCATAATGTATTGGAAAAATTCTTGAGGGCACATCCACCAAACACACAACAAGACTACAACATTTGAACAAATTTTAAAACCTCTTAACAAGTTGTAACAACCAATATAGCAAGTTGTAACAACATTCTAATACATCATAAAAAGTTATTCCAAAAGATGTAACAACTTTATTTCAAGTTGTAACAAGGGGAAAATAAGGCCAGTTACGTTTTGTGTTTGTAGGGCATCGTGTCTGGTGAACCACCTTCCAGGTAGGTGCATGCACAGTGCCAACACGTTAGCGATCATTGACCTATGCAAAATTGTAGGAAATATTCAAGACTCCTAGACAAGATATTCAAGACTCCTAGATGAGATATTCAAGACTCCTAGATGAGATATTCAAGACTCCTAGAGGAGGTATTCAAGACTTCTAGAGAAGATATTCAAGACTCCTAGAGGAGATATTTGTCTTCAGGTGAGATATTCCAGTCTCCTAGAGGAAATATTTTGCACTCCTAGAGAAGATATTCGAGACTTCCGTAGAAGATATCCAGGACTCCTAGAGGAGATATCAGAGACTTCTAGAAGATATTCATGACTCCAAAAGGAGATACTAAAAACTCCTAAAAAGAGATATTCAAGATTCTTAGAGAAGATACCCAAGACTTCTATAAGATATTCAGGATTCCTAAACGAGATATTCATAATGACTAAAGGAGATAGGCAAGACTCATAGAGGAAATATTCGACTTGATAATGGTCCAGGATGGACCGAAAAGTCGTCGTTTCTCCATTTTCTGATGTATGGTTTGGTCATATCTTCAGCCATGTATCAACTCCTAGAACTTTCTCTCCTTTTCATGAAGGACTTCGTCTCCCATTCGGTATCCAGTGTCTGGCCTCCTATTTCCTCTGCCTACTTTCTTACCTTACATTTACTTGGGTTGACCTTTAGTAGCCATTTGTTGGACCATTCCTTGTTTGTTTAGGCCATCTTGTAGCCTCATACTATTACTCTGTCTTAATACTCCTCATAATTTTTGCATCATCAGCAAACATTGAGAGGAACGCATCTATTCCCCCTGGGAGGTCATTTACATATATCGGAAACAATATAGGTCCAAGGACTGATCCCTGTGGGACTCCACTGGTGACTCCTCGCCACTCTGAGACCTCACCCCTCACAGTGACTGTCTTCTGTTGCTTAGGTACTCCCTTATCCAGTGGAGTACCTAACCTTTCACTCCTGTCTGCATCTCCAGCTTGTGCACTAGTCTCTTGTGTGGTACTGTGTCAAAGGCTTTCTGGCAATCCAAAATAATATACGTGTGACGAGCTACGAGAAAACACCAACATGATATGTGTATTCTATAACTGGTGGCAACGCGATCAAATGATACATGGGACGAAAGTAAAGTAACGTGAAGTAAAAAGTATTGTATATTAATAATTATGACACTACGTCCTACTATCAAAATTACCGCGAGTAACATTGGAAACATTCCCATGGAAGCAGCTCCAAAAATGGCAACTTCATCCTCAGCTAATACAAGGCACATTGATGAATATAATAAATTCGTGGAAGCTGACGAGAAATAGCTTTTGTAATATAACAGTGAAATAAGAGGGAAGATATTGGCCCAAAAGGATCCACCTGTGGCAGTCTCTGGCCTACTTTATTCCAGCTCTCAACCTTCCTCCCTAAATGGTGTTGTTTAGCCGCATTGCGTGAACATGTAATGGTGTTTGCGTCACTGCAGAACTAGACCAAGTATTCAAGGAATTTAGAGCAAGTGGGAATGTATTATAATGACTTAAGGACAAGACTTAACATATTAGGCTTTAAATGCATTAACTCTGCAAGTCTTAGGTTAATTTTTATCCTGTATTACAAACTCAAGCCGGCTGATGACCAAAAAAGTATATTTAGTTTATTATGGATTCCCAGACGCATTTCGCAAAATTTGCACATAAGTCAGCTGGAGGTTATATTTGCAGGAATTGGTGCAAATATGCAGGCAGCTTCTTTCGACACAAGCTCCGCCCCACATTGCCCAGCCTCGGCTTGTGAGTGGCGGATGGCGGTAGCGCCGTGTTGTGATTGGTGGGGAGCCATACTGTAGGCGGGGCCGAGGCGGCGGCATTAGGTGTGCAGGTGACACCGGGGCCAGTCAGTAGAGTGCTCGCCCATCGACAAGTGTGCTCCTGCCCCGTCCTCATTGGCACTCTCCACCATACACACACACACACTACTAACCTGCGGATATTATCGTCGTTTATCTAACCCCAGAACACAACCAAGAAAATGGTCAGCGGAGGGGTAAGTTCAGGAGGAGAGATGTGTGTCTAGGTAGCAGTGTTGGAGAGATATATTACCCAAGCATTGATCAGCATTCCTACACTGTCACCACCCACCTCACACTGTCATTATACACTGAGGATATATGTATACTATATCCTCCTAAAATAATAGTACTTCCAGTAACATTTGGTCGATAGTACCAATATGACGCGATGGACCATAAGAAAGTAGGTTTTTGTGTTATTGAATTTGGATAAACGATTTGTTTTTATCGGTAACATCAATATAAAACCTAACTTAACCTCTCCCAACAATCCTAGGCCTAATATTGTGCATATATTATATCCTAGTATAGCACATGTACTAGGCCTAGCTAGGAGTATTTAAGTTTGCTTTTAGCTTTAATTTTTTTTCTGGAGTATAAAACTAATAGTACAAAATTGTACTATCTGGGGGACCATGACTACTGGTACTATCTATCGACTAAATGTTACTGTAAGTACTACCATGGGTAACCCCCCCCCCCTGAGGTATAGTCTGTCAATAGCAAATACACTCCTGTATTATAAGTAAATGTATATTAATTTAGTTTTGAAACGCGTGGAAAGCATATAAATACACTTGCTTATTCATAAAAATAGTCACAGATACATGCAGACATACATAGGCACAAACGCATGCGGGCGAAAACAAGGTCAGGAACACATGCGCACCCTCACAGAGACATGTGCGTGCGCAGCTATGCATGATGACGGTTTTTTTTCTCTTATTTTACGCTGGTGAATACAGGAACAGGCGACCTCTGACTCCTCATAGCAAGCTGAGACCTTTTCCTTCCCATAGCTCATGATAACCTTACTTGTTTTCCCTGGAATACGCACCACCAATCGTTCACTTCTGAGTGAACATAGGCGGGAACAGTTAAGTTATTGGCGCCTAGTCAATCCTCCCCGGTCAGGATACGAACCTAGAGCAAATCGCTTGTGAACTGCGGGGCGAATGTGTTACCACTGCGCCCCGGGTTCTTATTAAAAATAATAATATGTACTGGTTATATTACATTGTATTGATACATGATATAGTTTTGCTATTTTCTTAATAAAGCCGCTAATCACGCCCAGAGCGACATGGGTCATGGGAGTGCAAGTCAATTGATTGATTGATGAAGATTAAGCCAATTAAGAGGTGGCACGGGCATGAATAGCCCGTAATGCAAGTCTGTAGTATTATCCCCATCTTGCACCTCAATCTCAGCATCAGTACTTGCCTAGTTGTGCTTGCGGGGGTTGAGCTTTGGCTCTTTGGTCCCGCCTTGGTTAGGTTAGGTTAGGTGGGTGGCTTGAGTTCGTGGGGTTAGCCCTTTGTACGTTGCGTTCTCTCACAGCACAGTCGTGCTGTGAGAGAACGGTGAATCTTGACTCGTGCTTATGGCTTAAAATTTTGCTCTGGTACTAGCATTCTGAATAATTAGGCGGTTTTGATTGTTCTGCGACACAGTCGGTGCTGGATGGTCTCCTGAGCCTACTACCTTATTTTGACTTGTTGCTTGCTTCCACTTCAGACTAGGAGGGCTGAAGTCTCCTACGTGGATAATAATTAGGGCCAGGCTTTTCTAGGCAGATTACTCTATTTTCTAGTTTTATAGGCGGTTTACTAGATTTTCTAAACGATTTAACAAGATTTTCTAGGCCTAGGGGCGCCTTAATAACCACTAACAAGCTTCTTGTTTTTTCTTGTCCCTGATTATAGGAAGCCAAACCTAGGCCTTCTCTAAACTTTCCTGACCTCTCCTTCAGTCATCTGGTCCCTTCAACAGTCACCTGGTGTCCCATACAGTCACCCGAGCTCTCATTACAGGGTCTTTAGGCCAGCCAGTCTACTGGTGTCCTCGTTATCGACTCTGTACAATGGGGGCCCCCCCCCCCCCCCCCCCCTGCACAAACACACAAGTGATCTACACTGTGGTGATATCAACGCCATCTGTTAAGCGCACCCGTCACCATTTTCTGTGGAAGGCTGCGATGTTACTATTGCCTCTCATTCTTGTGGATTCCCTTATATGCCTGCTTAAAACGTGTCTTTTTGCCACATCCAAAAGTTTAGTTCTCCATTCTGCGCTTCCATGCAATTCTTTGTTCTCCTAGTCTATCTTACTGTGGTTGAAGTCTCCAATGATAAGCAGGCAGGACTGATTTCTACAGGCGACAAAGGCTGCCTGCCCTCTTCAATTATGGTATTAACTGCCATGTTGTTTCTGTCATACTCTTGTCTGGGTTCTCTGTCATTTAGTGAAGGGTTATATATATCACAGGTACTAATATTGTTTTTGTCCTTTCATCATAATGGTGCCTGTTATGTAGTCTCTGAACCCCTTGCAGCCTGACATAACCATCTCGAAACTCCATTCCTTACTTATCAATAGGGCATTCCCCTTCTCCCCTTCCTTCCCTCCCTTTCCTTATTACTGTGTAGTCCTGGTGGAAACACTGCATTTGTTATGATAACTGACAGTTTTGTTTCAGTGAGTGCTATTATATCCAGGTTTTCATCTTGTGCTCTTTTCCCACGTTCACTTGCATTGTTTGTAATCCATTTGTTTCAGTTCATTACTTTGAAGCTGACTCTCTGTTGTCCAGCCTTAGTTACCTTTGGTGTCCCTTGAATATTAGGGTAGAGAGGGTCTGGGGTGAGGGGGCCAGTGAGGGCGTGGAATAGGGGAACTGGGAGGGAAATGGAAGGGGAAAGACCTGGGGCGGGAGGGCAGGGGAGGGGGAATAAGGAGGGCATGTGATAGGGGAAAAAGGTCATGGGCTGAAGAGTCTCAAAAGGCTGGAGAGGAGTAGGTGGTGATTGGGGGAGAAAAGTTGTGGGGTGGGACAGTGGGTGACTTCTGTTACATTCCTCTCTGGGGGACACTGGCCTGCCGTTGAAGGGGTCTCATTCCTCTCTTAAGTTACTGAAGATGCTGATCTGAAGCCTGTGGCTCCCCATTACCCTTCCTCTCCTTGCGTCTCTTTCTTGTTTCTACTGCCCTGTCTCTCTTTCTTCCCTTGTCATGTTCCTCTGCAGAAAATCATCCTTGTATTCCCTTATATTCAGAGGATTGCTCTTCCTGGATAAGAGTGCCTCTTTTGTTGCCTCGTTCATGAACACCATCTTTATCAGTCACTTCATTTCCTTCTTGTAACCACCGAGCCTGGAAACCCTTCTCTATGCTGATATCAGCCTCCACCATAAGTAAATCCTCCAGGACCTTTGTCGCAGTTGTTCGGTCCTTCCTTCTCCACTCCTGGGTGGAGCCTTCCGGCTTCTCAACTCCATAAACTACCACGGCTCTCTTTCTTACCAGTAGCTGACTAGTGCACTTTGCAGCTTCCTGGGAAGTGGCTGCTTTCAAAGCAGACATGGCATCTGGGCTGCTTTGTAACATTTCCACAAACGAGGGCACCTTTGGAAAAATCCCTCCATCAATTTCATCTCTTGTTTCCAGGGGGTTGATTGACTCATACTGGGTGTGACTGGGATTCTCCTAGAGTTGTTTTTGATCTCATCCTTAGCTGCTTAACGTTGACTCTGGAGGCTTTGTATTGTGTCCTTCATTTCCTTCAGTTCTCTGCTGAAATCCTCAAATACCTGGTTGATCATCTAGCAGGTAGTATCTCCCAGCCCCCCCCCCCTGGTTGATCATCTAGCAGGTAGTATCTCCCAGCCCCCCCCCCCTGGTTGATCATCTAGCAGGTAGTATCTCCCAGCCCCCCCCCCCCTGGTTGATCATCTAGCAGGTAGTATCTCCCAGCCCCCCCCCCTGGTTGATCATCTAGCAGGTAGTATCTCCCAGCCCCCCCCCCCTGGTTGATCATCTAGCAGGTAGTATCTCCCAGCCCCCCCCCCTGGTTGATCATCTAGCAGGTAGTATCTCCCAGCCCCCCCCCCCTGGTTGATCATCTAGCAGGTAGTATCTCCCAGCCCCCCCCCCCTGGTTGATCATCTAGCAGGTAGTATCTCCCAGCCCCCCCCCTGGTTGATCATCTAGCAGGTAGTATCTCCCAGCCCCCCCCCCCTGGTTGATCATCTAGCAGGTAGTATCTCCCAGCCCCCCCCCCCTGGTTGATCATCTAGCAGGTAGTATCTCCCAGCCCCCCCCCCTGGTTGATCATCTAGCAGGTAGTATCTCCCAGCCCCCCCCCCCTGGTTGATCATCTAGCAGGTAGTATCTCCCAGCCCCCCCCCCTGGTTGATCATCTAGCAGGTAGTATCTCCCAGCCCCCCCCCTGGTTGATCATCTAGCAGGTAGTATCTCCCAGCCCCCCCCCTGGTTGATCATCTAGCAGGTAGTATCTCCCAGTCCCCCCCCCCCCCCCAGCCCTGTATGCGGTGGTGACCCTCATTCTCTTTCCCTGTTCCATTTAAATGGGTTAGAAATTTAGGCAGTGAGACTGAGAGTGTGTGCTTGCCTCCTTGTTGGTGGTGTGATCAACCAGGCTGTTAGATGCAGCTGCTTGCAGTCTGACGTGAATCACAGCCCAGCTTAGTAGCATAATGCACGTGGGTGGTTCAGGTGAGTATAAATATAAGTTTCCATACATGGGTCACTGTAAGCGTCCTTGCATGGCCAGTAGGAGCTGCCTCGTATAGATCAATAGGCCTTGATCCATACGGACCCAGTACATCTTTCCACTAATCATGGCCGTTTTTATATATATATTTATCTGTTTATGAGTTTCGAAACTACACAATCCAAGCTTAATATTGTTATAAACAACCTCATACTTCATATTGCTTCGGAGTCGATAAACAGTTTAATAAATGTAAACAAAGCTGCCATAATTAACTAGTTGAGTAAACACTTGGTGAGTCTCTGTCCTGAGATGCGTTGGTTCGATCCCATTGTACGACTTCATTATTGTCTTATAACGTACAGTTCCGTACCGACAGCGAGAATGCATCAGCATCCACGTGGGTCAGGCCGGGGTGCAGATGGGCAACGCCTGCTGGGAGCTGTACTGCCTGGAGCACGGCATCCAGCCAGACGGCATGATGCCTACTGATGAAACCATCGGCTACGGCGACGACTCCTTCAACACCTTCTTCAGCGAGACGAGGACGGGCAAGCACGTCCCCAGAGCGGTCTTCGTTGACCTGGAGCCCACCGTGGTGGGTGAGTACTCCATACCTCTCCTCGCATTACACTCTAATTTGCATGCTATTGCCCAAAAATTTAGTGAAACAAAAAGACGGTAATAGTGAAGCTTCGTGGGACAAATGAGCAGCAGCCTAGTCAGGTGCCATCTGTCTCGTCCTGGGTGTGATCGTCCATGCTGGGGCCCACCACACACACACCTTCATCCATTATAACTTACTCTCTACTGAAAAATCTGTATTTTAAATATGTATATAACATTATATATTAAAAGGCAGAAATTAGGTAAAGTTAGATGTTTACATTCTGTAAGTAATTATTTGTATTTGTAGTAAATAGGTGGAGCATTTATGTAGGTACGATGTGAACAGAGAACGTCAGCTGTGAGTCGTGTTTAATGTGTTTTTCGTTCATAAACAAGGGTTTGGTGGGTGGATTAACCAACATTTGGTCTTTCTTTATGAGGACGGGCTGCTTCCTCCGTGATATTGATTCCAGATTAATAAATCTATTTCTTAAATAGATCTTAAGAGTTTTTTAAAGACTCTTAAGGGCTTAAGAGTTTTCCCAACCCATGGCTTATCTTAAGCCTCACCCTACTAGCCTTCCCTCCAGCCTTCTCTGACTACAACCAGGTCGCCAGTTACTGCTGGGTAAACAGGGGGGAGGGGCAGTTAAGGGGCCGGATTAATGAAGCATTTACGGCACTTCTTAGATGTTACCTTCTTATCGCCTTCTTGGTAGTTAGGTCGCGAGTCAACAAACCATTTACGAGCACAGATCACTCCTATAACATACCTTGGCGCGACGCCACCTCCGGAGCGGTCAACTCTATATAACGAACCCTTCACAATAAGTACACATTCGTCATCGATTCTGTTTTTCCGTTTCAGAAATCTAATACATTATGTCCTAAGCTGTTAGTTTCATCTGAAAAATAATTGTCATATAGTAAGAATACCCATAGCTGGGTGCTTGACATTATTAAGTAATTGTTATACAGTATTTAGTAAATGGAAGTCTCATCTTTCTAATTTTATGTATCATAATAATTTTCCTTATTTGTCAATACAAGTATTATATTTCAAGCATTGTTGTTAAATTTGTTAAATTTAAGTTTCTATAAAAAACTTTAATATAAACTATATAAGCTATATATATACCTAGGAAGGGTAGACTACTATACAGTGTCTCCTGTCTTTTGTAATATATATATTAATGTCATTAGAATTGTAACAATTGTTGTTGTTTGTCTTGTCTTGTTTCCACTGATTCAGTGTCACGTCATATGATCATTGGCATTTTTGTATATAATGCATAATTATACTAAGCAATATTACTGTACAGTATTTTTCATTGTATAAGTTGGAATTTACTTAATTTTGGAAAGGAAGGCCGTTATAAAGGTAAACCATTTATGAATAAAATTATAGAACGATTTACAAATTAAAGTTTATTTATTACTTAAAATAAAATGTAAAATTAAATATTTCTAATACGTGAGTTGTTAATGAATAATTTTACCCGACTTTACCTGAGGGTCACTAATATTAGTGGCCTCGACGAGGACAGGAACCCGGCGGCTTGTCAAAGGTCCTCCCATTTGCCCTGATGAGGTTGATACATTTCATGATGATATATAGCCCTGAAGACACAATATATTTCATAGTCTTAAAGCATTCTAGGCTTAACAAATTGGATAAATTTTGTATCGGAGTTGCAAGTAAATAAGTTAATTATTTAACACGGGATATATTTATTTACTCTGAAAAGTGTCATTATAGTGTGTGTGTGTGTGTGTGAGTGTGTGCGCGCAAGGGCAGGTAAAAGGTGACATAAGGGCCACGACCAGCAACCCCATCATGGTCGCGTGTGTTCCAACCCGGAAACAATACTCCCACTTGACACTGGTGGCTCCAGGCCAGGCCAAGCCAAGCCGGGTCAGGCCAGGCCAGGCCAGGCCAAGCCAAGCCGGGTCAGGCCAGGCCAGGCCAGGCCAAGCCGGGTCAGGCCAGGCCAGGCCAAGCCAAGCCGGGTCAGGCCAGGCCAGGCCAGGCCAGGCCAAGCCAGGCCAAGCCAGGCCAGGCCAGGCCAGGCCAAGCCAGGCCAGGACAGGTCAGGCCAAGCCAGGCCAAGCCAAGCCGGGCCAGGCGCGCTAGGCTTACATACTACACAACATAATTATATACATAAAGAACAGAAATTCAGGAAAGTAAACAACAAAACAAAAATAATGAAAGGGAAAAGAATGAAGGGAAAGAAGTAAACAAAGGAGGGAAATAAATAAGGAAAGGACGGAAGGGAATGAGATGCAAAGAAAGAAGGATGAAAATGAATGGAAGGCGGAAAAGACAATTAATGAATGAAATGAAGACAAGAAGGCAAGGGAACAGGGAAAGATGTGGATGAAAGGAAAGAAGGAGGTGATGGGGAAGGAAGAGGATGAAGGAAAAGAAGAAAGAAACTAAAGACAGGGAACAGAAAGAGAAGAGGGGGGAAGATAGAATTGAAAGCAAATTAAAGAGAAAGAAATGAACACAGACAAGGAAAGAAGGTAAGGAAGGGAAGGAAAAAAGATAAAGAGACAGAAAGAAGGCAAGAAAGGAAGGTAAGGAAGAAACGAGAAAGAAATTATGAAAAAGAAGGGAAGGAGGATGAAACAGGTTATTAGTCCAAATGACCTCCAAGGCACGCAACCAGGCCATAATGTAGCTGACACGAAGTCCTGAGACGCTATGTGGCTGACAGTCCTGGGACGCTATGTTGCTGACAGTCCTGGGACGCTATGTTGCTGACAGTCCTGGGACGCTATGTTGCTGACACAGTGCCCTGAGACAATATGTAGCCGAAGCAGGTCCTGGGACGCTATGTTGCTGACAGTCCTGGGACGCTATGTGGCTGACAGTCCTGGGACGCTATGTTGCTGACAGTCCTGGGACGCTATGTGGCTGACAGTCCTGGGACGCTATGTTGCTGACAGTCCTGGGACGCTATGTTGCTGACACAGTGCCCTGAGACAATATGTAGCCGAAGCAGGTCCTGGGACGCTATGTAGCGGACACAAGGTCCTGGGACGCTATGTGGCTAACATGACCAACATGGTAAGCATAGCCATGTGAAGCGACGGCCGGGGCCCGGAAGACAGCGCCCTAAACGGCGCTCAGGCACGACAATTACCTCGTATTTTCGACCTTACGCAAGATTACCATGCGCTACCCTCCATTATAGCACTGTATTGCTCTCCCTCACCACAGGTGAGGGCCCTGGGGGGGAGGGGGGGAGATAGCATACCCACGAGTATGCTTCAATACTGCAAGTTATCCTGACATATTTTACTGCCCAAAAGCACGCTTTAGAAGGATCGGAATAGATTCAAGTGTATTGGTTTCCTTAGAAAGTTATGTGTAGTATGCTTAGAAGTTTTTGTGTGGTATGCTTAGACGGTTATGTGTAGTATGATGCTTAATAATATTATATTAAGAACATGAATTACTGACTTAGGTTAAGTTAAGATAGGTTTGGTTTGGTCATATTTCTACGTTAGTTTTAACTCAAATAAAAAATCATTTATAATTGATTTATCATTTCATAAGAATTTTTTTTTTAAATTTATAATTTTAGGAAAAAACTGCTTGTTAGGCAAATCAGGTTTTGCATACTAGGCCAAGTAGTGCGTTCTGGCTATTAGGTACAACACACTCACACACACACACACACACACACACACACACACACACACACACACACACACACACACACACACACACACACACACACACACACACACACACACACACACACAAAGATAAATTGTTTAATACGGGTGGTACGCGAACAAGAGCAAGGCTACGTCCTTCATGGGGGCAGGTGTACATATATACCACGTTCGACTGCTGTTAAGGGTTCTCCGTCGGCTTTGGGCGGTTTTTAATTATTCAGATTCATTAATCTGAACACTTCGGATTCAGACTGTCTTAAGACAGAGTTTCTTATTGCTCTAATAGCAGATTTTTGTTAAGCGATGATGGGGCTTTAGTAATTTACATTTCACATATACCGTATGTTAGATAAGGACAAATTAGCGAGTAAGAAGTGTAATTAGCGAGTTTGTGTAAGAAAGGAAGAGCTGCGAACGTAATATATGATTTTTGAGAGTATACCAACAGTTTTAGATATTTCTTTTTGGTATGTGTTATGAGTAATGAAGTTAATTATCTTGTCTATGTATAGGCCGAGGAACTGTCCTTCATTTTTAGTATGAATGTTGACATTGTCTATCTCAAGGTGAATTTGGTTTGATGATTTGCTTCCAGATAAAATGTAGTACGTATTTTCTGTGTTTAGTATGAGTTTGTTGGTTGACAACCATGAATGGACTTTTTTTTTAATTCATCCTTAAGTTTGACTCACCATAACACATGACACGTGACCTGACTCATCATAACACATCACACGTGACCTGACTCACCATAACACATCACACGTGACCTGACTCATCATAACACAGTAGTGTGACCTGACTCACCGTGGCTGAAGTGAGGTACGGGTAATCAGGTGAGTAATTTGAGTTGACTGGCCAGTGAGGTCATGGCGTGGTGAGGGCGAGCAACTGACACCGGTGACCTGACTCAAGGCTCACCTGGGGGGCTCCACACCTCCAATTAACCACACGAAGGGGTCGATGTAACAGGTAATGAGGGGGGGGAGACATGAAGCAGGGGGGGGGGGATGGAGAAGAATGAGAGAGGGAGGGAGAGAGAGAGAGGGGAAGGGAAAAGAATAATTCCATTTTTTCTAATTCATTGTGTCTGGGGGACAGGAAGCCAGTTTATATATACAGTACATGATAGGCTTATATCGAGAGTGACCTAACTTTCGCCTATGCATAGAACTCTAATATATAATAATATTAATTTTTACGTGAGGAAAACCTATTTATAGTACCCGGGACGTTTAAGTTGATAAATGTGTCTTAGGGCGTAGGGCCGCCGTTTAACGAGACTCGCCTCAGAACAGGT